TTCCTACCTAAGCGCGTATCGGTATCTTCTTCTCTAAGGTCTCTTGAGATACTCCCGGATTTGTCTCGAGTGTGTACACGCCCACACAATGATGAACCTCCTCTCTCTCTCTCTCTCTCTCTCTCTCTCTCTCTCTCTCTCTCTCTCTCTCTCTCTGTATACACGAAAGTATGCGAAAAGTGCCAAAGAAAGTGTAATATGCGAAAGGGAGAGTGCAAAACCGATCACAGACGATCGTGGTAGTCTCGTAGGACTCGCTAGTAGTCTCTAGAAGATTATTCCTTCGCGTGAATCTTAACTAATTTCCTGTGCGGAGATGCCGCCTCACTAGGACACATATGTGCAATCGCGTGTTGAATGTGGTTGAGTCTTTCAATTCATTGCCAATTACAATGCGGTTGATCGCGGAAACATGAGCCGGGCCTCGTCACGGTGTCGCCGATACCGGACACGTTATATCAAATTAAGTGAGTCGCCACATTTCTGACGAGCAACACGGCAGGTGAGGACGGAGTGAGCCGTTACGATAATCTGCGATTATCGGCGTACCGAGTGGTCGTCGGGATTTTGCGATATTAATTCACACGCATACACATATTTCTTGTGATGTGATGTTAACGATAAGATCTCCCTCGGGAAGATTTATTTTCGACATTCGATGACGAAGTTTTCAACCGGTATTTCGTCAAGATACAGTCAACGTTTAACATTTTGGTGAAACATGGACAATACACGAAACGATAGTTATTCGAAGTATCAATTAATAAATTCCAGCAACAACACATGATGTCGAAGCCCTCCTCATTTCGCCATCCACCGCATTATTGGTATATATAGTTACCCTATATATACATATATGCGAGACGCTCGAGTCAAGAGTGAAGCGAGTCTCGACGAGGTGTAAGATTAATTTCAGATGTTAAGTACGCAAAACAAACCTTACGAAGCACAGGCTTGATTCACCCTAGATCCAAGCGTCTCGCGTGTACGCGCTAAAGGATTCGCGTCACCTGTGGAACTATAGTAACGTTGTACATCCTTACATACACGTCGATTACGTCCGTAACAAGCGTCACTCAACATGTATGTATTACAACATAAGACACTGCTTAGATACCTTACACTACACATGGCTTATCAATAATTCAACGACAAACAGGATTTAACAAGAATGCATGCATATGTATATATACTATAATATATCGGTCTCTTAAACATATTCGCTAAAAGGTACCTTATCTAATCAAATATTTCGTTAATTAAGTAATATAATCTCCCGTTATATAAAGCACTGCCGTTCGGACATTAAAGTTTTGGCTTATCCTCAATAACAACATGGATATATATGTATATGTATGCGTAAATATACGTAAGTACGGATATACACCTAATGTGTCGGTATGTGTAATGGACCTTACTACAAGTTCCTTCTTGATCTTCTTCTTTCTTTTTTTCACTTCTTTTTAATCCGTTTCGCTTTTGTGATTTTCGTTTTTTTGAGGGACTTTTCCTCTAACATATACTTTCCCGAGTGATAAATTAAATCCAATTTGTCAGCTACACGTCCCAAATTGTGATCTCTCAGGGGGGGGGGAACATAAGTTATTTGCAAACAAACAATATCCTGACCTAACCAAGATCGCGATGCAAATATTCTTGGCTCTTGGCTCGATAAAGATTCGATGGCCTTGAAAAGCAGACGTCGATCCGGGTAGTTGACGAAGTTTAAACACAATCAGCTTTTAACCCGGTGTACGCGTTATTTGAGGTTGCTTCTTTTCTTCTTTTTTCCTTTGTTGTTTTTTACCTTTTTCATCGTGTATATCAAATTTTTCTTATTCACTTGCTCTCGCTCGCTCTCTCGCTCGCTCGCTCTTTTTCTCTTTCTTCCTTTCATGCGCGTGATTAGTACAATTTTCATACTTCAACAACAGTTAGAGATGTTCATTATTAGAAACAGATCATTCACAATGATGAATAATATGTAGCCGCCCTGATGTGTAGGTTGTAAGTGTAATAATATCTTTTTTTTATAATATATTATATTCTCTTCATCCACGCTCTCTTTATCTTTGTCGTCTCTCCCTTCTTTCTCTTTTTTTATGATTTTTCTTCTCTTCCTCTTTACCTTTCATCGTTATTAGGATTTTAACAATGCCATCGACGATTATCCAAGAATCTGTGAATCTACGAATCTTTCAATGCAAGGATCTGTCGATTTAAGAATCTATCGATTTATAAATTTATGAGTCGCAGGATTTATAAATCGGAGGATTTGTAGATCACAGAATTTATAAATTAGAGAAAACCATTTATCGCATTAGGAATTTCATAAGATTTTTATAAAATTAAGAACAAGAATTAACATCAAGAATTAACATAAGAAATCCGATAATTCGAAAACCTGAAGAAAATTGTGAATTCGAATGCTATAAATTAAATTCACAAACTTAAAAATTTACAAGTCCAGCATATATCTTTGAATTATTAAGAATGTGTTTAAAAATTTATATTATCTCTTCAAGTAGACTATTAAATCTACCTACAAATAAGTTAAAGACGAGAAACACAAGAGGAAATATTTTAAAAATACTTTGACTTGATATCTATTTAGTCCAGGGCGACTGCCAATCTATTTAAATTAAGCAGACTTGTATTAGGCGTTGCATAAATCCACGGTCTCTTGTGTGAATAAAAGTGTGTGAGTAAAAGTAATAAAAGTAAATGTCAATATAAAAGAGGGTTGGTCATAAATAAAATATGTCTTTCGCGAATTGAATTGGTAAAGTTCAGATATAAATCTATATTCAACCAATATGTATATACTTTGCTATATATTTATCTTAATAAGATATATTTATTGAAAATTTCTAAGTTTCAAGAATCTTTATCACTCTGTGAACGCATTTATATATATTACCTAACACGCCGTCTTAAAGACCTTAAGACGTTTTTAAAGACTCTTAAACATTGACAAGACGTTCTAAAAAGGTAAGTACTAATATTACATGGTAATATCGTCGCTCAATAATTAATAGTAACGTAATTGCATAAAGTAAGTTGTACACGAGAGTTCACGATATATATATATATATATATATATATATATACACATATACGATATATATATATATATATATATATCATTTCTTCAGTTGCAAGTTCCAGCTTCATCAGAAAGTGCCCGTATCGATCGATTACGCAAAACGTTCGTTTCCCGACGTCTTGTCGATGCGGAAAGAGCAGCTCTTCTGACTTTTCCTCTCTCGATCAAATCAACTCAACTCAACGACTCGCAGGATTGGTGTGAATTAGCACTAAGCACTATTATATGCATTCTTCCCCGCGCTATGTGGCGTATAGTATGTGGCGCATAGTCATAACGAAACCGATATAAATTCTCGTATGCCGCCAGTCGATCGGGGCTGAACGCTTGACTGTGATATAATTAATACGATATATCGACAGTTGTTTCTTTTTTTTTTTTTCTTGAGATCAGTGAAACCTCTTTGATTTAAGTACATCCAAAAAACAATAGTTTAAATAATCTCGTTTTAAGTACTTGTAAAGGGCTACCACAAGCGGTATTACTATTAATTTAACAGGTTCAATATTTTGATAAGTATCGATATATCGTTGCTATAACATTTTGGTATTATCAGTATACAATCGACGTGTTCGTATTAAAGATGCGGTAATTACTGATCGCGCCAGTGCTCCTCGAAATTGCTTCCGGACCTTTAGACACTTTTAAACTCTTTTGTAGAAATTATGTACAAGCAGCTTTTCTCTCAGAGCCTTAAATACTGAACGTGTGTGTGTGTGTGAAAGCTTCTTTATACTATCGTAACATATCTTGTCAATGTGAGACTGGTGAAGCGTTTGCAATGCTCTCTTTTCATCTGTTTAATCACAAAAATATTTTTAAAATATCAATTAATAAAATTAATAGATCCTTGGACCTACAGACTGTTGCATTCGCGAATCTTCGTGTCCGTAATTGTTCTCTTTTTTAATATTAGATTCTTAGGTCCGCGTAGATCTTCGGATCTGTTGATCTTGTTGTTAATTTATAGATTCCTGAGTGTGCAGATTCTTGCCCTCATACATCCCCAGATAAGAGATTCTTGGAATAATAAGTAAGTGGGAACACATTGTTTCTTTCCTTCCTGTAGCTCGAGTTACCACGACGAGTTTCGCACGTGTTGCAGTGCTGCAGTCTGATGCGTATAAATTTGCAAGCTAGAGTTTAGCTATCCGATTCTACAATGCGGCTTCTTTTTCTCTGCATACGACTTCGAACAATTCATTCGTTTTTTTTTTAAGCAGTTACCATTTATCAGTTTGTTTAAGAAGCCTTAACCCGCAACTGATATGGCAGTGTCACGTCTGACCACATTGTACCTTGAATCCCGCTCACATATATAGTATTTTATCGTGACATTTGAAGACCGAAACACGTTCCTTTGATAATACTACTTGTTTCTGGAAAAACTTGCCAGTCCAAGAATACGCAAATCCAAGCAGTTATGAGCTCAAAAATCAGTAGATTCAACAATTCGCGAATCCGAGTGCCTCCGCATAAAATAAGCCCTACGGATTCCGTCACATCGAGAATCCTAGGTCGTCAGTCGCATTCAACGTACCACTATGTGTGAGTGGCAACAACCATCGATCGCCTCATCAAGCTCTTAATCCCCAAATCTTTGGTAACAGCCCTTCACGATATTCGCTACATAGCAGATTTCGATTTCTTAGAATCTCTTATAATCTCAATGTTCTCAATTGATTGAAAATATCCGGAACAAAGGAATACAAGTAACATGTGCGACACAAGTATCATACGTGAAAGCTTTTATGGCGAAGCGATACAAATAGAAAATCCCGATCGGTGTCGCTATGAGAACAACAATGTATAAATCAGAAAGATCTCCTCACTCTGTAATCGTTCCGATTGCAAATCAACGAGTATATATACTACACTATACCTCGGTATGATGTAAAGCTCGATCGTATTTTGATAAACGGAAATTCCTCAACGACTCCCTACGTTTCTTCAACTGTCAACTATAATAATCGACTATGTATCTTACAAATACAGATGACGCTCGGAGAGATGGTGAGAGAGGGGCTGTGAGACTCTGCGCGTAACTCTCGCGCGACTTCGTTCGACGCTTCGCTTCGGATACTGACGGATGGCAGCTTTATGTCACTTTTGGCTAATGTACCCGGGAGACTCGATTACAGTATCGCTCGCAATCGTCGCTGAAGTCACGTGAGCTACGTTCAGCCGTTGCCCCTCGACAGCGACCACTCCAACCAAGCCTAACGCGTACTTGTACCCCTTTGCTCTTCTCTTCTTAAGAATTCGCTGAGTTTCACTTTGTGAGAACTCTCTCCCTCTCCTCTTCCTCCCTTTCTTTTGCTCCCTCGCTCTCTCTCTCTCTCTCTCTCTCTCTCTCTCTCTCTTTCTCTCTCTCTTGAGATGTGTCGTAGCGGCGGGCAGAAATACGCTATAATCTAAAACATCTACATGGCCAAACCTAAGATCATCATCGATCATCCGCGGTGCCGCGTCGACGCGACTCGTCGGCCGAACTCGCGTCGTCGTGGAAAGGAACATGTGTGACGAAAAAGCTTAATAAGAGTACTAACTGGAACGGGCGGTGGGCTCTGAAACTGAGGGAGAATCTCTTTTTTCCCCTTTTTCTCACTCTTTCTTTTTCCCTTTCTCTCTTTATTTTTAACCCCTGTTTCTCTTTCTCGCGCGCACGCGCGAATGAAGTAGTATTGCGAACGATCGACGTAGCCGTCGATGGTCGAGATCACTCCCCGTGACACGACCCTGGCAGAAATAAGGGAGGATACCGCCCGGCTTTTTGTGCGGGACTGTTTATTTCGACCCCTCCCACCCTCCCTTCCCCGTTTCGTTTTGTGCACGTCGAATTGTAGTCGATCGCTAATGTTGAGTTCTCTTCTTCGTACACTTCTTCGAAGCTGCTGTTTCTTCCCCCTTTTTTTAGCCCCCTCGATATATATCCCATTTCCCTTTGCTCCCATGTCTCCCTTTTTATCTTGGCGAACGACTTGGAGAGACGGACTGAGGTGTCGCGGTCGTTGTAGAGTGCCCGATGACGAAGACGATGAATCGACGATGAAATGACGACGGTGAGAAGAAGTAAGGCTGATCCGGGGCGGTATCGTCGGCAGAGAGAAAACCGGATGGCACAGGGTGTGATCGCGGTCGGCCAACGAGGCAGATTAAAAAAGAAACGTCTTCTCTCTGTCCTCTACTATTTTTTTTTTTTTTTTGCGGCTTCCTACGTGGACGCGGTTGGTAGCGGTGGTGGTCTAACGATTGGCCGAAGCAGCCGGGCTTAGTCCACCATCAGTTCGAAATGCACCGAGCCGCGCCTTTCGAATCTGTCGTGGATGATGTTGTGCGCCCATGCCTTGCACTCGATGTTGATGAGCACGCCGTCTGCAATGAGAACGAACGAGTCATGCCGGTCATACTCGAGCGGTTCGTCTCCGTGCACGAAGAAGAAGATGATCTCGTGCGTCTTAGATCGGCGTCTTCTCGTGCAGAATCGATCGAATCGGATACGGCGGAAATAACGTACATTTGGGTTTCTCGAAGAACACAGCGACGAGAGGACTCAGATATCCCGGGGTGTTCGTGAAGGGGAAGTAGTAGCCGGGAAATCCCCGGCGCGGTATGTACTGAATCGCGCCCATGTTCTCCACGTCGGCCGGGTTTTCACCGGCGCAGGACACCCAGACGGTATCCAGTCTGCCAGCGGATTCCTCCTGCTTGATATGATCCTGAAGATCCACCGGCATCGAAGACGGCAGATTTTTCGTATCGTTATAAAAGTGCGGCTTCCATCCGAAGATCTGAAGGCACAATTCGGGACAGTATTTTATCGTGTCAATCGCAATACCGTAATGAAATACCGTATTTGTGTGTAAATAGATAATTTTTGTGCAAATAATAAAGCGCTCCTCGGAGCGCTAGGGGAGTAACGACAGTTCGGTAAGGCACATTACACGTGGAGAAGACGGAGTGCTACAAACCTTGTTGAGCTTTAAGAAAATGCAAGGCGCAGATTTGCTGAAACCGTACTTATTCTCCTTCGTGCATTTACCCCAGGTAGCCATGTTTACGTCGCAGACCTTACCCGCCGGCGGTGCCTTGCCGTAATCGCAATTCATTCGGTGCTCGTAACCGTTCGTGCCGCTAGCCGGCCTCTGATATTCTGTGCATTGGGCAAACATTTCAATTTGGAATATTTTTTCGAAGAGGTAAGCGCAATGGAAAGTCACTTTGAGTCACGTTGAGTCACGTTACTCGTGCTGGGAATAATGATTTGGAAGAGACGGTCTCACCTTCCAGGAACTTGTCCAATTCCCTGGTCCAGTGAAGATAATTGCCCTCGTCGCTGGCTTTGTACCAGATCAAAGTACTCTCGACGTTGCTTTCGGGTGGCATAGGCCTGAAACCGAGACCGGGGTTGCTGCCGATCAGCGAGTTGTCCAATTGCCATTTCGGCGCGTTCGGGTCCAACGTCTGGTAGAAGACAGCGAGCATCGCGCCAAAGAAGCCCGACAGGACGGCATAGAAGATCACGTAAAACAGCAAGATCTTAGCTGAAAGACATAATTGTCGGCATAAGAAGACGCACGGAGACGTCGGATTTGTCGTCGCGATACGCGAAAACAAAGAGAAGTCGTTTGTTACTCGTCGTAATTCGCTCGCTAAACTTTTAGACAACGCGTTCTTTTTCTAATTCGCATTCGATTAGCGCATTATAACACGCGCCGAGGGACACATTTCCCTTGCCTCCTTGCGATGCTTTCTTTCGAAGACGACTGTGTGTTACGTAAATTCTATTGAGAAATCTGCGGAATAACAATACCGTAGGGACACTCTACGCACAGAGAGTGCGAGTGATGATTTCTATTCGTATACATGTACATTAAATCCCGCCCTTGATACTTGTGCGATACGCGTGCAAGCTCTTTGAGAATCCAGTAGATCTCAAATTGCTGCTTAAATATAGCATATACACTCTCATCGGACTTCGTTCCTTCGTGAACGTTCAATTTGAACCGGCCTCGTGTAATTTACCACGGCTAAAATTAAGTGTTAAGGCTCCTTTAGCTGCGCGGCTATTTTGTTCACAGCTGACGTTTTATTTAGAAAAATAAAAAAAGAATGGCAACGCATATCGCGGAATATATAGTCGAGGCTTAAATTAATATACCGAGATCGATTGCAATTATTTTACGAGCGTAATTTCTATCGTCACTGTGCCTTGCTTGCCGGCCGAAGGCTGTGGAGCACCGAGACAATTATGATGCGGCGCCTAATTGGCCTGAATTAGTATCGGGTAAGCGATACCACGCGTTTGTTACACACAAATCGTTGACGAATATACGTTCGCGTGCGCATGAGTCGTCATATGTCCTCGAGGAATTATCGACTGCGGCGTCTTCACGACGGTCATGACACGATTGAGAGAGAAAATCATTTTGAGAGCAATTGAACGAATAAAGCACCCGAGAGTCATATGTGTGTGTGTGTGTGTGTGCTCTATGCGTTCCATAACGGGAAATAAATATGATCGTTTTTACTTTGAATACTCGAGTGCGTCGCGTCAAGAAGAATCGTAAAATGTTTAAGGTAGCAATCGGCGCGAAACCATCCCACCGATCGAATGCAACAGCTTTCCGAACTCGCGATTAAATTAATTGCAGAAATGATTGGGATCGCGCGCGAGAACAATGCAACTGTCGCGGAGGACAAGCAACTCGTGCGGTGTCTCACTTTCCGTATTAATAGTTGTACGTCATTATGAAGTCACTACGGCAACGTAACATTCCCATGGCTTTTTTCGAGATATCGATCGACTCAATGCCGAATGCGGCGACGCGAGCTGACTGCCGTTTCTGTCGTCAAGTAGGTCGTTGGAACTCTGCTTTTTGATGATGAATAAAGAACGACAGTTTTACTGAAACTTCATGTTTTCATTGATTTCATTCGCATTCGCATCTTGTATGGGAGACATCATCTGTTGTATTACGTAACCATTGGTACGCTGTAAGAAAATTAAAAAGAAAGTTGCAATTTCAATTTACTCCGGCTATAATTTAGCATTCTTGTGTCGTCTTTAATTCATACATGTATAAATAATCTTATTTCTTCATCATGAGACAAGTGAAATGTAACGCTACGTTTTGTAATGCTTTTGCTAAAATCTAATGGTAGAAAACGCTTGCACATAATCCTTTGCAGATCCTTCTCGATAATTTGTATTCTCTTGTAAAATTTCATCGTGATCGGCAACGTGTAAACTTACTCACGCGGTTATGTGGAGCCTTTCGCCTTCTCTTATCTGCAACGAATGGGCAGAGTGACGTCAACTTCGATAATCTACGGTGACGTTGTCGAGGATAATGTAATCGAAGTTTGCTCTGAACGAGTAAACTGCCATACAATTTATGTTAACACGTCGGACACCGACGTCGACCCTGTTTCTCATTACTCGCCCGTCGCACTAATGTTATTACTCTCGGTCATTAACTCGATTTTTACCGTTAACGAAACCGCGTTGTAGTGCGAGCAGTTTCGCGAAAGCCTATTTCCGTCTTTTCCGGAAAAGGTCCGCAGGATTGAACTCGAATGTAGGACATTCGGCCGCAAAAATCGACTGCGTTGGCTGCGCGCAGACGCTAACACTATCCAGTATAGAAATCAGACCATACCATTTCTGCGAGATGGTAACGGAGACGGCTCTTATTGATTTCGACGGAAGTCGATCGACCGCAATAGAAGAGCGAAGGGGAATAGACAAACAGCAATAGAACAAGAACAAGAGAGAGAGAGAGAGAGAGAGAGAAAGGAAGAGGGTGAGTGAGTGCGTTAGAGGGTAAGGCAGATAGAGAGAGAAAGGGGGGAGAGGGGAGAGAGAGAGAGAGAGAGAGAAAGAAAGTCGAGGAGAAAGAGAAAGGGCGAGGGTTAAATGGAGAGAAAAAATAGAGTAAGACCGGTGGCTAGGAAGGGATGCGACTTATAAGCTTGAATATATCCGAGCGATTTCAACTGCCCGTTGTTAAAGTTACTTGATCCTTTTCAGACTTGACGTACATTGTAACGTATGTACAATCAATGGTAGAACAGCTGAAGGATTTCTTACTCCGCGAATTTTTCTATATACTTGGATATATCAATTAAAGATAACGATAGTTGTTGAAACGTTAAAACGAAACACACCCGTTTGGATGAACATTCTGTCGCGTGTAATACGTATTCAATGTATTATTTCAATAATTATTATCGATTTATATATAGTAATTGATCCGTGGGAATTTTTTTCCATATATATATCAAACAAATTAAACGATGTTATATATTTATTTATTTATTTATTTATTTATGCGCATGTATTCATTGTTAGGTAAATTCATCTGGACTGATAATCGAAAAGATTTAATGTCCTAACATTCGAATCTGCAGATGTCCTTTCCTTGCGACAGCTTCCTGACGATAGTCTTCGCTAAAGTGTTACGTAACATTAGCCGCATATTAACCTCCCGTTCATCAGCGATCCAGTAATGATTTCATGACGCACGATGTGCAATAGCATTGCGTGTTTTGATACAATTTATTTATTTTTTTTTATATTGTATATAATGCCGTCGTTGCATCGTAATATTTTACGAACGTAATAGACAAAAAAAAGTACGCTTAATAGTTCCCGGTGAGCTAAAGTCTCTGCAAGAGACTCAATCGTCGTTAAATGTTGAAGAATCAATATGGGAAACGGTACGTTCTTGAAGTAAAATAACCAAAGATATGTATAATTGATGATCTGTAAATCTTCTGTGATCTTCCACAAAATATTGAATGACAATGTAGTAATCGTTACGATGTATTCTATTCGTTACGAAAGTTATTCTTTTGCAATAATGATCATCTTCATGATCGTCATGAATTACCAGATATAGCAACGACAAGTATCGTCCAATTCAAATAACAAAAATAAATCAATAGTGGTAATCTCTTTCTTCATTTAGCATGTTTTAATTTCATTTATAGGTTTTTATTTAAATTAATATTAATTTATAAATCAAATTAAGATTATTATCTACTCTCTGTCGTTAATTATTAATTACTAAATAATTTTGCAACGGATGTATAAAGCAACAGTGGATATATTTGGGTCAAGGATGAATCATTAATTTAATTGAGTGCATTGACATGAATAAAAATAAAAAATAAATTCGAGATAGTAAAATCGAGATATAGATAACAATGTTACATTGTGATTTATAATATTTCGTTATCATGTTGTGTAAATTTCATATATATTGTAGTTACTTTTAATAAATATGTTAGAATTATCAAACATGATAAAATAAAGCCAGTATTAATATTATTAAAAATACAAGAGGTATTATTTGAAAATGTTTTTATTGATCCTATTAAACAAACACGCGCTTCAGAAATATAATCCTTATATTAATTTCTTTCTTTCTTAATCCGTCTGCACATATGAAGTATTTCGCCCCAACACACAGTAAGGTGTAAAAAGAACTCGGCATTATCAAAACAGGATGTGCGTAACATAAAACGCAGACTGAGAGATATTTGTGATAAATCAGCAGTTTGTTACTGAAAAGTTATTGTACAAAACATTTCTCGTTTACTCTGCCAAGGAGAACATTGTTCTTTTTAAGTAAAGGGCAAAAAAGTTCTTTAAAACATGAATCAATTTAACATTCCTTCGAGGGAGATCAACTCGCGAAAGGCTACATTTGCATAAAATAAAAAAAAATATAGTCTTCGATAAACAACAATTAGCTATAAAAGTATTACATCTTACACTTCCGTTCGACGAGGTTATATCTTACGTAATCGGTTCGCCAACGGTGGACAATTTTTTACCTTCACGCTTCCTGTAATAACACGACATTACGACTAGTGTCATCCTAGATTGTAAATTAACTCGTGTGCACTAACTAAAAGGCAGCCAACGCAAATTATGTACAAAAATATAAACTTCGAATCTAAATGCGCAAACCGATGGTGGCTTTTAAAGACAGAGACCAAAGGAAAGAGAGATAGACTAAAGTAATTTTCTTCAGAGAGACATTGTTACTAAACAAGCAATGGAATAAAAATACTAATACCAGGAAACAAAGGATCTTAAAATATAATTATTAAGAGGAAACTTTACTGTGTTACACGAGTCATTTTCCATTGAAGTAAGATTATCCATTTATCCTTCTATTACCATGTCAAAATTCATTCATTTTTTTCACGTTTCCAAGAATTACTTTAATCTCATTATAAATCATGCTGATTAATAAGCTAATCATACTCAACTTCACCAATCTCTGCTACATATTTAACTACTTTGCGCGCACATTTCACTACTTGGTTTCCACGTATAGAACCATGTCACTGCAATAGCACTGTAAAATGCTGAAAATGTCATGGCAAAAATTGTCAATACAAAAAATATAACAGTGACACTCAACTATTACTCCCAACACTTTTATGTATTATTACGTAACGACACTTCGCGGTATATAACCTTCGACATATATCTTTCGAGAAACTGATACTGCTTAGAAAAATATCACATCAATAACTCCCCTGATAAAGATGAAACGCGTGGAAGTAAAAGATCAAATAAATCATGATAGAAGCAAATCAATTTGACAGAAGTTCTTTTAATACACGTTTATTTAGTCCGTAACATATTTCTGAATGGCCAATTTTCTGCACTTACGAAAACTGCACACAATATTATCCGTATTTTTCCAAATTCACATGTGTGTTATGAAATAAGCGAAATATATATCCATCTATATATATATGTGTGTGTGTGTGTGTGTGTGTGTATGTGTATGTGTGTGTGTATATATAACGGAGTCGAAGAGAACGAAAAATGAAAACGCATGACATAAAAATATCGGTAACATCATCTATTTTACGATACTTCGCGTCCTCGAATGCTAATAGATTCGTGATGCCTCTCTCAAAATTAAACCGCCAAAGTACCGCAATGGCGCTATTGAATGCAAATGACGAGCCCCTTGCAGCCTAACACGATCTCCAAATAACGTCTCCTGTACATCTGTGCTCTATTACATTTTATAATATAACGTTCCTCTATATTATATACCACCGTGACCTATTTAAATATACTATCAGGAAACGATATTAACGTTAAGACTAGCGAAACAAGTCGCGAGAAATGTGGTCTCTACGATGAGCGAGCCCGCTGATCGAAGGGGTCTCTTCCGCTCCTCACGAGCGCGGTCATAAGACAAAAGGGCGGGTCGAAAAGACACAAAGATTCGACGAAACGACATCGACGATGATTAAACATCGTGGAAACACCGTAAAAGAAACAGAACACGCACGCACAGCACGCACAGACACGCACACACAGAGACAAGTACTCACCCCAACTAGCGCCGGTGCGTCCCAGAAATTGCCCCGTCTCAGAATTCCACAGGAAGACCCGGAAACCCTCCCATTTACCGAGTCTCGGCGGCGGGGTGTAAAACTGTTCGACTTTCTTGCCCTCCATTGCGCTGTACTATCGACGACGGCGAGAAAGACGAAGCGCGAGGTGCGGAACGAGGAGCCGAACGCGTTCCGGGGACGACAGGCAGAGAGTGGTGAGGAAAATGCGCTGCCACCCGCGCGAGCGCTTGATCCCTCTCGAAGGCTGTACAGCCGTCGGCGGCCTTCTTCCACTCGGAGGCAACGGTTCCTCTGACGGCGCGGCGGAACGTCGGCCGCGATCGAACAGCTCCGCGGGCGAGGGCGCAAAGGAAGGAACGGTCGATTCGTGCTCCCGTCTGGAGGAGCCGCTGCTCTCCTCGGGCGCTCCCGTACGGCGAGGGGTTGAATATTGAGCGATTCAAGCTGGCCCGACCCCCGAGAGAGAGAGCTTTTCAGCGTACCCTCTCCCCCAAGCGACTATCACACCCCTTCGCCCCTCAGCACTTCGCCCTGCTCTTTACAGCGAGGTAACGCGCCGGCGTGACCACGCAGACGCGTCAATACGCGATTTCCCTGTCGCCCCTCCCGCGGACGTACAATTGCCCTTTCCTATCCTGACCAACCCCTCGCGAGAATCACGGCCTGGTGGTGGCTCCACCGGCAAGCCGCGGTGATCCCTCTCGCACCACCTCGCGACTTTCCTCGGACCTCCCGCTTCTTCGTCGTGGGTGCTTTCGATCGACCCCGTTCCGCGGTATCGCGACTGCCCGCGCGACGAAGCTTACGCGGTGGTGCGCGACGGACTCGCGCGGAACATCGCGTATGCGTGTTAAGTCTCATGCGAGGAGGCGCGGATGAGAGCGAGGAGGGGAGTTCCGGACAATGTTAGAGAAGAGGAGCAGGGCGAGAGGGAGGGAAAGAGAGAGAGAGAGAGAGAGAGAGAAATTGCGGAAGTGCGAGAGAGAAGAGAAGATGCTGATAGTGGGTCACGTGGACCGCCGCGGTAGACCAAAAGAGAATGACGGTATGAGCGGAACTTTTCCGCGTTCCTCAGACTGCAGAAGTATGAATATCAACATGGTTTGCCGGTTATCGTCTGGTGATATGCGTTACTGCCGTTGGCCACTCGGCATCCTTCGACGACGCGCGATAACGTAGCGCTCAGTAAGCGAATTTTCTGCTCGACTCTAACGATATTTCTCGCTACGTTATTATTATCAGCCTACGTCTACGTTGGGCGTCCAATGTTGTCAATCGTAACGAACGAACAAGCACTCACTTTAGTTATGATGTATTTGTTATAATGTGAGGATCAAGGATCACAAAGACGCAAGTCTGACAAAGCAGGTGGACTACCTGTCAAAAGATGACCTTGCGTTGTACGTTATATTTCAGGTACTACTTGTCGTGCGAATTAATCCGGGGTAACTCGTAATTGAAGAGAAAATCGTTACATCGTAGCCGACAAAGAATTCCTGAAGTATCACAAAGTCGTTCATTGTATGTCACGGCGAATATAAAATTTTGTACGACAGTGTGTGATAATAAAGTTACACCGTTCTTTAATCTGAAGGGGTTGTACATTACCATGTATCATTGTATTAAAGAAACTTGATTTATATTTAGTGGTACCGATTTGATTTGTCTATATATGTCTAATAGCAAAAGACAGCAATCTGGAAACTTCACTAAAAAATAAAATATGTAATTCAAGAAACATATAAAAAAGTACGATCACATAGGCAAGTGGTAAAATAATATGAAGTATTGTTTTTTTTTTCCGGTGATTTATTTATTTTGTACATGGAAACTGAATATCAACAACTTCTTTTCAGAATGTTTGCTCAAGTGTTTTATATGACATCGCAATTTCTCTTATAAACATTTAGTTTTCGAAACTCACATTTGTGTTTTCTACATAATCGTGTTCTGAAATTAACGTAACCGAGTGTTTTTATGATGTACCAATCACTAGATAAGATGTTGTGATGTTAAATTACTAGATTCATTAAACATGGTTAACTGCTTTCTTTTCTCTAAAATATAGAGATTGCTGACTTTGTCTTTAGATCTCTATCTAGACCGAGGAATCCTTAAATAGCGCAAGTTTCCTTCACTGCCTGTGTGTGATCCGTATATCTTGCTTGAAATCTCAAAATAAATCTGACAGTGTGAGAAAAATTATGAAAAAGGATGTCCCAATGGTTGACATATAAAATACATTTAGACATTCTCGACAATATAATTACGTTTACAGGAATATAATTACATTTAGGTATTCGAAAGATTAAATATACACTAACAATAAGCTACGCACTTAAAAGTTAAGGCTCTCTCTCTTATCCCTTTAGATGAGTACGCTCTTAAAATTCTAAATTTCTCTTCTCATTTATTTCCTTTTCATTCTTTTTATTATACACATCTTGTACTCCCTTTTACACTCTTGTGACAAATGCGCATTCTAATCTAGAGTATCTCGTGGATTCTTTTTTTGATTGATCTTTCCTATAAATCTTTTTCTTTTTTTTTTCTTTTTAATTTATTCGATATTCACAGCTTATGAACAGTAATATATATTATTCACAGTCACTATACAAATTTTGTTCGACACATTTTGTTGATGCATATTTAACAACGGACGTAATCAACTTGTCTTAACACTCGAGAGGTCAAAGTAATTATTTTGACCTCTATCAAATTTTTCTCTTCTTTTTAACTAGTAACCTTGATATTACTTGACAGAGTCTTGTACTTTTTTTTATTTTCCAGCCATTGTGCTCTTGTGTTTCGTAGTTCTAGAAAATATTTAACACTGGACGAACAGGAAACTTAATCAATATATACGATCTTAAAACGATACATTATCAAAAACACATTCACAACAATATAAACTATTTGAATCAGAGTCGAAATATGCTCATCTCTTAATTTTTTATTTCGGAATTATTTAATTATTCAAAAAGAATGTGGAACCGCGAAGATCAAGCCTTATCTACCAACCTTTCTAGATAGATATATATATATACACGACAGCTATCCTTTTTCTAACATTCTCGTAGTGTTTAACAGTAACAGGAACTGCAATATCTAATGCCCAATCGTCAACCCTTTTAACATTTGGGGCCGGTTCTACAATAACAAGTGAGCACGAGCCAGCAATTTTCCCGGGAATGGCATTTCGGTCATTGATCATCTCTCGCAAAAATATATCCAACGCGAAATAATGCCGTGTACAAGAACTACAGAGAAATGATTACACGATATACGATATAAATATGGATGCCCTTTCAGCCACATGATTTATAAGAATGAATTGTTTTACTGATAAATATTTTTTCCACAAGACAATTGTTTGTTCTGAATCTCTTAATTTAAAGATCTACAATGTTAATTCCCCAAATCTTTATCCGTAGTTCGATCTACGTAACTAAAAAAAAATGTTATTATCTTATTAAAACTTCTGTGTTAAATTTGTTTAAAATTCTTCAATTTTTATTATTTTTACACTATATTTTAAATCTGTCATTTCTTGTGACACTTTTTTCTAACTTGATTTTTCGATTTAAAGAGCATCCACTGGTTTTGAGAAATTTTATGTACCTGATAAAATAAAAACTAAAGGAATTTTATAATCAGTACGGTAAAAAAATTTATGCGCGAGTCTATTGATGTTCAATAATTCATTTTTATATGTATGTAAAACGTGAATTTAGTGTTTTAAATAAAATTACAAATGAATTAAGATATACAGCAAAATATCATCGTCTACTTATAATAATATTATCAGATATACAAAATGTCTTATAACTCGTAATTTTATTTTTAACGACAGATATTTAATTGCTGATCAAGTTGATTTTTCTTTAATAAAAATGTCAAAAGAAGAAAATTTCTAATTGTTAACATTATACTTTTGTAATTAATATTTATTTAGTATTCTTATTATGAAAAGTAGATCTTTTTATAGAATTAAATTAGAAAAGTATAATTTTATTAACCTGACTGCTTCGAGTGTTATTCGTGAAAAGTCTTTTCTTTTCAGTCGTTCGCAACTCGAGAATCATTGATGCTCAGACATTGTCGTTAAAGAAAAATCAATTTTTCCAGGAAATCTACCAGTAAAATCAATGCTGCGAGCTGTAAGACATCACGTACATCAATGTCATTTTTTTTAAACGCTTGATTAGCATATCCAAATTTTACTTCAATTTTTCGTCGAAATATCGAATCCTTAAATAGCCAAGTCTTTTTATACATTTTTTTAACGTATCTCTAATAAACAATTTCAATTTTGGCAATGTCCCACATAAAATTCAACGGGCAAAATGCATGATTATGAGAAAAAAATGCGCCGCGAATCAATGGCGAAGTTTTATAATCTGTTTTAAAGTCACCGGATATTTGCGAAGACCTCAGCAATCTAAATATGGAGACTCAAGAGAGACTTTAATTGCACGACTCTGACGATTGAACAAATGCATTATTTTCATCATGCGCGAAATTGATTCGGCTCGATCCTCTCTATTACTTGTGACAGTTGAATAGTACAATCTTCGATTTTATCCTCTCTAATATTTTACGGTAATAATACAAACATGTTGGTAAAATTAAATAAAATCCAAAGTATTTCAAACGGTTCTACTCAACCAATGTCCGATTTGACTTATCAACATTGTGTTGTTGCATTTTAATTTTCACTTCCGCGCAACTGCCTTACACGTAGCACAATTTCTTTCTACTTTATTCTTCTTTTCCTTTTTTGGTTGATCTCTTCATCTACTAAATATCTTTCAACCACCTTACAGGTAGCTTATCAATATATCTCCTTTTCTTTAATCGAAAATCACTTTCGCGTAATCCCGTACCAGAAAATATATAATATGATTCTGTCAGGCGGAAAGTTCTCAAAAAGGTCTTTAAGACCCAACTACAGAGATTCGTCCGAGTACAAAAGATTGGATTCGCACTCGCTGATGAGAATCCGAGTAACCATTTTTAGTTTTTTAAATGCACCAGCAATATCATTGCCAGCGGATTGCCGCTTCATTCATATCCCAGCTTTATTCTCCGCTCCCTAAGGGTCCATTGCACCAACAGTGTTGCAGCTTTGGTTAACTAATACCTGTTTCTTTTCGACATTCCGAATTTTGGTATACCGGCCAAAATTCATGTTCGTGTAACAAAATATAACAGTATAATACGTATTGCAAAATACGCATATTCAATTTGTGTCGGCGTAAAGTGCGCAGATGTATTCTACACTTTTGTATGAATTTAAAACTAAATAAAAGATCTTACAGCTAATTTTAACATTCCTTCGCGTGACTAATAATGTCAACTAGAACTCTGAACTAAACTTTCTGTTCTTGGAAACAAATCCAATAATTCGATAAAGAAAAGAAATGAAATTCTATAACCAATGAAAAAATTGTTTTTCACTCTAAGTTGTTCTTCGATTTTTGACAATCCCTAACAGCACATATGTCCAGAAGACGTCCAGAATACGTCTTAAGGACGTCCTGGGGACGTTTTTTCATTCTCAGAACGTCCACAGGACGTCCCCAGGAAATTATGTGCTGTCTGGGTTAAATAATTTTAACATTCACAAATTTTACGAAGTCTTTGAATTATTGTTGGATTATGATTCCATCTTAAATGTTGTGCGGCTAGCTCAACATTTAGTAGTTGATAGAAATGGACTGCGGTTTATTCTAGAGAGTTAGACACAAAAATAGCTCAATTCGCGACGAATTTTTACACTGACTATATAACAGCAAAACAATTACGTGCAAATTGAAACAATTATGCTTACGATATTGAGATGAGAAATTTTAGAACTAAAAAAAATCAATTTAGCTCCAAAATAAATAATGACATAATATCCAAAGGGACGTCAAAGACGAGCGTTCGGTTTTCTAAGAAGGACTTAATAAACTGACAGAACTTTTGTCTAGTTTTCAAGTGTAGAATACATTGTATTTGTACATCATTAACGGAGCCGATTTGAAAATACCTTGAGATCTGTGTGTCGGACAATGTGCTTCTCAAGAATTTGCATTATAGTAGTTAGAGACATTAAACAGCTCGAAAGACTTATTAAATGATTCCTTCTTATGTGTTTTAAATAATAGAACTATAATACAGACAGATATATATATATATATATATATATATAAATATATATATATATATAAATATATAAATATATATATATATAGAGAGAGAGAGAGAGATACAATATACAGTGAGGGGAAAAAATAATCCTTTTTCTTTTTTTTTTTAGTTAACCACGCTTAACACTAACGTTGCTGCAACCGAACGCGTAAAAAAGCTTAACGTTGGTTACGTTCAGACACGGGCGATCGATAAAAGTCGTATAAAATCGTTTCAAATGCACGTGCAATCGCGTGACTACTTGTGGTATAAACAATGTGAGAATCGCCGTCTAATTACAGCTATCTATAAGATAAGAAACGAGTTGTGAGCAGCAAAGACATATGTATATATGTATATATATATACGAGATATATATATGTATATAATATAATATATATTTTATGTAATTTTACACACACGCACACACGCACGCGGACAAACGCACACAGGAGCGCAACGGCAGCTAGATGATCGAACACTTTTGGTTTGTTGCTCTTTCACTCCTTTCTTCTCTTCCTTTTTTCCTCCCTTTCTCTATCTCTCCTTTTAAAATTTTCTTCCTCGTTTTTTGCCTTTCTGCCTCTTGTATTCTATCTTATTTGCGTACATGCATACAAATACACACATACAAACACACACCCCACACACGCGCACACATCAGACATATATGCACACACGCGCGCGCGTACACGCGCACGTATGTGCGATCAACATCTCTATCTCACATATATTACACGCTTTTTCTCTTCATTCGCGCACACGTCATTATCGGATCATCGCGCACGTAAGAATTGAGAAAATATATGTACATAAAAATGTCGTGGCGCAGCGGCGATAGTAGAAGTAGTAGTAATAGTTTAATAGTAGTGGTAATATAGTAATAGCAGTAGAGTAGACATGATAGATTAGAAGTAAAAGTGTCGATCGCTAAATATAGTCAAACCTCATATGATCTTCGCTTCGTTTCTCTTCTGCCCTTTGAGCACAATGATCTCTGCCCTCACATATTTCGCTTATACTGTTAAATCACTAAGAGAAGGGGGTTTGGGATTCAGGAGGGAGGTTAAGAATACTGCAGAGGAAGAGACAGAGAGGTGGTTGTCAATTGCAGCGATTAAGTGACCGACATAAGTTTCGCTGGAAGGACGCGAGTTACTATCAAAAATCTAAAAAAATCTCTCGAAACGTGTCCTATGAAAAAAAAAAAAGAAAAAAAAAGAAAAAAAAGAAAAAACCAGAAACACGAATAAGACAATATGCATTCCATCACACCGCATGACGGTCTTTACCGTCCTTTCTATTCTCGTTGATTATTTCTCGCTTCGTTTCCACGGGTTCTTCTTTTGTACAGTACTACTACACCATATTTTACATTTAGTTCTATGCGATCATATCGCTCTCTTCGCCATTTCTATCATACATAAGAATTTGCAAAAGATATAATACCTGGTACCATGAACCGCGCATAAACATCCTCGTTTAGAAAAACGTCGTCGCTGTCGTTGTCGTGCTTGGCATCGGCGTCGTCGTCAGCGTCAGCGTTAGCATCGTCATCGTGGTAGCTCTGAACGCAGGGTAGAACGTTTAGAAAAATTACCGAAAACTTGAACGAGGAACGGTAGCATTCGTCGTCTCGCGACATGTCGTCCTTAAATCGGTTCACATTAGCATAGTCGTGATATTGGTGACGGTAGCGGTGTTGCTGTTGCTGTTGTTGTTGCTGCTGTTGGTGATAGTGGTCATGGTGGTGGTAGTGGCGGTGGTAATGGTGGTAGTAGCGGTAGTGATGGTAGTGGTGGTAGTGATGGCGTTGGTGCTCTCGGTGATAACGATGAGGACAACAGTTGTGGTTATAATGGCGGTGATAATTGTGGCGGGTGATGGCAGAGTGATGGTCCGTGGCAGGGGATCACTTGTCGGAACTCGGGCACTCCCCAGGCTGCTTCATTATCGTGTAGTCTAGTCGATACTGGGCTGAAATTAAAAGTACTCCGTGTCTATCGTGACGACAACACGTGAACAGAACGTGCGCGATTGCGGGTGAATCTTTCTTCGAAAATTTGCACAGTGTCTTACGATAGTTTTGTCTCTTCTGTTTCTTTATCTATCCGCATCTATACGCAGTGACCGCATACGGGAGAGAAAAATCCTGTTTGTATATTATTATCATGCCTAATCAAATTGCTTCATGACGAAAACATTACAATAACTTAAGAAGTAACATTCTTCCTTAAGTATGTCGCGACGCTTAAAGAGACTTGCTCCGATAAAAATACGAGATACAGCGGACCAAGAGAACCGAGACTTTCTTCCTCTCCAGGTAATGAAGACGACGACTTTTATTATATTAGGAGGACATACCTTTCTTCGTGATGTCCTCCATCGTCTGATCCTTACAGTCCACCGCGAGATGATTACTGCTGCCGCAGTTATAACAGGAGATCTTCGTCGGCGGTATCACTGCCGCCGCGTACGTCACCACCGGCGTGGGCGGCATGTACGACGCTTGTACTTGCGTCGCGGCGACCGCGGCGTTCGGTGGAGGTGGCGGTGTGCTGCCGGACGCCCCGGGATGTCCCGTATACGGGTACATCATTTCGCCGCCGTTCGGCTGATACGCGCCTGGGTAGGCTGGTCGCGCCGCGGACGGCCCGTGCAAGAAGTTGGTATAGATGCCGGTGGTGCTGGATCGTATCGCTGCCGGGAAGTGTCCGTGCGGCAGATACGTAAGCTGCGAATGTGATGGCGGTGTCGGGAAAGGGACGGTGGGGCAATGTGGTAAACTCGGCGGTCCACCGCCGCCGTTCCCATTGCCGACTCCGCCGTTCAGCATTCCCTGGCTCTTTTGACGCATCGTGGCGCGCACTGGCGGATTCTTCCTGGTGAGCTGCCTCTCCGGCGGCACTGACGTTTGCTGCATCGTTTGTTGAGTGGCCGGGACGACGTGCGGCGGCGGCGGTGGCGGCGCCGTCGTCGTGGAGTGTACCGGCGCGCTGTTTACGTGATCGGTGACCGGTGGCACGACGTTGTTGTTGTCGGCGCCAGCGCCACTGACCCATGGCGCGGCCGGAGGCGTTTCAGGCGGTGACCTGCTGCCGGTGCTGTCGGAGCTACTGCTCTGGGAACAGTGTCGACTGTTCTCGGAATCGAGTCGTAGCGCTTGTAGTTGCGCCAGGCAGTATACGTGTTGAGCGTTGCACCTGGAAACATTACTCGACGTTAGACTTCACAGGTACCGCCCTCAGTTTTCACTCAGAACAAGCACACGTGTGTGCTTTCGATCTGAATTTCGGTATTTTCGATTCGATGTGATCTTTACGCACCTTGAGTATCGGTTTTGCATGCCAGCTACCGGTACGGTGAGACAGGCATAACATGGTGCGTTCTGGGCCGTATACATCTGCGGTGGCGCGGGGTACATTTGCATTTGCGAGGGGTCTACTAATGACGGCATGGCGGCAGGATAACGCCGTATGTTGGGAGTAGCCATGTGATTGTGATAATGATGCATCGCCGGATGCTGTTCCTGTAATGGCATCGATTTCGCGCTCGTGTTATTGCTATCACATAAAACTTCCATTCCTGGTACGACCTGCGTGATAAAACAGACACTTGTAGATAACTGTGAATACATATATATATTTGGAAGATGTTATCAAGCTTCTATTTGTATTCGTAGCCAGTAAGACTGATCTTTCGTACTGTGCGGTAAGAAATGAGTGTGAACCTTACCTCGTTCTCGATCGGTTCACCGATCGGATGCGTGGTATTGCTTGCATTGTCCAGCTTCTTGTCGGCCGGAATTTGGTTTAAACCGTTAGTAGTTTGACTCTTAACTATACTCCTCAACTGTCCCACTGCGTTCGGTGTAAAGCCAATGTCCCTCAAGTCTTCGTCGCTCAGCCTTCTAATCTATATTCCGTATACATAGGAAGTTCAATTCCAACTCACACTTGCGTACACAAGGATGTTTAGCTAGTATCAGACAGATCGAAGCACTTTTTCACAACAATTAGACATAAAGATCTCGCTTACCTCTTCACGAGAAAGGTTCTGCAGATTGCCCTTGAAGTTCGGCATCTCCTTGCCCAAAGTATCTCGCAGAGAGTCGCCAGAGTTGGACGGCCTGAGTCGCGGTGGTGGCGGAACCTGTTTCTGTTGGCTCACCGGGATCAAAGCGGACGACGGATTGTTGTTGTCGACGCTGTTGTGCCGGGAGAAGGAGCTTGAAGAATTTGTAATAGACAAGGGAATTGATCGAGATGATGGGAGCAACGGCGGCTGTTGACTAGGAAGACTTCTGCTCACGCCGAGCGTCGGTAGCGGTGGCAGGGAGTTGTTGTTATTGCTGTTATTGTTGCTGTTAGTGATAGTCGAGCCGGAAATGCTCGTCTGACTGTTAGAGCCGGTCGTTGACGACGTCGTCATGGTGTTGGAGGTGGACTGGGTAACTTGCGTGGACGAGGTACGTGAGTTGGCGTTAGTCCTACCGCGACCCATAGGCGAGTTGCTGCGACTAGGGGATCTTGACTGGGACGGCGAGGACTGGCGGCTGACTAAGGGGGAAGGTGGATAAGCCAACATGTCGCCGGTGTGATACATCAATTGGTTTCCCATCATAACCTGACCTGTCCACGGGGGCAGATGGTTCACGGACGGAAAACCGAGGTGAACATATTGCGTGGTACCGCCAGCTCCCATGGGTATTTGCTCCGGAGTCGCCGGCAGGCATAATCCTGGGGGAGGTATTGTGAGGCCGGGCGGCATTCCGGTTACCATAGCATTGTTCCTCATCGCCATTTCACCTAAATATAACATGTAATACGATGATATCAACACGTCGAAGCGTTCTTTTCTTTCATGTTCGAGATCGTGCATGCAGAACTTCCAATATGACATGAACAAGTTTATAGCAGAGCAAATAGAGTTCCTTGGCTTGGAAGAATTAAATTCTGCTAATCTAATTCTAGTTTATTTTATCGCAATTTATTCAACTTGTGGCTTTGTCGTCTGTTCATACTCTTTATCAAAATGTTTCCCTCGCATGTTAACGGATATTTAGAAAGTGTGCGACATGACGTACCGTGATAAGATTGCATCGGCGGTGGTGGCATTAAACAGCTACCCGGAATCTCAGGCTCCATTAACCTCTCGTTCGTGCTCATACATGGCCCGCAACCCTGTATAAATTAAAATCACGTATAGCTTCATACGTTCAACAGTTTTCAGCTTTCGAAACAGCTAATCGTGTTATCACGATGTACACTTTGTATGTAAGTCGACATGCACAAATTTACATTTACGAGATTATTATTGAGATTATCAGAAATGTGAAGACATTGAGTACAATTATTTCTTTCTTTTTTTTTTTTACACTCATCGAAAGTATATTCATTACCAAATAGCTCTCCTAGAGAATGCAGATGTGTAATACGATGAAACAATGAGTTATACATCGAGATACACATTGTGTTGTAATACATGAAGTATCAATAATTTTATCTCTTAAAACAATAGTCGATAATAGAGCAGGTAACAATGATCCATAATTCTAATGCGGTACGCGTGAATTCATATTTACTTACTTCCAATTTGGACCTTAATGCCTGGATTGATAACCCGAACATCGAACTCGAGAAAAATATACGTAATGGTCCAGATCTAACACGCATTCTTCGTGTACGAATTATATAAAGATGTAAAATCATATGCGCCAATCAAATGATTGAATCGATTAAAAATCGATTAAAAAATGTTACATAGAAGTAATCAGGTCTAATTTTGTTATAAAAAATATTCAAAATGTGCATATAAGGCATTAAACAATTTTTAGAAATTTTTTCACTCGAATTTAAAAAGCAATGGTTTTGTTCAAAACTACCGTAAAATTTAGAATAAATCGATACAAAATTTCCTAAAAATATGTTTAGTTAATACGGAATACAGTTAAAATAAAATTATACATTCAATCTCCACTTTCTCACTTCAGGTATAAAACAAAACTAAAAAGCGAAACTATTTTATTTAATTTCGAGTTTGATGTTGCTAATACTAATTCGAGGATTAATTTGCAAGATATTTGATGGATAGAATTGAATTGAACAAACTGCAAGTTAAAAACGATGAATTCCCGTAATATTCAGTAATGGGAAATCGACTAAATCGGTTTTAAATTCATCGATAAATTCATACTTAAAAGAACATATGATAGGTCTGAGACTCTTTACAGACATAAAGACGGGTTTCAACTGCAGATGTTACCTGAAGTTACTACAAAAGAAAAACACTCATATTCTAAATTATACACATAATTTTGGATATTATAATTATTAAATTTTGTCATAAAATGTTTTTCTCTTACACGCACTGATGATAATTTTTATATTATTTTTATATTAATGGAATGATTTTGAGGACCATATTTAATGCTAAATACACTATAAAAGCAAGGAATCAAAATTTTTCTGTCAATTATCAACTATATACAAGTACAAACGTGCAACACAATTATGTATTAATAAAAAAGATAAAAGATAAAAGATAAAAAAAGATAAAAGAAAGGACGAAACAAAGATTGAAGTCGGCTACTTTACAACAAATGATAATTAACATAACTGTCTAAAAACATTAACCAACTTTCTATAAAAAGTAAGATTTTTCATGTGAAACAGTACAAGAGAATTGCCTCTCTAATTTTCGGATATCTACAAAGATCATCTGCTTCTTTATATTCACAGATCAGAAGGAACGGCAATTCTAAGCTAGTCGATTATATTATTCTGCAGAATTACAATTACTAATTGACGTTTTACTCAGTGAGAATGAAGAACAACAATTTAGAAGACACAGAATGATACAATCGATAAAGCAAAATAACTCTGAATTTCTATAAAGCTGACTATTGCTATATGTATCTACATTAAAAAGTGAGGAAATATTGTGCATTACTTGTGCCTGCTTGAAAGAGTTTATCTTTGAGAGATTCAAACGAGCATCTTCCTCCTGGAGCTTGATGAATATGTTGCCAAACACACTCTTCTGCTCGTATGTAAAGGCCGGATGGTTCAGTGCCATCGTATACAACAACAACAATTCTTCCAGGGGCTGGTCATCCATGTTGTTGAAGGTGGTCCCGTTCAGCAGATTGGTAATCTCCTGGTGATCAAGATTGGACAGGTTCTTGTATAGGATCACTGCACAAGCGTAATTGCACGAGTGCAACAGCGCCATGTAGAGAGCTAGTTTTCTCCGTGTACGCTTGTCTGTCACGGAGTTTGTTGTCAACTCGGCCAACTCGGATGCGCTATTTGCATGGTGCTCCGCGTCGCGCAGGTCATTGTAATCCCGCTTGCCGATATCCTCGACGCATGTGCCAAGGTACCGTACTTCAAACGGCAAGCACATGTTCAGCAACGTGCACATTACATCGATACGTTTATAACTAAACAGATAAAAGAATGGATTAGTGTCAGGTAACACAAAGAAACTGATACATCAACAATTTATATTTATGCCATCTTAAGTCATCAATTCTTTAAATATCATGATACTATTTCAACTTGTTCTCTTTTGCATTTTTATATCAACTTTTTGTCATATAATATCTGAAGCTTAACTTAATTTGCACTTCATCTTATTACTTCAGATAGAATTTTAACATGAAGTTAAATTATCAAGATGCAAATTTTAAGAGTCTGAATGTTACAAAATAATTTCAGAGTATATGACTGAACATTATATGTTATTTCAAATTATATACATACACACGTAAAAACTTTATTTGATACTTATATATTGCAATATAGTTGCCCTATATAATGATATTGATCGCTATCAGTAATATCATATATATTAATATACTCAAAATGAAATTTAGATTAATTATTCATTCAAATGTTAAATGAACGTACTATTTGAAAAATTACCATGCATCGTAACTTTTACAAGCAATGAGCAATAAAATATAATCCAGGTGTTAATTTATCAAATCAAGCATTGCTGAAGAAATTTTACTATATACAATAATTCAACTTCCTTTAGTTAACGAGAACTAGTATGTTTAGTCAGTCAGAAATTAACATTCTTAAAAATTCACAAGAAGTAACTTTCCATAACCGACAGTCGCTTCCCGTCGCTTCGTACAAGGAATACAGAGCTACGAGACGACAAGAACATCTGAAGTATTTAAAATCCAGTAAGCGCTAATAGACAAATAGCTGCAAGAAGCAATTCAACAGCAGAACAGACTCAAATTTTTATATGCTACTCTATGTATCAGTTGAAAAATTTAAATGGAACCTATATACAACAAGCGAAAATGTACATAGGCGAAAATGTGATAAAAATGTGAGATTCTAATGGGGCGTCAAGACGATAGTAATCTTCTAATGTAAAATAAAGGCACGCCAAGGCGATGAAACCTAGGTCGTTTCTGTGCATGCTGCAGTCGCATCGCGAGCGAGTCGAATGATAAAAACGACGACGACGACGACGACGATGCATCGACGACGGTTACGCAAAATTACTCCTGAAATATCTCGAAGGGTGAAGATGCGCGCGTCGGGATCGTGCGGATCGCCGCGTATAGATAATAGTCGCGTCGCGCCACGACGCTTCAACATTACCTGGACAGATTCCCAAACCATGATACCACGTTCTCCTTACACACCATTGCCAGACAACATTGATACCACTTTGGGTGGGAGGAAAGCGCGGAGCGACGGAGCGGACAGCCACCAACAGGCGTCTCTCTCTCTCTCTTCTTCACTGTCTTTCTCTCTCTTTTCCTCTCCCTCACCCTCTAACCACCACTCTCTTTCTCTTCTCTCTCTCTCTCTCTCTCTCTCTCTGTCTCTCTCTCTCTCTCTGTCTCTCTCTGTCTCTCTCTCTCTTTCTCTATCTCTCGCCCTCGAGGGCGCCGCGCAATCAGGTTGACAATCCAGATCCCCGTAGGCTGGAGAGTCGTTTCACGCTAAACGCTCGATGACACTCGTCAGAATCCGTTGACGAACGGCAATGACGAGTTTTGCAGCAGCAGCAAGCGCATGAAATGCACAGTGGCGGTGGTAGCGGTAGCGGTAGCGACAGCGACAGCGACAACACGGCGCACCGTTAAGTGTCCACATTCGCGACACAGCGGGCGTAGGTAGCGGGCACAGGGCACAGGACACCGAGAGAAAAGAACACGATTATATCCAATCGGAGCTGGCGACGACAGAGGAGCGAGCGTCAACGAGCGATCGGGCGCGATCGGGCCGCGCGCTTGTCCGTCCGTACAACCGTGGCGCGGTTCGTCGTCGTCGGCAGAAACGGCAAATCTGTATCTCTTTCTCTCTCTCTCTCTCTCTCTCTCTCTCTGTGTGTCACTCACTCACTCTTTCCTCTCACACTCTCCTTCTCGCGAGCAAATGAGCGAGCAAGCGTATGAACGGTCGCACAATCCGCATACGTTTCTCCCTTGTCGTTCACTGTGTTCCTTCTGAAGAAAATGCGAATACGTCTTACGATATATATACGCTGTCGTTCGTTCGTTGTACGTTCCACCATGCACTCTCGCTGCTAGATAACTCTCACGATTTCTTTCTCTCTCTTTCCCTTTCCGCTCAACCCTCTCTTTCTCTCTTCTCCTTCTCACTCTTTCTCTCTCTTCTTCTCTCTCTCTCTCTCTCTCTTCTCTCCCGCGCGCGCGAGATGCTACTACGAGAGTGTATCACAGACATTCAAATCGAGAGATCCCCGTTCACATGCTCGCGTTAAAAGAGGCTTCGGGCATTCTCTCGTTTGCCTTGGTTCGGTATGTGCTCGTAAGGCGGCATTTTCATGTCGCCGATAACTAACGCGGGAATTTGCACACTATTGACGTATGAAATTCGTTTAATGCATTTGAATTTTCTCACACAAAATGGAGGAAAAATAGCAAGATACTCGGTGCAGTAGGTGCAGCTGCAACGTGCAGGTGTTACATCACCGTTGGTGACAATTTGCAAAACAGTCACGTGATGGTTGTGCAGGTAGAACGGGTTTAGGAAGACGCTGTGTGATCGACTTGTTCCCTTCAGCAAGAAACGATTTTTATTGACTTCGAAGTGTACTTCCTTCGTAAAGGTTTTCAAGATTTCTCATTATACTGCTGCATATTCCAATCTAGATTAAGTCAATATAATATATTTATACCGACTACTTACATTTCTACTTTATTATATTCGTATGCATTAAAATGCATGGACAGTTCTGTGTAAGATCTCTTTTGACAATTCTGATATTGTTTATAGGATGGCACCGAGATACGAATTGGCTGTTGGTCTCAATAAGGGTCACAAAACAACAAAAATTCGAGTAGCCAAAACTAAGGCCGAGAAAGAGAAGACTGTCTGTCATCGACCGTCCAGACTAAAAGGGGTTAGTATATTACGGATATCACATAACCTTTTTTCATTGTTATTATATCCCGATACCATCTAGAGAACATTTCAGTATCTTGGTTCGATAATTATACATAAATATTTTCCTGTTGTGCATTAATCTATCTTGAATTTTTCATGGCAGAAACAAACCAAACATGGCAAGTTTGTAAGGGACTTGATTCGAGAAGTTACAGGACATGCTCCATATGAGAAGCGCGCGATGGAATTACTGAAGGTCTCCAAAGACAAGCGTGCATTGAAATTTTTGAAGAGAAGGGTATGTAGGAAGCTGGCACTTTCTCCCTTACTTAACTTAATTAACTTATTGCATATACATAGACTTTATACAAGATAGTAATGGGTAATAAAGAATATTTCTTACAAATAAATTCTCTTATATTTTCTAGCTGGGCACACATATTCGTGCTAAAAGGAAGCGAGAAGAGCTTGGAAACATCCTGGTACAGATGAGGAAAGCTGCTCATCATTAATAGCTTTCTTGTTCCCAAATTTCTAAATTCCATTATTTAAAAAAGTCAATATCTCAATTTAAAATCTATTAACTTGGGAACCGTTATAGCTGGCTATTGCTTTCACTGTTATCTTGATTGAAATGTATCTTAAATTAAAATAAATTTGAATATTTTGCAGTAACCACTATCCGCCATATATTTTCATTATTGACCTTCTACTTTATCTCATGCTGAAATGCTTATTTTGAGATTGTGGAAATAATTATTTAGAAATGTATCAGAATTTAGTGAGCATAGGTTTATATAATTGCAAGGCCAGAGCCAAATAATAAATATAGTACACATCCTAATGCATCAATGGCAGCAATAAATAGGAAAACAACAGACCAACTGTGTGTGAGATATAAAATGTGTCCGGCGACATATACACCGAGGAAACCTGGAAATAAAATGAAGAAACATTGTTTGTTGATATGACTGTTTCTTTCTTTTTAATTTAATAAGAATTTTTAAATAAATTTCAATATGATTAATATGATTCATGTTTTAATTATATACATACCAGGAATCGCGCCGATGGTATTCATTATACCAAAAACACTACCAGAATGCTTTGGTGCAAGATCTGAAGGATTTACAGCAATCGCGTTATTGTGGAAGCCCGAAGCACCGATAATCAGAGCAAGACACAGTATTGCGCCTTGAAGAGTTTCCACTGTCGCTAATATGTATAAAAGCCGACTAATATGTGATGTTCCATTTCTAATTCATTTAATTAGTTAGTATTATTAGTTAAAAAGTTGCTTACACAGGAACAAAAGACTTCCAATTTCTGTAATGAAACAAATCGTTTGAATTATCTTGCGTGTAACAGTCACAGAGTAGCCAGCCTTGATTATTCTTTCAGTCAGAGATCTTCCCAAAAATGTACAAGGTAGCATTGACAACCATGGCACCATATTTACGAGCCAGCCCTATTAATTCAAATTATTAAATTAATAATCAATATAAAGAAACTCATTTTTTATGTTCCTCAAAAAAATTTAAAATCATTTAAATAAAATGCATAAATAAGTTTCATTTAAAAAATCACAAAATTACCTTAACTTCAGGAAATGTATCATGGAAATATGTAGGCATCCATGACAATAATACAAAGAAACAATTATTTTGACAAGCATGCCCAATTACACAGGACCTGAAAATTTTTATTTGATAATCATAGAGATAAGCAAAATAACATATTTGCTGCCATGTTATTGTACCAATAAGAAAGTAGAGTCATAATGTTTTATCATTTTTATTATTCAGAGATTCAAAAACTAGATAAGAAACTGTTGTCAACTGTTGTCAAAGAAACAATTTTTAACAATGTACTATTTGAGTAAATAAAAGCATATATAACTTGTAATAATATATATATAATAATATATATAACATTAATTATTTGCAAGCATAATTATAAGAACATAGCATCTACAGCAAATAATTTTCAATGCTCTTTCTGAAATAGAAATAAATAAAAAAAAAATATATATATATAAGTATTTCTATAATGGAAACATTAGTTTTTATGCACACCAGTGATTACCAGAATGGAAGTTTTGATAGAAGCGTGGACCAAGGCAAAGTGTAGCTAGTGGCTGGCTTAGAAGCAGTTCTTTCCTTAAATGGCAGGATTTGATAGCTTAATAAGGCTGTCCATGCCAAACTCATGCCCCCTATATCAGTAAATTGATTAACATCACAAACATCCTTATATCTTTTCTTAAAAAAAGGAAAAAGCTTAAAAATTTTTAAAGCTAGTTGTCTTTTAATATCATGCTTTAAGTCTTTAGTTTCTAACTGTAGTTTCATTCCATGTCTCAATTTTACATATTTATAACGTCTCAGTGTTATATTTATATCATTATATCATTATCATTATATGTTCTCCTTATTAAAATATTTTATCTCTATTACGCACAAATTACACAATACCTAAAGTTTGAAAGACAATCATCCAATTATAATTCTCCAAAAGATAGGAGCCTAAGAATCCTGTGAGCAATGTACCTAGAGCAGATCCTGATGTCAACAAGCTAAAAAAAGAGGCACGTTCTGCCTCATGCAAGTGTTGACTAATCAGACTAATCATGCTAGGAAAATGCATTCCTGCAAGTTACAGGCCTTGTTATTTTAAATTCTTTTAGAGCATAAGGATATAATAAAAAAGTTACCTTGGAATGCACCGTTCACTATCCTCACAAATACAACTGGCAAGAAGGATAATTTACCCTTGTAAAAATTTATGATTTCTGGCATAAAGAAAGTTGTTACCGACCAACCAAAGGCAGATATCCATAATACTTTCTGCCCACCAATTCTATCACTGATATAACCACTAGCTACTTGTGTCATCATATATCCCCAGAAGAAAGTAGATAATATTGCACCAGAGTTTGGCTTTGACCAGTGTTTCTCATGGCTAATAACAGGTATCAGCAAAGGAACAGATGTACGTGTAGCATATATCAAACATGTTCCCCAAAGCAATGAGAAGAACCATTTCCGTCTCTCTTTTCTGAAACAAATAAAGTTCCTTTATATTAATTTCAACGTTATTACTTGTAACAATATTTATAAATATCTTGTTATTCGATGCAACATTTGTTGCACGATCGACATGTATAGCTTAAATATAAATGCATACTATGAAATACTGATTACAAAAAATAATACAGTTATAGTTGTGGAAAACTGTAAATGTTCATAATCGTCCTTAAATCCAAAAAAATAATATAGGATATTTCTTTGATTATATACCTCGACCAAGCTGAACTGGTCTTGTCATCCGGCGGTATGTCCAATGCCACTTGCAGTTGCATTATCACGTAAATAATGTCGTTTAACTAGTTGACAATCGTTTTAATTTCCGCCTTTGAACGTCAGACTTCATTGATGTTCTGTTTGAACGGGTTGCAATTCTCACACACATATTTGAAGTGCATTCGGAAAGACGTTATCAAAGTATTATCAACGTAAACACTACCAACGCTATTGCGATAGAGCGATTTCATGAACAGCGTATAATGGCTGCGTCCCGATATTCACTATCAGCACTGAAATTCTATAGTATACATGACATAACCTATGTATTTTCAGTACTGGCAGTGAATTTCGGAACGCAGTCAATATTAAGGCCAGAGCACAGCCTTCTGCATAACGCATAATACATAACACATAAAGGCTCGTCTACATTAGCTGTAAAGGCCTATCCAGACAAACTTGCATAAGCGCGTAACGCATATGCATAAGGAAATTGACTAATTATGATTCGTGTAGTAAAAAAATATTTTTTGTATTAAACATACGATTGGTCAATTTCCTTCTGCGTTACGCGCTTATGCAAATTTGTCTGGATAGATCCTAAGGGCAAGAGCACAGGCTTTTGCATAACACATAATATATAACACATAAGAGAATAAACCAATTAGTTTCCTTCATTTCCCTCCTCAGGACAGAAATGAAGAACTCTGATTGGTTGATTCTCTTATGCGTTGTGTATTATACGTTATACAAAAGTCTGTGCTCTGGCCTTTAGTATTACTACATGAAACGTAAAGACCGACGAAGTAATATTAAAGATTGTCAATTCTATATAAAAGTTGAGGTTTGATTTCACACAGATTCATGATGGGACCAATATAACGGTCAGCTAATCAACAAACAAGATATCGCTGTGCTTCTTTTTTAATCTAGGGCTTTATTTTGATTGAAAATCTTTAATTTATGTAAAGGAAATGTATGTGTAGATAAAATGAACAGACCGATTTATATTGTTGATCCTTACAAAAATTAGCAAATTTAGTGCGTCCAATCAACAGTTACAATTTTGGATTTATGTAGCTAAGAGAAGAGAGAACATAGAGAGAAAGACAAAACATTAATTTCATCTGACACATATGCAACATGTATACGATGTAAAGCCCGGTCCAGAATAGTTGCAAGCACACCCAGTTGCAAGTTGCGAAAAATGGCAACTACTAGTTACAAAGTGTTATTTTTGGGGTCGTAAGGTAGTTGCGGTTGCTAAAAGAGAGTTACCCAATTTTTAACTTCTTGGCGATGACAACCGGCGATCGTAACTATCTCTTACAACCAAAAATAACACCGAAAATAACTAGTAGTTGCCATCCTTCGCAACTCGCAACTGGATGTTTGCAACCTATTCTAGACCGGGTTTAATGGTCAACAGCGTTTACAAAACAAAACTTGAGACTTCAAACATATATCGATTTGTTTTCTAAATTAGGAAATGTCATATATGAAAGCTTAATATATTGTTATTTTTGCTAAGTACCATTTTTAAATTATGCTGTGCAAGTCATGGTATATAGGAAATTATATAAATAGCATCTAAAAGTTGACATTATAAACGTTCAAGGACAAATGGCAGAGGTAAATTAAAAAATATATTGATTATAGTAATCATTATTCCTTTACCAATATATGTTTGTATTAAAAACAAATAGGATATTGCTTCTTTTGCCCATTATCTTTTTTGTACTTAAGATTTGATAAGCAAGAATTATTTTGTTTTAGATGAATAGTGAAGGCAGTATATATAACTCAATAATTATCTATTGTGAGTACATATCTATATTTTATTTATTTATTTCAATTATGAAAGAATAAAATAATTAAAATCTAATGTTTAATTTCATAGGTGAAGAATATGCAGGAAGATGGCAAACATTGTTACAACATCCTAATGTTCTTCGACTTAAGGAGCAGTTTGCTCGCAATCCATTTTTGCAAGTAGCTGTCACTATTATGATAGCATCACTATTGACCCCTGTTCTTCTCTTTATTATACTTTCTATTGCCAGTGCTATATTTGCATTTATTGGTTTTATGATGATTCAAGGTAAGACATTTTCATTTTTTATTGTAAAATTTTAGTTAGATTTTTGCACTAATATATATTTGTTATATTTTCAGTAACGGTATTGGCAATTGGTGCAAGTATCTTAAGCTGCATTCTTTTCTGCATTGCAAGTACTTTTGCAATGATAGGATTATGTACCCTTTCTATCTATTATTCATTATATTATGCAAGTCATGCATTTAATCTTTTAAGTTCGCAATGAAGCCAGTAATAGTCATGTACAGAATATTACATTCTGAAGCCTATTTTATATGATCTTTAAATACTTTCTACATGAAACCATATACATAAAATAAAAAACATATATACATATAAAGATATACGTAATGTCAGAAATAAGTGTCACAAATAATATTCATATCATATAAAGCAGGCTTTATGAGAATAAAGAATTATATATAATACTTGACTAGTGATTTAGCACAAATTATTTTATTATAGATAAATCATGTTTAATAAACTTTGTTTAATTACAATATATTTATTTCAAAATTTTAAAATAAAATAAACTTACAAGTATAAATAGATACAATATTATGTAGAAACATCTGGAATATTAGGTTGAAGACTTTCATTTGTATCTTTGGGACCTTCACTAGTGGACAAATATATTTCATGCCATAAGGAATCAATTAATTTTTCATTAATTTTTTGATTTTCATAACAAAAGTGATGAATATAATCACGTCTGTTTGTTACATCTGTATCAAGGGTTAAAGATTCATCATTTATAAATATATGTTCATTTGGTTATTCATTTGATTTTACAATTATTAAATATTTTCAAATTATCCAAATCTAAAAATTAAATGACTCAAAATAATATTGAACATTGAAAAATATTGAATATTGAAAAAGGATACAGCCTCTAATACTGTGTTGTGAGGCTTCATAATCCCATTGTATTCCTGTTAGCTTTTTATATAGTTTAAACTTTTTCCTGAAATATACAATAAGCAACAATAACAAAAAAGCAAGAAACATATATATATATATATATATATAAATATCTTCATGATACATACTTTCCCTGCTCTAGAACTTGTTGATCTTGTAAATTAGGGTTAGCTAATCTACCTTTTAAACTCTGCTGTTGTATTTCCAATTGTTTGATTTCTTGAAACAACTTTTTTCTCTCTACTTCTAATTCTTCCTATTAAAAAAATACAACTTAGCAATGGTAGAATATCAAAGACTGAAGAAAAAATGGATAGAGTATTTGTGATACTTACTAGATAAACATTGTGTTTCTCCAACTCATTACTTTTGTCCTCCAAATTGTTAGTCACTGTGTTCAAAGTTTCTTTCATAATAGCTAACTTTGATGTTAATTCCTTAATTTTAGAGTCATCTACCAAAATATATATTAACTGAATGGAAGTTTAATCTTCCTTAATTTGCTTTAGAAAAGTATCACAATATAACAAATGACATATCTTTTTCTATTTTCATAAATATTAAATATATGAATTGATAGTTAACTAAATTTACCGTTACAACGTTGCTCTTGGTTTTTTCTAATTTTATCTGCAATTTCTGCCTGTGATAGAAACAAATTTTTAAGTACTGATGTGTCCACTTTGACATATTTTTCTTTCAGCTGTTTTATTTCCTCCATCATAATTGCTTCTTTCATACGTGACACATAACAAACGTCTAACGTGAACACGTAATTATACGTTAAAATTTGAATCCTTGCAATGCCTCCTATCAACCCATTTATAAAATAACGTCATCAACAAGGTAATACTACAGATTGTCAGTCCTAAGTAAATTTTCGTACTGAGTTACAAGCCTAGAGATAATTGAAGAGCGATGATAATACCGACCATGTATTCCATCAGAATACTATTTCATATATATCAGAATATAGAACAAGCAAAATGCTGAATGGCCACTACAGTATTCACTAGCCAACTTCTGCCACGCGGCAAGCGGCAGCCTTGGTGGAAAAATGAGAAAAACAAAAACTGCAGAAAGATGGTTCAGAAGATGCAGCTGTGAAGATCATACTTCTGCCTAGGGCCAGTATTCATAGTCAGGTCTTATATTTAAGACCGTCTTAAGATCACTTTCAGATACTCCACAGCCAATGAAATGATTTGTACAGCATCTGCAGATAAACTTAAGACGATCTTAAATATAAGATCCGACTGTGAATACTGGCCATAGATCTCTGCAAAGTTGCTGTGCAGCAAACCACGTGGTTGTACTGGTGTTGAAGAAACGAGCTTTGTTAATTATCAAACGATGTCAGCGTCGAATTTAGAAATGTTTCACAAACGAGCGGCCGCAGCGGTAAATGTCTTTAACGATTGATTTCCAGTGTTTCATTATTATAATATGATAAGTTCCAATGATCAGCTGTTGGATTCAACGATTTATAAACATCTTCTCTTATAGGAAGAAGAAATAGTTTTCTTAAAAGAACAAATTGAACTCTTGCGCCAGAATATTGCGGACAAAGTTTCACAGGAGTCTACTATGGACAAGGACGAAGTTATAAAATTACAACAGGAGAATATTAAATTGAAACACAGAATAGCGATACTGAAGAGGGTATGTTTTTACCAGAGAGTAAATTTCATGTATTGTAACACAATTTTGCTGTAAAGCTTTATTTGTTAGTATATTTGTTTTTTGTTATTCACAGACCATTGAAGCTCAGAGAGCTAAAGTATCATCAGATTCTACATCTCTATCTGTTGTATCTCAAGACAGTGATGTGATCAGTATAAATAATACTCTGTGCGATATTTTTCGAGAGGCAATCCATTTAGCGTATCCTGATATATCAGATCCACCAGTAATAGTAACTACCAGCAATAATCTCAAATTTGGAGATTACCAGTGTAACAGCGCTATGCCTTTAGCCCAACATTTAAGTAGCTCTGGTAAGTTTCTTTACTGTTCCTTCTGGTATTTCTGATACTTTGTTACAAAATTTGGTACACTTAAAGTATATATTATTGCAGGTACTAAAGTAATTCCACGCAATGTTGCTAACAACATAATATCTAAGCTAGAAGAATCCTTTCTTGTAGATAAATATGAGATAGCTGGCCCAGGATTTATAAATATATATTTAAAACGTGACTTTGGACAATATACTTTGAACAGTTGGTTAAAGAAGGGTGATGTTCCTCCTCCATGTGTTCAAAGGAAAAGAGTTATAGTAGATTTTTCTAGTCCCAACATTGCCAAAGAGATGCATGTGGGACACTTAAGATCTACTATAATTGGAGACAGTATTTCTAGACTGTTAGAATACTTAGGACATGATGTGCTGAGGATCAATCATATAGGTGATTGGGGTACACAGTTTGGTATGTTAATAGCACATCTGCAAGACAAGTTTCCCAATTATTCAACTGTAGCTCCTCCTATCCAGGATCTTCAGGTGATTATATAATTGAAACATTTATCATATAATCATGTTTTACAAACAAATGTACAGAATATTTATGTTATTGTACTTATGTGTACAGGCTTTCTATAAGGAATCCAAAACCAGGTTCGATACTGACGAAAATTTCAAGAAACGTGCGTATGAGTGCGTTGTTAAATTACAGGCTCTTGAGCCTGAAATAACAAAAGCATGGCAAATGATATGTGATGTGTCAAGGCAAGGTAGATATTCTATTAATTGTCTGCGATTATTAAATGGAAGATTATTTACTTTGATTATTGTTATTGTATTCAATACAGAATTTCAGAAACTATATACCCGACTGGATATTAAGATAATAGAAAGAGGTGAATCATTTTATCAAAAGCACATGGAATTAGTAGTCAAAAAATTGGAATCAAAAAATATGTTAGAAGAGGATAATGGGCGGAAGATAATGTGGGGTGAGAAACGAGACAGTGGGATACCTTTGACGATAGTAAAATCTGATGGCGGTTTCACGTACGATACATCAGACATGGCTGCTCTTAAGCAACGTATTGAAGACGAGAGGGCCGATTGGGCAAGTATTGTTTCTCGCTATAGACATTATATCTCTCGAACGAATTATAACAAAGTTTAACATGAAGTTCGTAATTTTACAGTTGATATATGTGACGGATGCTGGCCAATCTCTACATTTTCAAATGCTGGAAAGTTGTGGCAGAAGGGCAGGTATCTTAAAGAGCAATCACAGAATGGACCATGTTGGCTTTGGTGTCGTTTTAGGCGAAGACAAGAAGAAATTTAAAACTAGGTCTGGTGATACTGTAAAACTCATTGAGTTACTGGATGAAGGTAATAAAATAGCAGCTCAATTTAACTATAATATTGTTATCGTTTGTTCTATTTCTGAAATGAATTAATAAACTCATATGTGGTGTCTCTAGGCTTGAAAAGGGCACTGCAGAAACTCAAAGAAAAGGAACGCGACAAAGTGCTATCCGAAGAAGAGCTGAAGATGGCACAGGAATCCGTGGCGTATGGTTGCATAAAATATGCCGATTTAGTACACAATAGAAACCACGAATATATATTCTCGTTTGACAAGATGTTGGAGGATAAAGGCAACACCGCCGTGTACTTATTGTACGCTTTAACTCGCATCCGTTCCATCGCCAGAATGGCGAACGTCACGCAGGATGAATTGCGGAAACACGCGCACGACACTTTAGTCTCGTTGGAACATGAGAAGGAATGGAAGCTAGCTAAAGTGCTGCTCAAGTTCCCTGACGTGCTTCTCAATATTAGCCAGGATATGTACCTGCACCAATTGTGTGAATTTTGTTACGAGATCTCATGCGCGTTTACAGAATTTTATGATAAATGCTATTGTGTGGAGAAGAATCAGGCCGGTGAAATCGTGAAAGTAAACATGGGACGTCTTTTATTAACGGAAGCTACCGCGATAGTTATGGGAAAGTGCTTTGCTTTGTTAGGCCTGAAACCCGTTACGCGGATGTAGAATTTTCATTTTTTAAATAGGAATTGTATAATTCCGATTTACGTCGAGATCTTAATTGCAAATGTAATGAAAGATTAATGAAAACTATGTGGATGTTTTATATGATTTTTCCTTATATATGTTGCATTTATATTTCTGCTTTACAATACAATTTAATGCAAATTAATATTATCTTATGATATATCTAATGTGACATTTTTAGTTTGAATTTGTATACAAAAGAACTAAATAATAAATATCTCTATTTCAATTGTGCGCCTGTTCCAATTATATGATTCGTTTATTATAAAATATCTATACTGTTATTAGTATCGAATTATTATATTGAATTTTCAATCAAATTTTGAAAATTATGAAAACCCATTTCTTTCCCCTTCTGTATGTATAAGTTAAGTTTTACATCAAATTCCAAATATCATTCTTTTTTTATATTTTTGTATCAATTTTGAATTAAAGCAATAACAAATGTGTGTGCAAATATTCGTTAAAAGTGTCTTATAGACATAATAATATATGCACCGTTTATGATGCAATAGTAATAATGCATTCTGAAATCATCATTGTAATCAATTACTATAAACTTTTTTTGTTAAACTAGTATTATTCTGAAATTTCATCCCTTTTTCTCTCAATGTGATTTTATATGCTTATTAATGGCAAAAAGTGTAACTTAATATATTACAAAAAAAAAACAGGTTTGAGAATGAGTAGCGTAGTGCTATCCACGTGTTTCGCATCGTGTGATTTGTGCCGTATGCCGATAGCCGCCGTATAATAGCTAATTATTATATACGTTAAATATAATTAAAATGGTAAGCACATTAACGGATATTGAAATTTGCCATTTCTATTATTTATATAAATTACTTATAAAAATATTTGCATTGCACTATGTGAAAGCTGATTCATGTTCAACTCTCTTAACCTGTTCGTTGATATCCGTAGTTCGTTACAATCTTTAGTTATTGTAAATATAAAAAACAATGGTAATTGTTCTATTATTTAATTTCCCTAATGTAGTATATATCATATGCTTTTCTATCTATATATTTTATTCTTAAAAAGCTAACTGCTAAAAATTGCTAAAAATTAGTCTTTTGTATGATAGACCACAAAAAGGAAAGGAACTTTTAAAGTTGAGTATCTTCAACAAATTGAGAGAAAGATACAAGCAAAATGGGAGGCAGCAAAGATATATGAAGAGGATGCACCTTTGGAGGATAAGAAGTCATCAGATGAAAAGTTCTTTGGAACTTTTCCATATCCGTACATGAATGGACGTCTCCATCTGGGTCATACTTTCTCATTATCAAAATGTGAAGTATATATCCATTTACTGCTATTTACAGCTATTTATAGAGCCTTATATTATCTCGAACAATATATATAATATATAATGATTATACACATAATAATAAATATTGTTAGTTTGCAATTAGATACAATCGTTTACTTGGAAAAAGAGTACTTTTTCCTTTTGGCTTTCATTGTACTGGTATGCCTATTAAGGCATGTGCTGATAAATTGAAAAGAGAAATAGAATTATATGGCTATCCACCACAATTTCCTGAGGAATTAGAGACAGTAGAAGAACAAGTGGATGATGTAATACCAAAAGATAAAAGCAAAGGAAAAAAAGTAAAGAGAAAATGTTAAAGCACAATAGAGTAATGTTATATATGTTTATGAAAGAATTAAGAATAATTGATATGAATTTCAGAGCAAAGCAGTTGCCAAAGTAGACTCAGTCAAATATCAATGGCAAATTATGCAAGCCCTTGGTCTAAAAGATGAGGAAATTAAGAATTTCACAGATGCTGCATACTGGTTGGACTACTTTCCACCACTTGCTGTGCAAGACTTAAAATCTGTTGGGCTACATGTAAGATATATAATTCAATGATGGTTCTTAGATTATTGCCTTCTAAAACTTGTACATCCAAACTGATATTTAATATTGTTTCAGGTGGATTGGCGAAGGACTTTCATTACAACAGATGCAAATCCATTTTATGACTCTTTTGTACGCTGGCAATATAAGCATTTGAAATCCAGGAACAAGATTAAGTATGGAAAAAGATATACCATTTATTCACCGAAAGACGGACAACCTTGCATGGATCACGATAGATCTTCCGGCGAAGGTGTTGAACCACAAGAGTACACATTGATCAAGATGAAAGTACAGGAACCTTATCCTCAGCAACTTGAGTAATATTTCTTATATTAAATTGTCTATCTGCCTTAATTTTTGAGAATTAGCTTTGTAAAATGGATATTATTTTAGGAAACTTTGTGGTAAACCAGTCTATCTCGTAGCTGCAACTTTGAGACCTGAGACAATGTATGGTCAAACGAATTGTTGGGTGCATCCAAGTATGAATTACATAGCATATGCTTTAACATCTGGAGATGTATACATTTCTACGGAACGTGCGGCAAGGAATATGTCTTATCAAAATTTCTTCAAAGAGGAGGGGAAGATAAATGTGCTTCTGAAGCTCACTGGCAAAGTATGATCTATTTATTCGTTTGATAAAAATTAATTTCATCTGTAAAATCTAAGTAAAAAACTGATATTTTCAGGATATATTGGGACTACCATTGAAAGCCCCTCTCACTTTTAACAATGTGATCTATGCATTGCCGATGTTGACGATACAAGAAGATAAAGGTACCGGTATCGTAACTTCTGTTCCCAGCGATTCGCCCGATGATTATGCCGCATTAACAGAACTGAAAAATAAACAGCCACTTAGAAAGACGCACGGAATCACCGATGAGATGGTGTTGCCGTACGATCCAGTAAGAATAGTAATCGATCACTTATAGCAATGGTAGATAGACAATACAATTTGTATCTTTGTGCGTTAGATACCAATCATCGATGTCCCGGAACTTGGCAATTTAGTGGCGGTGCAATTGTGCGACCAGTTAAAGATTCAGTCTCCAAATGACAAGATCAAACTTATGGAGGCTAAGAAGATAGCATACATGAAAGGATTTTATGACGGTGTGTTGTTAGTAGGTCCGCATAAGGGCAAGAAGATACAAGATATCAAGAAGTTAGTTCAAAAGGAGATGATTGACAACGGCGAAGCAGTGATCTATTATGAACCAGAGAAAACGATCATTTCGAGGTCGAATGATGAATGTGTCGTAGCTCTGTGCAATCAGTGGTATTTGGATTATGGCGAAGAGAATTGGAAGAAGCAGACATTGGAAGCTTTGAAGAATCTCAACACCTTTCACGATGAAGTTCGAAAGAATTTCACTGTTTGTCTCGATTGGCTTCACGAACATGCATGTTCCAGAACGTATGGGCTCGGTAAATATCCGTTATCTGTAAAACTACATTTTGATTATAATCATTCCTCTATTTCGAATATTTAGGCACCAAGTTACCGTGGGATGAAAATTGGCTGATAGAATCTTTATCTGATTCCACTATATACATGGCTTACTATACGATAGCGCATTTCTTGCAAGGTGGATCATTCAAGGGAGATAAGCCTAATGTATACGGAATAAAGTAAGCGAAATTGAAGTCAGCTTTTTAACAATTAATAGTTTCATCTATATTCAATGACATTTGATTGTTAGAGCTAGCGATATGACTTCGGAAGTGTGGGATTATATCTTCTTCAAAGATGCTAAATTACCCGAGAGCAACATAAAGAGAACGGTTTTGGATCATATGAGGCACGAGTTTCAGTACTGGTATCCGGTAGATCTGAGAGTATCGGGGAAAGATCTCGTACCAAACCACTTCACTTACTTCCTTTACAATCATACAGCTATGTGGCCGAATGAACCTGAAATGTGGCCGCAAGGAATTCGAGCGAATGGTCATTTGCTCTTGAATTCGACAAAGGTAACGCACAATTATAAACTTGAAACATTTCTTTGTACGTGATATTTTAATTGCCATTTCGATAGATGTCCAAATCAGAGGGCAACTTTTTAACGCTTGCTGAAGCTGTAGAGAAGTTCTCGGCCGACGGGATGCGCCTTTGTTTGGCTGATTCCGGCGATTCCGTGGAGGATGCTAATTTCGTCGAAATTACAGCCGATGCGGGAATTTTTAAATTGTACAATTTCATAGAATGGGTCAAAGAGGTGTTAGCTACGAAAGATTCATTTAGACAAGGAGAACCGTGCACTTTCAATGACAAAGTCTTCGAGAGGTATCTTTAATAGTCTTTAAGAGGTGTATTTTTAATGTGCTGAATCTGTCTGAAATACATTTTTTTTTTATACCATTTAGCGAGATGAATTGGAAAATTCGAGAGACTGGCGAGAATTATTCGCGGATGCTTTACAAGGAAGCCCTTAAGACAGGATTTTTCGAGTTTCAAACGGCCAGGGATAGATATTTGCAATTGAGCGTATTGGACGGTATCAACTGGATACTTATTATGAAGTATATAGAGTTCCAAGTCATTATCTTATCTCCCATTTGTCCGCATGTTTGCGAGTACATATGGGGACTAATTGGAAAAGTAATTGTGTTTTTAATGCTATAAAGATATCGATAAATTAGTGTCTTATGCGAAGACGTAATCGGTAAATACTTTCTAGGACGGGAGCATACTGAATGCAAGATGGCCCGCGCTGGGGAAAATAAACGAGATTCTTATCAAATCGTCGCAATATCTGGTAAATGCAACTCATGCGTTTAGAATTCTTCTGCAAGATTATATGACGCCAAAGAAGTCTTCAAAGGGAAAGGGCGATATATCCGTCGCGAAGAAACCCACGCAAGGAATTATCTGGGTGGCTAAGACTTACCCACTTTGGCAAAGAGTCATCCTCACGAGCATGAGAGAGATGTATTTTGTAAGTAACGGCTTCGATGCAATGTAACGTTTGATCTTTTTTTCTTTTTCTATGTTTTCTACCAATGTTCTCATTCATTCAGAAAAATGGGAATAAATTACCTGACAATAGAGAACTCGCCAAGGAGTTGGCAGGCAAAACCGAATTGAAAAAGTACATGAAAAGGGTAATGCCGTTCGCGCAAATGATGAAGGAAAAAGTGGAAGTCGCTGGTCTTAGCGTGCTAAACTTGACGCTCGACTTTAACGAGTTCGATGTGCTCGAGAGCAATAAGGATTATCTCAAGAATACACTAGGTGTAAGCAGTCTCTGTGTAATTTTCGATGACTCATATATATGTGCAAACATGTATTACTATATTTCTGTTTCATTCATCATTAGCTCGATGAAATTACCATAAAGTACACAGACGAAGCCCCAGAGAGAACGAAGAGAGAATGTTGCCCGGGCGCTCCGTACATGGATTTCTTTGACAAGGCTGCAATTCCAGTACGCATTATTAATCCACAAAGCTATTGCGGTTTATTCGAATTATCTATAAATGTCTCGCAAGCTGATACAGCCTCAGATATCGTATCTCGTATCGTGAAGCAATATAAATGTATAAAAGGTATTTGACTACTTCTATGTGACCTTAACTACTTCTACACGTGCATCAATTGACGATATCAATTGATGGGTCTATTATCTGTAATGCGAGTTTTATAGTTCTATTTTTGTATGTAGATCCCGCTTTGATCGCGTTGTATCGATACGAGGATCCAGTGATGGGACCTAGGATAAAACCAGTGTCAGGGGAGACTTCCAAGGGGATGATTGAAATTTCAGCGGACTCTGTATTTAATGTAAATACGGAAACGGGTAATGTCGAAGTTAACGTTGCGGGTAACGTGTACTCAATAGGCGAGCAATTAGTATACATCGATAGATCTCTGGAAAATTAGACGATGTGCGCTTGATCATGTCGAAAACATTTAGATCATTACATTGTATATGAGTATATAATAAATTATTCCTGAAATGATGAAGGCGGGGAAGAAAAATACGTCAAGACAGATTTCTCGAACAGTATTGAATGCAAGTTAAATATGCATTTATAAAAAATAAGAAGATACGTTTTATTATATTCAAGTAAGAATAGGAAAAGCATGCTGCAAAACTCCTCGTAATATTTATTCGTATATATTATTGACATCTTTTTGTACACACTCGACAGGATAACGTTCTTATATCTGGGAACTATGTTATCTGAACATCAATAAAAAAAATGTATTAAAATTTTTGCAACATGACACATATTTCTAACGAAGTACCAGAGTATCTTGCCTCGCAAGGCAAGTAGCGTATAATATCGTGAATAAGCGCGACGTATCGTCATCAAGCGACGCTGAAAATGTATTCGGAGCACTTTTTGATAATCACCAAGTCGACGTCGATCTCTACGTCGCTCGGCGATGATCCACCTTGGATTTAATCCGCTTGACGTCCACGGCGCATGTTCTGCAGCAGCCGCCGATGTAGCGGACGCCAAGGTCCAGCCATTCGTCGATGAACTCGTGCAGAGAGGGAGCTTCCCCGCACTTCTTCCATCCCTCCGTCACCAGGTACTTTTCTCCACTGTTAGGGTACACCACCAATGGTATGAGATTGTCATCGGTGTTGCCTTTATTCACGCCTTTCAACAGAGAGGTGACGTGCTGCGGAGCGATGCAATTAACACCGACCGCTATTATCTGTCCAGGTAGAGCGTTCTTGTAGCATCTCACAGCGGTCTCCCGGAAGCTGGTGCCGTCCGCCAGGTTCTTGCCATCGTCGCGGCACGAAAAGGACAGCCATGCGCGTGCATCCGGGAACTCCTTCAACAGCTCGACCACGGCGTCCGCTTCGCGCTCGCAAGGTATCGTCTCTATCGCCAACAGACTGACACCTTCCTCCAGCAACGCGCGCACACGGGGCCGGTGCCAATTGATCAAGAATTCTTTCGACACACGAGTCCCGTACGAGCCGGTGTACTCCGAGCCGTCGTGCTGGCAGGCGCCATAGGGCCCGCAGGATCCAGCGATCAACGGCTTGTTGCGGCTCATTATGCTCTCATCGTCCGCTATCTCTTTGGTGTAGGCGTTCACTGCGTTTTTAGCGTAATCAACGGCTCTGCGGATTATCTCGAGGCTCTCTTCTTCGCTGATGCCCACGTACTTGACGAAACCGTCGATCGTCGCCTGATACGTGTTCGTTTGTATGATATCGGCGCCGGCTCTCAGGAAGTCCAAGTGAGTGGCGAACACAGCATTTGGGTCCGTTATGAGGAACCGCGCCGTCCATAGCGGATCGCCGTCGATCCTGTCGCCCACATGGGTGGACAGCTGTGTGGAGAATCCACCGTCCAGCACTTTTATCTTCGACATGCTTCGGTTCCGTTGTATATCTCAAGTAGTTCTACAATTTTCGCGAAGTTCTCCCCGAGGGCGCTTGGTGGTACCGGTGTTGAGAGTACCAGTGAGAAGATACGTTTCGTCTCAGCCTGACCGTCGTTGGCTCACGATAAAAAAGAAGTTCTTACTGCGTCTCAATCACGTCGCATGCTTCAGCGACAATATGAATATCAGTTGTACGCCCGGCACTTATACGCTCGGCCAGAGATTACAAGAGTCGTGTCTTCCGCGTCGCGCATGTCCGCTAGATCGTTGCATCACGCGCGTTATCTGGCGCGTTTGTACAACATGGCTGGTTTATTGGCAGGTATTTGGCGAAGGGAAAGGAGGGGCGGGACGACGTCGTCGTCTCGCGATATCCGCGAGTGGACCGTTCGCCGTTGGATGACCTCACGGGATAGACTTAATGCCAAAGGTCGGCGTTTAATCTAAGTGGATAACGCAACAGGATATGAATTTTGTACAGAGCAGAATTCACGGGAATGAAACGACAAGAAATGCTTAATGTGGGCTTCCACTTGAATTCGATCAACTTGACAAATAATTCGCGACAGCCTATGAGAATGCATCGCGCCATTGTTATCGATGTGTTTGCGCGTCGAAATCCGTCAGCAACATTGTGTTTGTTCTCCCAAAATACATTTTCGTATCATTTATCCCCGAGTCGCAGAGAGTCTCTTTTTCCCCAGAAGATACGACTTCATTATTTCGTGATATGTCGTTTGAAGTCAGTGTCGCTGTTCTGCGGGATGACAGCGATTCACCAACGAGCGGATCGCGCCAATGTCCTCCGCGAAAACCTTACAGCAGCCGCCGATGTATCGTACCCCCAAGTCAAGCCAGTCCAACACAGGTAGATTAATACGCTGATCATCCGGGACCGGTATCCACTCGTCGGTCTCGGAATAACAGCCGCCTCTGTTAGGATACACTATCAAAGGGATGAAGTCCTGCGAACGCTCTTCTTTATTGATTCCCTGCAATAAGGTCTTCACGTAATTCGGCGGCACGCAGTTGACGCCGACCGCTACAACCTGCTCGGGCAGGGCTCGGTAGCAACGCACAGCCACCTCCCGGAAGTCACTGCCGTCCGCTATATGCCGGTCGTCGCGGCAAGAAAACGAAAGCCAGGCGCGAGCTCGTGGAAACTCCCGCAACAGCTCCACCAACGCGTCCGCTTCTTCTGCGTAAGGTATAGTCTCCAGAGCCAAGAGATCAACACCGGCGTCCAGTAATGCTTGTATACGCGGTCTATGCCAGTCCATCAGTTCTTGGCGCGACATGCTCTTCCCGTAAGCGCCGGTGTACTCCGACTTGTCGTGCAGACAAGCGCCATAGGGCCCGCATGAGCCAGCCACCAACGGCTTCTCGCCACCTTGCTTGTCGTTTGCTGTATTTTCCTTCATATAAGTAACTACTGCTTGTTTAGCCAGCTCTACGGCCTTGGCAAGCAAGGCTAGACTCTCGTCCATGCTGATGTTTAGGTACTTCATGAGACCTGGCACCGATGCCTGATATGTGTTGGTCTCGATTATCTCAGCACCGGCACGCAGATAGTCCAGGTGCGTGTTGTACACAGCTGATGGGTTGGTCTGGAGGAACCGCGCCGTCCACAACGGGTCGTCGTCGAATTTAGCGCCCACATGGCGGGACAATTGGCTGGAAAAGCCGCCGTCTAGCACCTTGGCGCATTGCGTCATCGCTGATTAACGTTTCAGGATAACTGGATTCAATGATTATTGCTTCCGTTACGCGATTATGATCTGTCTCGTTTTCAGATTTCTCTCTGACTTCATACAGTTTTTCATTTGATGATCTTCAACCTGAAGTATAGCTCAAGCTTGTATGTATTAATGGTCTACTTGTTGGAAATACGATGTTCAGATGCAGTAACATCAAGAAGAAAGCGTTGTTTCTATTCCTCTCTATGCTTAGGACTGTTTTCTAACGTTCTCTTGGGTGAATGGTTGAGATGAAGCGGTTTAAGGTCATATGCATCGATAAACTTCTTATCACTAAGTTTTGGTTAGAATAAGCTTTCAATGTCTTATGGATATTTTTCTTCTGTCTGAAAAGAAAAAGAAGACTACGAATCGCTAAGGAGAATCTATCTATCGTATTGTTACCGAGCAAAACATAAACAATCGATAAATACCTGGGTTATTATTGGTGATATGGTATATTATTAACGTGTCTGATTCTTCGCCGCGGCCATCTTGTTCTTGCATTACGACGTTGAGAATGATAATATATTACTGACACGAGCAATACGTGTGTCGAGATAAACGAGACATAACAAAGTCCGTAAAGATTTGTTAAATATGCAGATTGCTCTCTGCAATCTTCATCGTTTTATTAAACAAATGTTTGTACGATTAAGTCTAAATCTGGCATAATGAAAATTGAAACTCATATTCTTTTCTCATAAAGCAAATCATTTCGTATTGATCTTTTTACACAAATACGAACGAAAGAATGGCAGAAAATTCTACAGTTAAAATTGTTAATTATCTATTGCCTTATAAGTCAACTACAAAGTTTGGTATGACAGTTAAATATTAATAAATAACTAAGCTGTCTACTTATGGAATACAAGATCCGGAGAAAACTGGTTGTAAGCTACTTTTTGTTACTAACATATGAGCCTGATTGTAAAGTCCAATGGTAATAAAATTTCATTATCTGCTTATCGTCATGTGAACATCCTGTTTGCAACATTGAATGTCATTCCATAAGTATGGGTGCATTATATTAAATTCTCACTTAAGAGTCACTTTGTTTATTTGTCGCGTTAATTAATAGCATACTTTATGCTCGTTCGTTTATACCGAGCGAAACATCATTTGCGAAATTTTATTAGATGTTGCATAAATATCCGATTAACTTTGATCAATCGTAACACTCATTTTTGCAAAGCATTTTTTGTCGAAATCGACTATCTTCTGAACTTTGTTCGTCCGTTACTTGTGTGATTTTTTGAAAACGTCGATATCAAAAAACAGATGCAAAAAGAAGCAATACTTGCGTTAGATTCTACTAGTTTGGTTTAATATGATTTTCACGAAGATTCAATATTATACAAATTAATACGACATTAATATTTAGTCCCATTAAACATTGGGGTAATAAATAAAGGATGGAGAGATTCCCCAGAATAGAGATACATCTCCAAAATAAAGAAGTGAAGAGTGTATGTGTTGAACTCAAAAGTTACTATATTTATTTTTCTTAATTAGCAAACAAGTTATATCATAAATTTGTGTTTCTCTTGAAAAGAAATTCTTGTGAGCTTACTTTTTATAATATTCCAAAGTGACTTTCTACAACAGCATGTGGTTCTCCCATTTGTTCTCTGAATTCAGGAATATTGAAGATATCTTGAAATCTGAAAAAAAGTATTAAGAAAAAAATAATTGAGTATTACTCTCTCACATTGATTTATCCACAAAAATTATTATGTTATAAAAATTGTACCCTATATCTTGGTCTCTTCCAAGCAGAATATCTCGCATCACGTTAGATGACGGTAAGAATGGAAGCCTTCCAATTTTCTCAGCTGCTTTTAATTCCATTGCAAAACGTAATGGTGCATGTAATCCTTGACTGTTCCTAAGTAATACCATGTCCATACGATCTTGGTTCTTTTGATACTGAAATACAAATGCAATCATTACCAATCAAAATTCTATTATATGATGATGATTTTGTTAATAAAATATAAGATAACTTACATTCTTTTCTGAAGCTTGCAGTGGATGTGTATAACCAATATTCTGTTTGATTGCTGATAAACTAAAGAGAAAAACAAGTATAATATCAGTTTCAGAGACTAATTTAATGGACACAATTCTCAAACTTTAACTTTAATATATTTCTATACCCTGATATCATAGGATTAGATATTCCATAGCTACTTCCTTCTTGAATGTCAAATTTTTCTGGTACAGTAGGTTTAGGAATAACTGATGGTAAGCCAAAACTCTAAAAAATTATATTAAATGAATCTCTAATTCCACAGTTCCTATCGAGATATTTATAACTTGTTTTAAGATAAACTTTAACATTTTTCATATATTACACAAAACAGTGAGAGGTTAGGTAATAGTTTAAACACGAAAAATAAATTATTTTCGTAAAGTAAAATACGAGTATAAATCACGATTATTTATTACTCTATGAAAATTTTAAGAAAACTTTACAATATAATGAAATCTATAATTAAATGATTAATCAAAACTGATTGTCATTGTCAATATAACCTGTCATACGTTTATAGTATATAATATAAAATAATTAAAGACATATAGTTATTTACAGTGTTAGTACACTCTCGAAAAATATTTCTAATTATTACCATTTTAATGTTATTAAATTTACGTATATTAATAATCACTTTACACAAATGACAAACACGAAATTGATGACGCGCTGCAAACACTGCGAATGTCATAAACAGTACAGAACAATGACTGTGCATCCAGAACTACAAATGCTCACTGAGCACCAGAGATATATTTAGCTAAGACTCGAACCCTAATTTATTGGCTTCTATAAATTTAGCCAAGACTCAAACTAGAGTTTTAACTATCTGCATATTTTTCCGAGACTCGAACCAAAGTTTTATCTATCTGCATAACATTTAGTCGAGACTCAAACTCCTATTTATCGGCTTCCATAAATTTAGCTGAGACTCGGACCACAATTATCAAATTAAAATTTCGCTCATTTTCTCGATTTTGTGTGTGTGTGTTATAACAAGCAAAGAATTATACCGAATAAATTTAGCCGAGATAAATAAATAAATAAATATATATATATTATATTATTTGTGTGATTCTTTTTATTTCTATTATAATTCTATTATTTTTTATCAACATTATTTATTTTTATTATTTTTAATAATAATTCATTTTATTTAGTAATGTTCAGAAAATTAGTACATAAATTTCACAAAAAACACTCTAAGGTCAGCTATAATTATAAACTTTATAGCATAGTAAATCACATTTCGTCCCACCACACAATGAGACGAATTGAAGTAGTTTAGATGTTGAAATCGGTTCAACTTGATTGAATTTAAAGTGATGTTTAAATAATTCTACAGAAACTTTGGGATTTTATGTGCTTTTTCAGTTGCAGCTATAATTTTGATGACGTTCACGCGTTAGAAAATAATTGCACAAATTCGCACGAGCAACAACGTGAAATCACAACCAGAAGACATTAATACGCATGACGATAATCGATCAAACGCGTCGCTCAGCTTATGGCTCTTCCTGACTTTTGGGAATCCGCTCGTTTGTGTGAGTGTAACAAATTTTGCGGCTAGAACTTTTGCTCATAGGCGATCGTCAGAGTTCCTCAAATTTTCAAGCGCAATGTCTGTATACGTGAAGAGAAGGAGTTCCTTGAGACAATCGTTCAGTAGATTACTGTCGATGAAGCTTTTGCTACCTGTTAGGGTAAGCAGACATTTTTTCAACAACAGATTCTTCTAGCAACAATATTATTTTGAATGATTACTTCCCTAAATTCGTGCATATTTTGTCTTCATTTTGCTTAACATCAGCATCTTCGGCTTAGGTTCGTAGGTTAAAAGGCCGTTACTTGTTTCGATCGGCGGTAAGGCGTGTTTTGGAATATATAGAGTGGATAATGGAGGAGCCAGTAGTTGAGGAGACGACCGACGACGTGGCTACCAATATCAAAATGACTGAGGAGAAGCAAAAGAGAGAAAAGAAGTTGCTGACATTGAAGGTACGCGTATTTGGGTATATTTTATACATTCTGACAACACGTAGACGCATGTATGGCTATGAAGGATCCGCGTTTGATTCAAGGACCGATCGATATTGCTGGTGACTCCGTCCGACAGGTCCTCCGAGGACAAAGCGTACATATACGAACTCATCAAGAAGCTGCGCGCATTCACCAAGTATCCGGAAGACGTGAGAGAGAATCTGGCAGCGGTGTGTTTTTATCAGTATCTACCCGCTGATCGAATGATCGTTCGTCGAGGTCGCAAGGCGAATAATCTCTACTATATCGCGAGTGGCGTAGTGAGCTTGATGAATGTCACAATCGACGAATTGACAGGTGAGGAAAAGTATGATTATTTTTGAGCATTTAGGGATACAGAGAATCAGGTCCCATAAGATCTCAAATAATCAGCGACCTACATTTCATGCCCCTTTTAATTTCAAAAATAATTCTTCTTTTATATGAGCGTCACGTATAACGTATTTCAGTTGGCAAATTAGAAAGGTATTTAGCTTTCACTATATGATCACTGGTAGATATTGACCGCTAATTGACTTCTGGATCGCTATCGGAAATCTAGCGGTTAGCAATGATGTGATCGATGATAAAAAGTTACGTGGGCCGCAAAGTTGAAATGTAAAAAATTCTAAAACGTGATTCGCTCTTCATCAGGCGATGAGAAGGACGTGGACGTTGGTACCTTGCAAGCGGGCGACATGTTCGGCGAGATTGCGCTGTTACACTCGATACCAAGAACGTCTACGGTGATTAGCAAAAGTCAGTAGAAACGTAGACTATGTGAATTCACCTGACAGCCTGACAGCGGATTTTCCGTCGAGACTCATAGCGCTTCTGTTCGTTTTGCGTCGATGCGCCGTTTAGCGTCAGTCGACTTGATTCTCATACCTCAGGACGACTTCGACAGCACCTTGCGCTACGTTCTGCTGAAGAAGTGGCACGCTCTTCGCGACGCATTGGTCCACTTCAATTACTTCAAATGGTGGAGCGACGAGACGGCACGAGAATGTTGCATTCTGAGCAAGCTGAAGGACTTTAAAGCCGACGAGGTAAACGATCGCGAGGTGACGTAAAACGAGCAACATTTCGCCGACTTTTACTGTCCCCCGTGATTATGACGAATCGTTGATGTTTTCTCGTCGACAACAAAGCGCGGGAGAATGAGAAACATGAAGAGAAAAATGTCTGATGTTCGAGGTCCTGTTGGGCGACGGCACGGGCATGGTGAATTACGTGCATTTCATCCTGAATGGCGAATGTCGCCTCATCGAGCACATGCTCGTCCGCGAGTACTCCACCTACGGAGGAACACGATACGAGCTGTACGATCCAGACACCTCCAACTCGCTTCAACCGCATCATCCGAGAAAGGTAAGTCGGAAGTGAATGTAGGAATTTCAGTCGTAACTTCAGTCGACCATGATTTTTGCAAAGGAACAAGCAGAGACTTCTCTCTTCTCATTTTCGTTGTAATTGTAGACACGTTTCCTTATTGCAGCGGCACGCTCAGTCGCAAGCCGATAACGACCGGTCGAGTATTGTTACCACCACACTCGTCGACGTTGTGAGTATTTAGCATAAAATACTTCTCTTCTGAAGAAATTTATATCGAATTGAGTACTTTGCGCAAGAAGCAACTTCCTCCGCAACTGAAAATATAAATTTCATTAAAATAAGAGAAGATTAATTTTACACTGAAACAGCTGGCACGAATTAATCGGTTAGATCGAGTCGCTGAACTCCTTGAACGAACAATGACTTAGCAGAATAGAAACATTAATTGTTAAGGCAAGTTAATTATTTTACGCGTCTTATAACGAACATCATGTATAAGCAAGATCAAAGCGTGGCACGAGATCACCGATGTCGCGGCGATGTTGATGCAACAGCCGTCTGTCACGTCGCAATTGCGTTACCCAGCTGACGTCCGGACCGTGTTCATGCAGGTGTGCGTGTTCTCCCGGGGTGCGTGCTTCGGCCTAGGTGAGAGAAACAGAGAAGCCAGAGTGCGTTTGGCGTTTGGACGTCTTGGCGTAATGCACACAATGCGTATCGTTCGATGTATCGAGGGTTATTGAATTAGGCGAGAACATGCTCCATCGGAGGATCGTGGCGATCACATCGGTGCGATGCCTGCTTATACCGCGATATTGGTTGCTCGAGCAGAATCGCGCTAACATCTGGGGCCGCGTGAGACTGTTCATCGACTCCAAGTACCCGTCGAAGAAGCAGCTTTTCGATCAGTTCGTTCAGAATCGAAGGTACGGCTGACTCTGCCGAGATGCGTTTCGCAACAACGTTTCGAGAGATACCTTCTAATCATCAATGTGGCGATTCACGAGGTTCTTTGGTCGCTCGGGCTTCTGTTTCAGATGGATCGCGTACAAGCAGAATTTGGTCAAGGATGTTGTCAAACGACGCGATCTTTATCGCAGCAACACCACGATACACGACGTGCCGTATTCCATCCGAATTACTGAAGATATTAAAATGTAGATCCGAGGATTCAATTCTTTCCCAGCGACTTGTTGAACGGCGAAAGTGATCGCGACGAAGAGAAATAAATCAATAAAATCTTGCAGGTGTAACTACTTATGTACTGCTGAACCGCTCGCGTCTCACAACAGCATCAATTATTTACGCTGATGTAATAATATATTAATAATAATAATAAATATTATCTTACACATGTGTGTTTATTATCATAAAAATAATCTGCCGAAAATATAATATAAATTGTTATCTATTTCTGTTATATCTCATATATAAATCAACATCAATGATAGGAATGGAAAAGAGTATAAATACTGTATCAAAGATAGGAGAAAAATTGTACAATGTTAATTTCTGACATTAAGAGAGAGAGAGAGAGAGATCTTGATAAAATGCTCCTATTATTTTACCTTCTCCCTTCTCTGGAAATGGCACAATAATCGCGTGATAAGTGAACAACATAACAACATGTGAACTTCGAGCGAAATTATCAGAAGAGCATTAACAAAATATTACGCTTATCTTCGAAGATCATCGTCTGCAGCTACATGACCTTGTAATTATATGTTGCAAATGTTGTAATGTATGTTGCATCAACATCCTCGTTGAACGTTCAGCTAGCTACAAGAACGGGCGCGCTTATCTGCGATCGTATAAATCATCATTGACTTAATTAATCAACATTAATAACGAAGAGATGCGGAGGTAGGTATCACAAAATATCGAGCTCATAATTTCGCTTTGTCCACGCTAGGATTGAAGGAGCAATTCTTGTTGACAGGACACTGCTTTATTGTCACGTTGTCCTGGTACTTGTCCACTTCCGAGCGAATGTACTTGATGTCGTCAGTGAGTGTGCCGCAGCAGCCGCCGATGATGCCCGCTCCGTCGTTCAGCCAATCCGATATGGGCAGTTCGAAGAAGCTTCTCGTCGTGCCCGTCGTCTCCATGGTGAAGTCCTCTTTGAATCTGTAAGTAGTTTTGTCGGGACACACCAGCAGAGGAATTTTGCGCGGAAATATCTCGCGGTTGATAATGTTGAACAAGGGCTTCACCAAGCTGGACTCGACGCAGCTGACGCCGATCGCGATCATCTGGTCACCCAGCCTGTTATAGCAGTGTTTGACTATCTTCCGGAAATTACTGCCGTCCGCCAGGATACGGTCGTTATAACAGTAGAACGAGATCCAGACTCGGGTAGACGGAAAGTTCCGCATCAGCTCGACGAACGCCGCGGCCTCCTTCGCACACGGCACCGAGCCCAGAGACAGCATGTCGACGCCGGCGTCCAACAGCGCCCTCACCCGCGGCTCATGCCAGTCTATCAAGTCTTCTAACGACAAGTGTTTCGCGTAGGCACCGGTGTACTCTGTGCCGTCGCCCAATGAAGCGCCATAGGGTCCGCAGGAGCCCACTATCCAGGGTCGAGTTTTGTGGAAGACCTCTTGGTTCGTAGGATCATTGCTAGTTTCGGAATGATGAGTAAGCACAGCCTTCCGGGCCGCCATCGCGGCCTTGGTGATGACGGACGCACTGTTGTTTACATTGATGCCGAGGAAGTGATTCAGGTTGTACACGGACGTCCGATATGTGTTCGTCCTGATCATGTTGGCACCGGCACGCAAGAATGCCAAGTGCGTGTCGAACATTGTGGATTCGTTGGTGACGGTCGCCAGAATGCTGGGTAGATCATCGATGGAGGTTTTGCCCATGTTAGCGGCTGTCTGGCTGATGAAGTCGCCGTCCAGCACCGTTGGTAGTCGCAACATTATGACGTCGAGCGCAGAATATTTGCTCCTTAATGTCCGGACGGAATGTTTAGGCTCTGACTGTTCTCTGACGGACTTCGAATACGAAAGAGATGCCTCGCACAAGAGAGCGTCTGAAAACGCGGCGTGAACTCTGAGGAGAATTCTCCTGACTTCACCACATCATCACATCACGTCGGCAATCTCAGCCGCGAATTGGCCACTGGGAAAGTTTCGCTCGCTATAGTTTATTATTAAACGGATACGGACATCTGACGGAGATTCAACCTGTATCGTTTGATGCGAGAGATCTGCTTCTGATCGAGGATATTACTGAGTTGTTACGTAATACTTCGTTATTGACGTTTACTTGGCGAGATTGTAAACATCGCGTTTCAAATTATGAGATATAATAATCATGCTCAACATATTAACTACTTAACGGTCTTCTTCGAAGAAGACGAAGGCTCTGAAAATAAGAGAATACCAAATACGCAAAGTGCTTTGAGGTTTTCGTCCATTTTTGAGCGAATCCTCCTCATGTTTTGAACGTTGGTAAACGCTATCGAAATATTAAAATGATTTTTACCACACATCAGCAGAGAATGAAATTGTATAAACAATACATTTGGTTTGCAGAAATTATATGGCGCACACACACACACACACACATTTATTCTTTACTAAGAAAATTTTAGATAAAATAGATAATAATTAGATAATAATTAAATTGAATAATAAAAAAGATATTTAGTGATAAAATAATATGTAACGCTATGTCAAAATGATATAATATATAAATACAATAATATGTAGTAAATAATAATAATGATATAAGAATAAAAGTTGACATTAAAATAAATGATCTAATTATTATCCATCGTATCGCTTATTATTAATCTAATAGTACAATTCTTATATGCTTAGCAAATATATTTGTCATACTAATGATCAGTCATATATATTTCAGTCATAGTCATATAATTATTAACTATATTATATAAAAATTCGGGAGATTTGTGTTCGAGTTTTCACATATCTTTTGATGAAATTAACCCGTAGCTGCTGTTCTCCGATCAATTTGACCATTGCACTATTTGAAATTTAAATAACGCGGTTAATTTTCTAATTGCGTATTCATCCGTCAGTGTATTTTCTTACATTCTGAATGTCAGTCGACTGATATACGCGCAGTTGTGTGGTCGTGTTATTTGTCAAGATATTCATCAATTCAGTTTCCTACCGGTCAATTTGACCGGTGAACAGTGTGCACGTACTTAAAATGGCTTCACAGCAGTTATGGGTTAAGAACACATAAAATGGTCACAAATGCTGGCTAATTATAAGAGTTGAAACGACAATATACAAAACTGTCGACATCACAACTGCCACAGAGAATTTAGAAAGTATTTTTATTATAGTATCAAATTTATCAAATAATTATTTAATTATCAATCATTCATCAAATAGATAATAATTGATATATTAAATATAAATATCAAATAAGAGTATAATAAAGAATTAATGTTTACATCATATAGTATCATTTCAGCTCTTATCATAATCGACTACCAGGAAATCTCATAAGTAAAATACTCATAAGTAAATCTCATAAGTAGCTCGTAATTGTAATTATTTGATGCGCTTTTAACTTTAACAAAAGAGATGTGTGCAAAAATTGTTGTACAAACAAGTCTTCCTGTTCAGTCGTATTAATCTTTAACGTTTCCAAGTAACACGTCTGTCAGTATTCATTCAAGCACGAATATCACACAGCACGGAGAAATTATAATTTCGATTTGCTCTCCATATTTCAGAGGAATCAGGAGGAATCGGAAGAAGAAGAAGAAGAAGAAGAAGAAGAAGAAGAAGTGGACAAATCTGGAAAGTAGGTGAAATGGATAATGTTATATGTATGTGCCAAACTACTAATCATTTTTATCTCATTTAAGTTTCCACCATTGTCACCACTGAAATATTTCGCTCCGTATTTTACGGCTTCTTTCACGTAGTACATGATATCTGGCTGATAAAATTTCAAGACTTCTTCATTAATATATGCTATCAGGGGAATACGGTCCTTACGTGTAGCATTGTAAATATCTTTTAGCAGCGACAATTCTTTGCCATCCATCCAACATTTCGCGCCAATCGCAATGATCTGGCCAGAGTGCAAGGAGCGGCGACAGTGTTTAATTGCATCCAGAAGTAGACTTCCGTCAAATAACTCAACGTCGTTCAGGCACGTGAACGATATCCAAACCTTAGCAGACTTATACCGTCGCAGCACCTCTACGATTATTTTAAGTTCCACCATATTGTGTATATCTTCTATAGCCAGCATGTCGACGCCGGCCTTCAATAACTCTCGTATGCGCAACCGATGCAACTTTAACATCTCCTCTCGCGAGACCTCATTCCAGTAATCAAAAGGTAAACCCTTGCGAAAACACGACTTTAAAAAGTTAGTGCAATAGCCGGCAATTTGAGGCCGATTTCGATCGTAAATTTCGGGAGATTGCATGTCACCTCTCGTTTCCTTGTAATACTTGCACACGGCCTTCCGGGCCAGCAGTACGGCATTTTTAATAAAATACCTCACAGATTTGTTGCTATTTATTTTGGATAGTGCGGCTTCGCTTATTCGAGCCGTATTAGTCCTGATTATCGTGGCGCCGGCATGCAGAAAATCCAAATGAACTCTGTATATGGCGTACCGATTAGTCTGGATGATTCGTATGTCTACTAGTGGATCCACAGCCTCGAAATTTGCTTGTTTCTTTAAATTACAGCATAGTTGAGCAACAAAGTCTCCGTCTATCGTTTTTATTTCTTTCCTCGCGTCCATCATATTGAATACAGGTGGTTAATAAGACTATTCTTTTTGACTCGTAGAAACACAATGTCCCGAATGTTTCCAATACAAGAGTGCTACTTACGTTAATGCTCAGCAATTGCGTATAATTGAGATTTGATGCGAAACAGCAAACTGTGCTTATCTCTAACACTGATCTCGATTCAAATGAATTTTCCTGCTTTTATCTCACGCTTTGCTGATGATGCTGTGAATCGTGCGGCATCCACGGGTAGAGAGAAGAAAGAGAGATGACATGGCAATGATGCGAGATCGGGAGAATTTCCGGCCATGCGCATTGAGCCAACGCCGTGGGAGTCTCAGTACCGTATTAATTTAAAGGTATTTTAACGATATGGTGATGATACTGTGTATTGAAAATTGCAATCGGATAAATCAGGTAATCTAAATCTTGATTATTTAAGTTCCAAGTATCCACTTGTAATTTTCAATCTATCTTTTCAGTTTAATACGAGCGTAAGATCCCTCGTCTGAAAGAAAATATGAAGGAATTGTAAGGAGAATAAAAAGTATCCTCCGTGGATCCTCTGTCATGCGCTTTAAACCGTCAGTGGGTTTTGACATATATGGGTGCGTTCCGTTTCACGCATTGCGTGCATTTTTTATAGTATACGTGACATAAACTATAGATAAATGAGCGCATATGTGTGAAACGGAATGCACCCTATGTAGCTACGTCACTTCAGGCATGCGCTGTAGCATGGGAAATTTCTCCCGATCTCGCAGCGCTGTGACATGGGCCGCTTTTAGCCGAGCCTAGAGTCCCTATAGTAATAGTCTGGCCAATGTGGTCCAATTTTTGATTGGCTGAATACGAAATGGCGCCACCAATTAGTGATAGCAAAGTATGCGGGATATTTGAATAGCAGTAACATGGAAAAGGAAAATTAAAATACATTTTTGCAATTTTTTTATTATTAAATTTTGATATTACATAAAGTTAAAAAAATATTACATATGTAATAACATGATTATTAAATTTTATCTAATAACCATGGTTTTACCATTAAAAACAGGTTTTTCTAATTTTCCAGTGTGACTTTTTCTTATTTTAAAATTAATGAAACGAATTTTAATTTTGTGCGATAAATTGTGACATGTTTTTAATGCAGTACATTCAATATCTTTCATTTTTTTCAATAAGGAAATTAACAATGTTATAATTGCTTTGCTTAATATAAGGCAAATAATGTACAATTACATAATTCATTTCTAAAAAATAATTAAACGTCGTATCGTTAACAAAAAATAATGTTTTTACGCGATAACATTTTAATAATAATATTTATTAATAATAATTTAATTATTTTCATCGTTGTTTTTATTATATTTTAACTTCTTTATTTTTGTATGAGGAAAACTTGTTGGCACTGCTTGTGCTTTTAATTTCCTAGAACCATCCTGTCGCGGTTTTTCCCACATTTCTTTAGTAAAATGAACCTACAAATACAATTAGATGAGAAACATGTTTTGTTTATTATTTGATATAATTACATGCTTACCTCACAAATTGTTGAATATTGTTTCGGTTTCCAGTTTTCTTTTCCAATTTGTTTCAACCATATAATTTTTTGTTTTTTACTTATTGGAAAACATTTCATATAGAAGCCATTTCCGCTTCTATTTCTGCATCCCGATATGCAACAACCAGTCATTTTTAAAATATTTTTATAAATATTTTTATATATAGTCCTCTTATTGTGTTGGAAATTTTTTCCAAGATGAAATGATGTTATGTTATCACTTGCATGTGCACGCGTAAAAACCGAGATTACAGTAGGTGCAGTACAGGTGTAGTAGCCATTTTGTATCCAACTAGAACATTGGCCAGACTCTTAAGCCCTAAACACAATGCCAGGCAACAGACAATAAGAATAAAAATAGATCAATCACAATAGATTATTCTTGTAGTAGTCGATTGTGATTGGTCTATTTTTATTCTTATTGCCTGTTGCCTGGCATTGTGTTTAGGGCTTTAAGCCAGCGGCACATGGTGCTTGTTTTTGTGCTGGATTGCTTGCTGAATTAAAATACTGCGTTGTGATTGGTATATTTTCGAAGATGGATGAAAATGCACCAATCAGAACGCAGTATTTTCATCCAGCAAGCAATCCAGCATGAAAACAAGCATCGTGTGCCGCTGGCTTTACTATAGGGACTCTAGCCGAGCCCAGTGTGAGGCGCCCTCTGTACAACCGTGTACATGAACTACGATGCCAATGTCCATTGTCCACGACTCTTTTCTGATTTCCCCCATCACGCACGCACACATAGCCGGCTCAGTTTATTCGTATAGACCACGCGTTCGATAGCCGAATGCGGGTCATTAGAGATTTTCTCTGCAAGATGTTATTATATTAAACAGACACAGCAGACAACATGTTTGACAAACGTTTCGGTTATTCGTTACGTAAAGTTTGTAAACATTAGCAGAGATTCCGTTTAATCAAAAATGTAATTTGCCGTTAGCGCGCGTCACATTATTATTAAGTGTTGACAAATTCGAGTAATGACATATCTATTAAAATTTCATGTTTGACGGAATATATGGAAGTTTACACACTAATACTAATACTATTATTATTTTAATAATAAATAGGAAATGCGAATTATAAACCGCGTTAAGTTTACAAAAAAATATTATGCGGTGTTTAATGTTAAGATAAAAGTTAGCAGTTTGAATAAAGTAACATGAATAAATGAAATATTATAACAACATAATTATACGTAATTAGTATAATATGTTGCCATAATAAAATTATTATAATGCAATGAATATATAATGTACGTGTAAAAAGATGTTATATTCAAGCATATTGTTAAACTTTCTGTTATAAATGACTTTTTCTACGGTTTTGAAAATTTGCGAAAACATACGAAACTTAAGATAATGATAATTTATAAATATCATTGCTTGATAAGTATATTATTCTATCTGATGCATGGACATTTTAGTTCGAATTTATCTGTCACATTATTGTCGAATTACTGCCTGTTAATAAATTAAAGATATGATTCAATTAGAATTTTTTATTTAATAGCAATACAATACATTGCGGATAAATATTTTATTGAACTTTCATTTTCATGATTACCTGCATGAAAACGTGTAATAATATATATAAAGTTGTTTTTCAGTTAATTATATTTATATTACATATTTATATATTTGAATTTATATATTTGAATTATTACGATCAGAAAATGAAAATAATGTAATGTATAATTCTCTAACTAGTTGATAAAAAGAATACTATTTTGCATAAAACGATAGGTAAATAATTACAATTAAAATATAGATAAATATAGATATAAATATAGATATAGATATTATTATATATAATAAAAAAATATACATAGAATACATACAAAATATAAATATAGATATTAAAAATATAGATATTATTATATATAATTACAATTGAAATATAGACGTGAGACATCGTGAGAATAATATTCGCATTATAAACTACATGGAAAACTTACGCACAATTAGCCAATTGTTGCAAATAAAAGAAATTGTAAAACAATATAGAAATAAAATAAATTTAAATCACATTATAAACCGAATAACCAATTGAAGCGCGATTAGCGAGCAGTTGTTTTCTGTAACAGTTCTGCGTGATCAGGCGTATGCGTCTTAATTGTTGCTGCAAATTCATAAATTGCCCATCGTAGAGGATTATATTATACCAATTACTAAATATATTTGTACAATATTCTCTATGCAATTAAATATAAGGACACAGTTGTGCTTGATCATGCTAATCCGTAGTTTTTTAAACAACGCGCCTGTTCTATATATTTATACGACGAGTATATCATATGCACGTCTCATACACTTTTATTATTATTATTACTATCACATTTTCGATAAATTCTTATTTTGAGCGGAACATGTCATGAGCGTAGCGAACATTTCGCCTCTGGAGATGCGATAATAGTCCACTTCTCTGCAAATCTCTTTGATGTCCTCCGCGTTAGTGCCAAAACCACCGCCAACGTAACGCACTCCAATGTCCAACCATTGAGCCACAGGTTGCACTGGCCGCGACGGGCCAGCTGCATCGACCGGTACTGTCATGGTCGATAAATGATTCTTGTCAATATAGAATAGAAACGGAAATACCCAATCTTTGAAGTTGTTGATGTTTCTCATTAGTGTTCTAATCGGCTCTAGGGAAGATGCAATATATTGACATTCAACTCCGACCGCCATAAGTTGCCCGGGCAATGTTTCTTTGCATAGCATAATTGCTGTTATCAAAAGATTATCATCCAATAGATCCCCATTCATCTTGCATAAGAACGTGATCCAGACACGAATGGTCGGATATTTACGGAGCGCTTGACTTATCGCAATCACCTCTATCAAACAAGATATAGACTCGAATGCCAATATATCAACGCCAGATCTCACTAATATGTCTATACGCTCTTCATGAAACGACAATAGCTGGGATATTGGCAGCTCCTTCGTGATCTTTCCAACATCGTAGAAAGGCAAAAAGTTGTAACCATCGCAGCAACCAGCTATTAAAGGACGGCGTTGATTATAGTCCTCGATATTGTTGCTATCGCCGCCGATCTCCTCGAAATATTTACGCACGGCCTTTTTAGCCAAAGCCACAGCTGTGATTACACGCGTTTGATCACAAATACATATAGGCAAACCAAATGCTGATGGAAATAAAGATATGGTGGTTCGGTATGTGTTAGTCCTTATTATTTGAGCACCGGCGCGTAAAAAATCCAGGTGCGCTTTATACACAGCGTCCTGATCGTACATGAGTGCACGCATAGCAAGAACTTCGTCCGTTTCACTGATATGCGGCATATTGCGACTGAGTTGTTTGTCCAAAGCGCCATCCAACACTATTACCTTGTCCATCGCGGGGACAACATCGGCGGAAAACTTTTGTATTACATCATTACGGGTACACATGATGTACGAATGCGGTACGCGGCTCCAGTGTCGCTTCTGCTTCGTTCAGCAGGTATAAGGTGTTTCTGTCGAGCGTTCTCGTTGAAGGATGAAACGTAACTGAAAATCGTGCCGGTGAAAATCGATGTGTCACGATTCTTCGCGTCACGGTATTCTGCTTGATACGAATTTGCTCGTTTCAATCGTGACGTGGACGTCACGTATGTGACGTATCTCTCCAATCGCGTGAGGATCTAAAGGACATTTGGACGATCTGCTATTGTGCGATCTGTTATTAAACAAACAGGTTCGGAAGATGTTTGGACTATTTTATATGTTTGGACAACCAATAGGTTGTGGAATCTATATGGCAACATATATCACATGTATGCTGGTACAATGAAGTTATTATAATCACAGCTTTGATTGTTTCTTCGTTGTTTTGTAAGAACTTGGCCGGAGGGTAGTAAAGGGCCTCTGCGAAAAAATTCGATAATCGTCCACTTGTTTGCGGATCAATGCTACGTCCTCTGGGCGTGTATTGATACCACCACCGATGTAACGTATTCCGTGATCCAACCATTCGTCCACATAATCGCTCATTAGCGAGTTCGATGCTTCTTTGTTTTCCGTGATAGGCAAATGAACCTTGTCGATATAAAGTACAAACGGAACCTGTACTTCGTGTGAAAGTTTGAGTATGCCAATATCCAGCACTATGGATTTCATTACATCTGGAACGGGACACTCGGCTCCGATCGCGATAATTTGATGACCCAACGCGTCATAACAGCGCATAGCTACTGTTTCTAAGGTATTTCCGTCCAATAGTTTCCCGTCCGCTCTGCATAAGAATGTGATCCAACCGCGTATGGGATGATGTCTTTTCATTATTGAGATAATTATATCTGTCTCGACCAAAGAAGGTATAGATTCGAATGTCAATATATCGACGCCGTACTTCACCAGCTCGATTACGCGATCATTATGGTGAAAATATATTAATTGCGCTGCGATCTGTGTGTCTTTTAAAGTCAGCTCATATTTGTCAACACATTCTGAAACAACGCTACTGCCGCAGCAGCCAGCTACTAAAATTTCACATCGATCAAAAAGTTCGGAATATTTGGGGTCCTTACGTTTCTCTTCAAGATACTTAGTCACGGCTGCACGTGCCAACTTCACAGATTTTTCCATCAGTTCCGTGTAAAACTGGGAACTTTCGGGTTTAAAGTATTTCTCAATTGTATAGTCTGATAGTCGGTACGTGTTAGTTCTTATTATCTGGGCACCAGCACGCAGGAAGTCCAGGTACGTTTCGATCACTTCTTCCTTGTGGTACTCTACAGCATACAGCGCGATTATTTTCTCAAGTTCTTTAGAAGGCTTTAAACGTTGATATAGTTGAGCTTCCGAGTCGCCATCCAATACCATTAGATTTTCCATCTCGCGGGCGCTACCGACGACAGGCGATTTGCTGCTAGGAGACTTGCTTCTTGATGCTTCTCCAATGAAATGGAACTGAAAATCGTGTCTGGATATGTTTATTATATATATTTCTTGACGATACCTCGACTGGGAATGGGCACGATCGTTTTAGACGTGTTTGTAAATTTTGCAACTGGTCGCGTGAGAACAACGGACACTTAGAGGACATTTTAATTCATGTGATTTGTTATTAAATAAACAGGAGCAGTATGTTTTTGATCGCCGTTGATGTTTCGGCCGTTGGTTTTGTAACAAAAACTTTGAAACAAATATATTGGTGCATATTTCTAATCTCTGGCGTCTAATTAGCTTTTCATGAAAATTTGTGTTTTGCATGTTGGATTGTTAATATGTAGCAAGAGTTTATTTAGCCGGAGTTTCTCTGTCACCGTATTATCGTTCGCAAGTACATAAATTATTGTTTTAAGTAATGCCAGTGTTAATCAAAGATTAGAGGTATTATCGTTTACATATATAAACAGGTATTATAAATTACAGCATATTAGTTTTGCAGAAGTTGTGCGGCTTTTATTCATAACTGAGAAAAAATAAACAGATCTAAATATAATAATAAATACAAAAATAATGTAATAATATAATATTTAACAATTTTAAGGAATTAAAAGGAATAAAAATAATTATCTATATGATTAGAAATAAAAACATGGAATGAATATTGCTTTTATCGGAATAAACAATTGCTTAATAGCGATTGTCGAACAGCTATTTATAATGGCAATATCACGATCACTCTTACGTTATTAGAGTAGATTTATTCGTTGCATACAATCTAGATTATACTAATTATATGTTATATTTATACGATATACTCTTTTTACATAACTAATCAGAGAAGTATACTTATATGTTTCATTAGATTAGCCTTCAGTTCTTCCAACGAACCCGTTAATAACTATGCGACATCATACAAATATACCGATCCTGTCATGTACATATAAATTAGGTAAATATAAAGGTCAGTATTTATTATTATTATAGCCTCGATAAATTCTTCTGAATTCGAGTGTAGACTGGGCAGGATCCTTTGTCTGATGCAAATGCTCTATTTGTGTAGATACAGTAATTGTTTACTTCCTTGCAAATCATCCTTATGTCCTGTGCGACCGTATTGCTTCCGCCACCAATGCAACATATCCCGGCGTCCAACCAATCCTGCACGTAATTGTGCTGCTGCGACAAGCTGAATTTATCTTCGCCCCACATGGTATGTAATTGACTTTGGCTAACATAAAGCACAAAAGGAATCTTATCTTCTCTGTTGTAGTTGATGTTTTTCATCACCTGCAGCGTCCAGTCTGCAATTGCATTGTTTGCCTCAGTGCCGATCGCGAAGATCTGATTGGTCAGGGAATTGTAACAGTGTACAGCTACATCCGCAAAGTTACTTCCGTCCAACAGTTTCCCATTCTCCGTGCATAAGAACGTGATCAAAGCGCGAGCTGTTGGGTGCAGCTTTAATACTGTAATTATCGCATCGACTTCCCTCAAAGTAGGTATAGATTCGAATGTCAACAGATCGACATTGGCGTTCAGTAATACCTGCATACGCTGTTGATGAAACCATGACAGGTAATTTAGCGACAGTGACTCCGTGAGCTTCCAAGTATCAAATACATTGTCGAAAAGCGTAGCATTGTAACTGCCGCAACAGCCAGCCAGAATAGGTCGGGAAGAGAAGTTGTACTGTTCGACACTGGTCTTTTGATCGTGCACCTCATGGAGATACTTCATTATGGCCTTTTTAGCCAAATTCACGGCCATGTCTACCATCGGCTTAACCTCAGTCGAATCAAGATTCATATGTGTCCCGATAGAGCCTGTGGATATTCGGTGCGTGTTGGTTCTTATTAACTGGGCGCCAGCACGCAAAAAGTCCATATGCGTTTGCAACACGGAGTACGGCTCAGACGTGATAACTTGTAACATGAAACTTTTGCCCACTTCATTAGCATGTTTAGAACGGCGAAGCAGTTGAGCTTCGAAGTCGCCATCCAATACAAGTAGCTGGTTCATCCTGGGATCTATGTCGATGGTCGTCACTTGTTAAAAGTCTGATCCTCGATGTCTATGTGCCACGATGTCCGAATCTTGTGCTTGGTTTCAATGCGATAACGTCGCTTTCGTTGTATTTAGCGTTTATACATGGGCAAAATGTAAACGCAAATCGTACCAATCGATCGTCCGATAGTCCTTCGCACTAGATTCTTACATTTAAAGGACAATTTTGTTTGTGTGATGTTGTTAAATAAATACATACAAGTATATATTCGACAGACGTTTCGGATTATCCGTTATAAAAGCTTTCAAAAAAAAAACGTTAATTATAAATGTTATTAGATTTGGTCGAATTAGCGTTTTAAATCTAAAATCTTTGTATTATTCTATTTTGGAGGCATATGTGGATGATTAATTCTATCAAACTACCTCCCTTTATTTGTCCTTTATTTAATCTTATTTGTAAGCAATTTCAGTAATTTATTATTGCATTGAATATTTATTATTATTATTATTATTATTATTATTATTATATTATGAATATTTATTATTATTATTATTCAAATATAATTAGAAAATATTAAACTATAAACTATGCATTGTGAATTTGAAAATAATACGGTACTCGTGTCGGATGACGAAAAAAGTTACATACACAAGAGATAAAGTTACTATTATTTTCTCAGCTTCGGTATACTCTCTTTATCTTTAGATGGATAGCCTAGGCAAAGTGAAGATCCTGTCCTCGGAGATTCTTTGCTTGCAAATTTCTTTGATGTTCTTCACGTTTATTATTGCCATCGATGCAGCACTTCAAAGTCCAACCATCGTTGTACATGTTCGTGCTGCAGCTATCTGCTAATTTCTTTTCGTTAATCTTGCATGTACACTTATCAATCAGCGTGCTGATCGGCAGAAATTGTACAAAAAATATAAGTGCACTAATAAAAATACGCAAATTGGTGCATTATATCCTTTGTTTATATTTAAGACCATACTTTCTTTTATATCCAAACAAACAAAGCAGACATATCCATGTAAAGTCTTATTTATTGCGCATTTGTATAAAAACTTAACTGTAAGCTTTAAATTAAGATGATTAAGATTCGTAATGGCTTCGAGAATACAAAAACTGGTAAACTTATAAAATACGCTTAATTTACAGTCCATAGTTTCGTTATTTTCCACCTCCAAGATTCCTGCGTGCTTTTTTAAGATAATAAATATATATGTATATATCATATATTTTTAATATACAATATATATAATATATAATATTGTGCAGTTATATATAAAATTACTATATTATGTTCAATTATTATAATATTATATATTATAATATATAGTGTACTATACAATATATATTATTTTTATTATACAGGTTTAAACAGTTCGATATTCTCCATCGATAGCGTTTTGTTACGAGTATTAAGTACAGATTGACGAGAATTTGTTCATCTGTATTTCAACGTTAGCACTGTATTATGCATTTTCAAATTGACAGTGTTTACAAACAAATAAGAACAAGTAAAATCGTAATATAAAAATATATCTCGTTATATATAACGAAGTAAAGAATGATAAAAAAAATAGCGTTTTAAATAGATAATAATAAGAGCAAAAAATGTCACCGATGGAAAAAGTTTGATAACGTATTTTCTCATTAAATGATATTTTATCTCGCTTAAATATAATATATCGTTGTACTTTGCGTGTGTGAGTGAACATCTCAATATATAACATACTATAATAATATTATAGATCGTGATATTCTGATCGTGATTACATTAAAAGCTAATTAAGTATTTAGATTCGGAATCCTCGATTCTAACAAATGATAAAGTGGCACGATATTCTATCGGTTACTTTAACCATATATTTCGCGATGATAAATGAGACGAATAAATCATCCGCACACAAGTACAGCGCGATTAATCATTTTTTCCAATCTAACGAAAGATTTCTAACAACGATAAACCTTTGGATTTCTCGTGATGCATTTTTCAAGTGTATCACACCAACACCTGGATACGTACCAGTCGATTCCTAAGACTCAATGGTTACAATCGTATCTATCAATCAAATGTGATTTATAAGATGGTCATAATTAATCGTTACCTTCGTGTGTGAACGACCTGTACTCACCGATTTCATTCCTGATCCGTTGTCAATCGCCATGGCACATTGTTCGAGGAGCGTATATATTAGATGAGGAGTTTAATGTACAATACCGGTTACGACTCGCACCATCGGAAGGGAAAGTCACTCCAGCTCGACATTACGAACAGGACTCTCGATCTCACGTCGAATCCTGCACTTGAGAAAGGACCAGACTGTATGTGCGCACAAACACACACATACACACACACACACACACCGAGTTTCGCGGACTAAGCACGCTGATCCATCTCGCGGTTACTCATTATCACGTAGCTGGGATTGCTGAAGCTCTCCGGCATGCCGTTGCGCAGGTCGCTCTTCTGCTTCGGCATATTCACATAATTGTCCTGCGTGCTAATGATGGACGGCGGATAGTCCATCTTCCGCGAGTCCGCCTTGTCGGCTTGCTCCGCCTCTTTGGGCGAGTCACTCTCGTCCACGTCGTTCAAGTCGATCAAATGTAGATTTCGTGGCGCATTGCAGTAACCAGAGTCTCGGTCGTCCATTCGGTTGGTCATTTGATCCTTCATCGTTTGCCTCTGCCGCGCGAACTCAGCTCTCCGTTCTTGAACATTGATGGGCTTCAGGTACGGATCGTCTTCCTGCTTGAGCATGGGCGACTGCTCGACGGCGTCCTCGGAGTCCGACGCCGGCGACGGGAACTGGAAGTGAGAATGATCCTGCTGCGGTCTGGGGCTAAATATGCCGGACTCGTCCGTCTGATAGCCAGGACTCATGCGTAAATACGCAGGATCAGTGCCGCTCTCCAAGAAAGGCGAGTTTACGTAGTGCGTTGGTGATGACAGGGCAGTGTGGTCCGGCGCGGACATCATCGTCAGGTAGTCGTTTTTGCCGCCCTCCAGGATCATCGTGTTCATGTCCATGTAAGGTGTGTTCAGACTGATATAATGCTGTAGTACAAATGAAAAGTGCTTCTGTTAGCCTTGTTTTTTTTTTTAAGACGTTTATCTTTCTTTATTGAGATTTCGTACGATTTTTCGTACGTTTAAGAAGTTGGGAACTACCCTCTTCGATTGATTCCGTATATCTAGTTAGATTCTTTGAAATAGTAAAATATACGAAATATATGAAAATAAATGAAATAGTAAAATATATGAAATAGTAAGATATCTTTGAAATAGTAAAATATACAAGGAAATGTCTTACAAAAAAGTTTAATAGTATTTGATATACCTTATATTATACGTATAGATTCTTGTGCAATTTCTTATACATATATTTTCTTTTTCAATCTACATATTCTTCCTATCCATTGTTATTTTTATGAATTTCAGTATTCTAGTAAAGTCAAAAGTAAGAAAATTTTATGGTAAATTCAACCGTTCATAACACAATTATTTTTTGAGATTGTTGAAGTAGGAATTGTTAAGCTCACGCCATTGTATCTGCTGCGAGTAGTCGCAGGTACGTCGCATTTGCATGAAACAATATATGGAGTGACTCACCGATTTCACGCTTTCGTCCAGTAAGTCGCCGATGCTCTGAACGAGATCTGTGAAACTTGGTCGCAGAGTGGGCTTCGCCTTCCAGCATTGCAGCATTATGTCATAGCTGTGAATCATGAGAAATCACGCGTGTAAGAGATCTTTCCGGTCTCCCATCGTGACCAAGTGATAAATTTCACTTACATTTCGCGCATGGCGTACTCCGGCTGCTCCATTCTGTAGCCCTCAATCAGCTTTTGATACTGTTTCTCGGCTTCCATGCCAGGATACGGCGTCTCGGCCAAAGTGAAGAACTCCCAAAGCACTATGCCGTAGGACCATATATCTGATTGCGTGGAAAAGATTCGATCTCTGATCGACTCAATCGCCATCCACTTTATTGGCAACGGACCGTCTCCCTTCTTTTTGTAATTGCCATCTTTGTACATGTTCTTCGCCAGACCGAAGTCACAAATTTTCACTATGTTGTCCTCGGAGAGCAAGATATTCCTCGCGGCCAGATCACCGTGCAACACCTGAGAAAGTGAACACGTATGGACGACTGTGTGTAATAATTGATTGTATGAAACAATACCTTGAGAGAAACTGTATCATAATCGTGTATTAGTTGTACAATAAATATATTCGCATTTGGCCCGTTCGCAAAATCTCCAACTTGAGAATAACACAGCTAGTTTATTGATCAGTTTAAAGTATACCGAAAGAGCTCGGGCTACTTTTATCGTCCACTTTGCTGGTACATATGTGAGAAGAATGTACCTTTCTTTGGCTGAGATATTCCATTCCGCGCGCAACTTGGAACGCCCACGACAATAGATCCTGAGTGCAAATCGGCTTGAGGTTGTGGTCCTTGTAGTCACCGCGATAATTCGACCTCCAGCCAGGTTGAATCGAATTATTGCTGAGAATGCAGCCGCCGCTTGGCGACAAGCAGATCTCCTGAGAGTCCGAGCTAGTTGCCGGACAATAATGCACCGTGTCGATGCCTGAATTCGCACTAAGACTGCGAGAAAAGGATAATGCCGCATATTTTATCCTGTCGGATGGACAGAAGAGAAAAGAAGAACCATGTTAAACCATAGAGCCCCTCGCATGCAGCGGTGTTGGTGTGCGTGAACTTCCATGGCAGGATAACACTCGTGGACACAGGATGTGTGCGGTTAAGCGAGTTAGAGTCAGTTCCTGAGACCTTAGGCGAAGTAAAATAGTCTTCCACCACATTAGCGAGAATTTGATATCGTTAGAACGATCTTTTTCAGTTATGAACGAAGGAACGCGTGCAAACGAATTATTCATTCTCGACTCGATCGACGTTTTATCGGCGTACGAAGGAGATACTTTCGTTGTCGATCGATTCGCGTTAGATCCTGCGTGAAAAAGCCAATACGATGATTCATTCGAAGTTGATTTGATGGAAACAGTTAAGAAAGGATCTTGCGCCTATTAATACGATATTAGTACGGTGATGAGTAGACGAGGATGATAATGCGATGCCTAAAACATAACGATCGGTAGACGAACCTGTTGTTACTGCTGACACTGGCAGTCCTCGTCAACACATCCAGACCGATGGAGTTGTCGAGTTTTCCAGTGTTGGGATCAATCTGATTGATAAAATCCGCCCTGTGCTTCAAGAGGTAGTTATGCAAGTTGCCGAAGCGACAATATTCGACGATCACCAGCAGCTCGCCTGTTGCGACACAGAAATTTTAACGATTATTAGCACTTTGTCTAAATTATTATCTAAATTCATCGACTTGGTTGTGGATCCCAACATTCTCGCTCCTCCCAATAGTGGAGTATCTGAAAATCAGCATAATTTTTTCATACAACGCGGCTGGTTTCAGCGACACGTACGTTTGGAGATGTTCTTCGTGCATGCACCGAGAAGATTGACGACGTTGAGATGCTTGCCAAGGTGTACCATGATCTTCAGTTCGCTGGCGAGCGCGCGAACGTAAGTCGGATCAGTGGTTCGCCGAACCATCTTCACCGCAACGGTGGTGACGGTCTCGCTCTGGCATATTCCTTGCGCTTCCGCCTTCATCACCACCCCGAACGCACCGCTACCCAATTGCTTGCCTGAAAGAGGGATTTACCGGAATATGTCGCGTATAACGGATACCTAAACATTTACTCCGTCCGTTAGACGGAATAAGTATTGCGTTGCGGTTGATAACTGAACAATGTTACGTCAAACGGCCGCTTCCTCACCGAGCTTTAATCGTTCTCTCGGAAATTCCCATTTCTTATCGTAAGGAAGTAATTCCGCTTGATCGTCGACCGTCAAGTCTGGATTCAAACACTCCAAGGCGCCTTCCTCGAAGTGCATAAGACCGGCTTCCATCAACTCCTTCTTCATTTTCTGCGCGACACATCGTTTTTCAGTTTAGCTTCCCTCGACCGGTCAGCGGCGATGTTGTTTTTAACGTCTTATTGCGCATGTTTTTACAGAAAATATGAAAGAATTAAGTACATGCGATTTACCTTCTCCCGACGGACTTTTATTATGAAGAAGATCGCTAAAATCACCAAGAAGAAAGCCAGCAATGCTATCGAAGTGGTCAATATTATGTCGTGTTTATTCCCTGAAAAGATTTTGCATTTTCCTCATGTTCTCGCCGGCAAGGACACGCGAGTGAACGGGTTATCGAATTTTCGCTTACACTTCCTGTTCTTCACGTTAATTTGTTGGAAAGTTTCCTTCATGCCTAATCGATTGCTGGCGCGGCACGAGTAAGTCCCACTGTCCGATTGCGACATGTATCTGATGTTGAGCTCCTGATAGTTGTCTGTGAAATTGTACTGTCCGTTTTCCTTCAGCAGTATGTTGTCCTGGAATGATGATCGGTAGAACGCAATCTCACCGAATGAAAACGATCTTAAGGACACGACATGTACTTTGTACCAGGTTACTTTTGGCGTCGGCAATCCGCCCACAATACACCTCAGAACTGTCATCTCGTGACCGTCCTTATCTTCGTCGATGTTCTTCACTTTAGTCTCGTTCATGTTGGTTTGTGTGAAGAATGGTTTTATCGCCTCTGTGACATTCAGAAAATAACACAGTATGTATTATTATAGTATGAAGAGGTTTCGGTACGCGGTAGACACATGACATTTTGTGTAAAGTAGATGTCTCATGGCGTGTTTCGCCATGCTTTTCACGCAACACGCTTCTCTTTAAATTTATCGGACGAGTCTTTCAATTCCTCAAATTCGTACACCTCGAAAGTCCTCGAGACACGCACGCCTGAAGAGATCATCCAATTTTGTCTCAGATATAGAGACAGATTTGTTGGAGTAATTACCATTAACGATTAACGTGTAAATTGTAGAGTCAGGAATATGATCATCCTCCGATTTGAATTGTCCGTTGCAGGTGTAATGCCGAGCGTCTTCTTCCTGGACGTTATTGATCCTCAAGATTGATTGATAAGTGAACTGAGTTTCACGATGAAAAATTTCGACCCTCCCTGAAGTTGATGAAGATTAAAGTTAGTGTCCGCATTATTGTATATTCGTGCAGACGAACACATTTTTCTATTTTATTTGTCATTTTTGTGAAGACCGTTAATGATTCAAGCGAAGATGCTTCCCCCACGTTTCGTCCCCCCCACCTAAACTAAAATCTAATCCAAACTCTCGACTTCCTCTTTTCTTCGACTCGCTATTCATGATAATTACCTATTTCTTCGATGAGTTCGTCGTTTTCGTTTGTCCATGTTAATTCACTTGTATAATTGTACACGGAAGCGGCACATGTCAACTCCACGCTATCGCCTTTCGCCACCTTCTGTTTTGGCTTGATGATACTGAAAGCTCCGTCTCCATCTACGAAATTCACGTAAGAGGAACAAAAGGGACACCAGTGGCTATCAGGGTTTCTCGGTATAATTACTTTCTCGAGTGAGAAACTTATTCCTCGCCTTTAGAAAGTATATCATAACTGGGTTATTTATCAATCGCAATAACTGAGGAAGCGAAAGAAGATCTTACCGGACACGAAGATGATCACAGTTGAGTTGTCGCAGCCGCGAATGTTACAGGCCTCGCACGTTAATACTCCCGACATCTCAATCAATATTTCGGCCGTCGAGACGACGTTGATCTTGGTCGGTGCACTTTCCACCACTTTCTATAAAACGCGCGAGAACTTTTCGTCACACGAAATACAGATAAGGACACACAACCGACGAGTTAGGACGAATGTATAAAGTTGCGCTCACCGTCGGTCGTACGATCGTTGAATTTGTATGCGACGGATAATTGGGACATTTAAGGAAAGTCCACGAGATGTCCGGTCGTGGATAGGACAGCATTGCGCAAACAAAATTCACGGTTTCATTGGGTTTATAGTAAGTATCTATATTCACCAACTCGGTAAGCGGTTTAGCTGAAAAAAAAAAAAAACAACGATTAGTTTTACACGTGTCGGTGCTATCACATGCTTCTCACTGAATATTGTAGAGATATAGTTTCGATACCCATGACTTCCAGCGTGAAGTTGATCTGTTTCATCGTGTAGTTGTTCTTAGCCACGACTGTGTAAATTCCTGTGTCCGCAACTTGCAATCTTTTGATTCTCAAAACGGTAGACGTCGAATCTATTATTACAGAGTATTTATTGTAATTTATAATTTCGTCGCCTCTCGGATTAAACCTGTAACGACGAGGTAATGATAAAAAACAATGTGTTTTTGAGTATGTTAGAATATGCGTTTTTATTAATATTGAGATTTGATACGTATGTTTTCGCGAATATTAAGAAACAGTATGTTGATTGTTCATTTCGGATTTTCCTGGAATATATATGGTAAGAATTCGTACCATTGTATCACTGGCTTGGGATAGCCGTAAACGTAAACAACCCATTGTATATCGCCGCCTTTCTCTGCCTGATAGGAGGTATTACCGTGTTGAGTTGTGATATTGACATATCTTACTTGAGGATCTGAAATTTTTAAAAATCCAATTGCAATCGTTCCGCGAGAAAGTACACATATAGACGAAGATAGTCACTCGATGAAGATGTTAACTCGAGTGAAACGTTCTCGACGTCTACATAGTCCTTTCGCAGCACGAAATGAAAATTGAGAATAATAATAATTGCATAACTGTGTGCTATGTTGGATGCATGTGGATACGTGTGAAAATATAACATTATATAATGGAGTTGACACGCGAAGGGCGTGGCAAAATCATATCAGGCTTTCGCTCGACTTAATCGACATGAGAAGGCAGGAAATTAATATTAATTAATAGTGATATTAATATTATTATTATTATTATTATTATTAATAGTATATTTTTATATTATTTCTATTATATTGTATTATATTATATTTAATAATAATATTAATTAATTAATATTAATTAATTGATGTCGACGAGTAGAGCATCCGTATTACTTTGATCATCGCAATTTGAGTCAAGTGGTAAGCTGACCATGTAATTCAATACGCTTCGACGTATTCTTAGACCCGCGCAGCGTCGTGATGAAGCACGAATACATCCCCGCGTCCTCGTCCGTTATGTTAAGAATCGTCATTTCAGATGTGACGCTGTTGAGGGAATCGCTGATCTTAGTGTTAAACAACCTAGTGCTCATTCTGCTGCTGTTCTGCAAGTAAAAGCCGTGCGCGAACGCGAGCGACATAAGTACATCGCGATTAAAAATGCAATTAACTAGGTAGAAAACTCCTTTCTTATCCGATATCTAAACACACGCTCGTTTAATTAACACCTCGTTCACGCATGGTGGCTCGTGCCGGTATTAGCCGGCTGCGAATAACTTTTGCGATCTTGAAAAATCTGGTCGAACGATTCCATGTACAATCGAATTCGATCAACGTACTTCGTTGTTGGAAGCTGATTGTACGGAGAGAGATTCGCACTTTCGCTACTACCGCTTCAATGAGATCTACTTATCAGCTTTTTTTTTATTGATCTGAATATTCAAAAAAATGGGCGAGAAAAGAGAGATGTATGGCGGATCCGGTTCGACTCGATTTGTCTCAGATTGCCGTCCAGCGTTCGCAAGTGTTAAGGCGCGTCTCTCCGATATAAACGTTTCTCGCGCAGTGCAAAGCAAAGAAGCAACACATACGTTTGGCGGAATTTTGGTCCAATTGAACAAGTACTTGACGGAGCTTTGTACCTCCACGGTACAATTGACACGGAGGTCCTCGCCGCGAATAATGTGACGCAAATTCTCCTCGTGGATGATCGGCTCGGGCACAGGGTGGTTCTCTGAACGGGTAATTGACAATTATTAAAAAACAACGAGGTTGGTCGCGTGTGATAATGGTGTCTCGCCGTGGACATTTTAACCGATCACGCATGACGCGCGATTTCTTAAAAATATGTGACTAAATTAATGTGGCATCGATGTCGAAGAAGCAGGAGCGGTACTCACGTTCCACGGTCAACGTGTAAGTTTTATCCTGCTCTTCGTCGTTCAGCTTCATCGTGCAGGTAAAGTAGCCGCTGTGATTCACAGTGACGTTCTTAACGGTGAGACCGATTTTCGGATCATACGACGACCTGTTCTTTATTTCGTCACCCTGTGCAATATTAATGCGAGGCGTTATCCTTGAATGGACGGCCCGTTAAGAATTCCGAACGCGAGTCCTACGAATATTCATTCCTTCGAGGGCGGATATATAATTAGGAGTTGACTCTACTTGTCTAAATAGCGAATCATTCGTTAATGTGTCGTTGTTGCTCACAATTTCGCTCTCGATGTTCACCGCTATGTCCGGCGATGTAGGCCTGCACGGTATCACGGCGTCATCGCCGCCGAACGCATCCACCATGGGGGAGATATCAGCGTCCTCGACGAAGAAGAATTTATCGGCTGTAAGCCAATGCTGAATTAACGCGAGAACAGCATGAAGAGCGCGATTGCAGGATTGACGAATTGAGAATTGAGAGAACGCTCGTTATTGATAATACGATAGTGCGAGAGGATAAGCGAGACATACGCGATCGATCTTACATCTCACGTAAACGTATAGCCAGTTCACCTCGGGATCGTCATAGTTATACGGAGTGATCTCGACATTCTCGTTGGCGCAACTGTACCAGCCTGTGTCTCCGTAAACGGTCTTCGGCCGTTGGAAGATGTACTTGTAAACGCCGTCCGCTTCAGTCTCGGCCGTTCTCGCATCCGAAGTGTTTACCTGACGGAGGACAGCAAAATGTGAGATTGAACGCCTTCTTCGCGACGTTAAGCAGGTGGGTAATTAGAGAAAGAAAAAAAAAACTATCATAGACTCTATAGTTTTCTTCACGAGTTATCTTTGCTGAGACACGTCTGCCATGTCTGGCAGGCACAGCGGGCACATTATTAACGTTATCGACCTGATGAGTAAACTGACTTAAGAAGCTTGAAGGTGTGCAAAAAATGTGTGCGTACCGTTTCTTTGGTGAATGGATAGGTAAACTGGATCGGGGTGTCGCTGGTGCATGTGATTTCTAAAAGTTCATCTTCGTTTATCACAAGCTCCTTCACACTCGGCCAGATGATCGGCTTCGCGCCGCTCGACACTGAAAAACAGGAGCGGAATGATTTACTCTCTCTCTCTCTCTCTCTCGTCTCGAGTACAAAATGATCTCTCTCATGCGTTTGCGATATCTTTGACTTGTGCACTTTTAATCCGCCGCTTTGTATATCGCTCATTTCTAGCACCAGTATGCAGAGTTATTTTTACGCAGCGCCTCATCATCCCGCGATAAAATCGAGGAATCTACGTTTCTATTGAGAACGACGTGACTATTGGTAAATCCGCGCGTATATCACAGCGGACGGGAACATATATGGTCAGCAGTTTCGTGAGAAACGTCGCTGAAAAGCCGCAATGTCCTGCGGATGATTAGTTTCATGCAGCCCTCCTCGTTACTCTTCTCCACAGAAAGGCGCACGTGCTGTTAGTTCGTTTCTGCGCAAATCGTGGCTAGGAAGGAAGTCCTTTCTTTCCTCTCTTGATAATACCCCGGCATTATCAGCCAGCTTGCTTGTTGTAGAGTCCGCGTCGACCACCACGAGAATGTGAACAGCCAGGATTCACAATGTGGATCGGTGAAGCTAACTATGTAATAATTCGCGGTAAATGTGTGGAATTGAATCTCCCCGCAGCGAGCGGCGGGAGACGGAAGGTTTATTGCAGATATGCTCGTGTAATCTTTGCAGCGTCACGTGTGTAAACACGATGCGGAAGATTATACGTATGGATCATGTTGAAGCGACTTCTGGCTTCTCACAGGGCTTCTGGCGCCGGGTTTGGTCCTCGTAAAATAAAATCAAACAGGAGACGGAGATCTCTTATTGCTTTATCTTGTACAAAGGTGATGTTTCCTTTTCTTAAGATTAACTGATAGATTAATTGTGAACGAGAAAGTTTAACCCTGAACTGCTTCTCTCGTAATTGGAAAGGTCAAGTGGTTGGGCCTCACATTTGCGAGTTTCGAGCACGTAGTAGCGCGTCATTAGTGAAGAGAAAAGGGCTGAAGAGGAGCACCCACTTAATTACCGCATATTCACGGTGCGACACTTTAATCGAGACGAATCTGCAGCAACTACGAACTACGGTCAGATCGCCAAGTCTTCGTAGACTTGTCAGAGGAAGAACGTGTATAAAGTGTAGAAAAGCTCTCGATATTCCTCCCAACGTACATTGCGACAGATCATAAGAATTCTCTTCTCTCATCTGCTCCTGTTGCTCGTCGCACGACACCTACTTCCACTTGATGCGTTCAAGTTATATAATTAGTTCGTATAGACAGTTCGGCGAAGAACCAACGCAACGAGGAGTTTGCGTCATCGGGATATTGTTTTTAATAAGACATACTTTTTTGTCCGTCGGAGTATTCTCCATTAAACGGCCATTGATCAGTGCGTGGAGCACTTGCTGTACGAACGAAATGCATGACTAATGCAACCAGGCGTGACTAGTGTCAAATGCAGCCGATATCATCGACGATTATTCTTTTTTCTCCGCTTGTAACGCGACGTGTCTCGGGGATGACTCCGCTCTTGCCTTTCATCATGATTTTTATGAACCGTTGTCACGTATCATGACCTTGCGCGTATTCGATCGTGTCGCCAGACGACCTCGTAAAATTATTAGCCACTTATTAGAACATCGTGCGGGAGAATAGGTTCAATGAAACGTCCCCTGATGGCCGCCCTGCTGAGAGACAATTGATTATCATTCCTGAACGTACGTCAGAAATACGCGAAATGAACTTTAGATGTACGACGATGTCGTAGAGTCGTTGCTCTTTTTAGCTATTCGATGATATCGTTAGCGCAATTTATGAAGTAACATCGACAGACCCTGGTTCTTCACGAATTGATTCGATTCGCGCGAACTGACGAAGATAATTTTATCTTCCACTTCGTATAGCCACTTCTCTGAAATATAAGATATTATCAAATGTTCGAGTCATTATTATATAATGACTACGTTGCTAGACATTAAATATAAATATTTCACTTGAGAATTCACTTGAAAATTTCTTTTCAAGAATTTGCAGCACATCAGAGAGATGAGGAGAAACTGAAAAAGCAGGTTCTACATTTTACTAATGATTTCTAAATTTCATCCATTCGCCTGTCAAATGGAGTTTCGATAACAACACTTGTCCCAACAGCTTAATGCAGATAAAAGAAGTTCACCATTTGTTGACCCAATGAAATATGATTCACGTAGCATTCTTTCCATTCATGTGTGTCTTACTATTTATAACTACCTCATTTACTGTCTCATCTACATACGGCATTGTTTACGTGCTCGCGTGGGATAAATTTCCGAAAGGTAAATCGAAGAATATTATGTATGCAATTAATGAAATGGTATATTAATACGATTTTTAACAGCTGGATTCATGTTATCTGGCTGCGTCAGTTTTCCTGCCTGCGATGTTCAAAGCTGGCGGCACACTGCGTGTTAAATGAATTTCAATTCCGTGCTTTCGCGCACGGCACACATTCGTCGAGCGAGGGACACTTTCCCGCCAAGTTGTGAAACAATTCAACCGCCATGTACGTGCGAAAGAATATCATCCTACAGAGACCAGAGCTGCCGTGTCGACATAAATGACTCGTAAAAATGTTGCTCTCGTAAGATTGCGTCCACGACGAGAAGAGATCGCAATTGCGCGAGACCTCTTATAGCCAAAAATCACCCCGAAAACTCGTCACGTCTTAAAACGAAGGGAACGCAAGTCGTCTCGCCTGCTCCAACACTCTCGAGAACGAACGGCGGACGATCGTCGATGGACGGCGCCAGTTAGTCCAAGTTCGATGTCCTACCGACAATTTGGAAATCGTCGGGACGCTGTTACAGCCAGAGAATCGGTATTCGCTGACGAATGCGCTCTCACGTTGCGATGCTGAGCAAACGAAGGTGAACTCTAACAACGCACCAATAAACGTGACTCAATGTCGGGACCACGTGACCGCGTGCGTTATGCTTCACCGGAGAATCTCCTCGCGAATGACAGGTACGCCGCGCGGACGCGCGGCCAGGTGTGTCTCGCATTAATTACCTCTGCACAGTGCGAGTAGCAGAACAATGACGAACGTCAGAGCACAGGACCGCGCGTGGTACAACATCGTGTCGGTATTTGTCGCGCACTTGTCAACTTTTCACCACATTTTCAAACACCGTGGTCATTCGACGAACATTGTGGGTGCGCGTGTCAGAGAGACAAAGAAAGAAAGAGAAAGAGAGAGAGAGAGAGAGAGAGAGACAGAGGTCAGACGGGTCCCCAGAGTCTCTCTTCAAGGCCTGCGATCAACGTGCGCACCGTTCTACAGCCACTTTCATACTGAATGTGCCAGTCGTATAAGCGACTCAACGAACAGGCCCCACCCGGCCGGTTCTCCGTTCGAGTACAACTTATCGAGTACGACGTCATCGTCTGGCGACATCATCATTCGCTTTCTCGTATACTCATGGATTCCTACGTCGCCGTCGACCTGATTCCTTAGTAGTTCCGTGTAAAACCGGCCGGCGATCGTTTTGGGTTTATCGATAATGAAACAGACACATCGATATGATGACGTCTCCCACATTCAAGGAAAACCCATTTGTATTTTATATCGGAGAATTAATCGCGCCAATGTGACGGTGAGAGGAGTCTTGAGGAGTCTAAGGATCTTGTCCACATTTGAGGGAGGTCAAGGGTCAAGATTTTGCGTTACTATGCGTGGAGCGTTTTCAACGACAGTAACGAGACTGCATTGTTACTTCAAGTCACTCGTCAAACGAATAAATACGGCGGGAAGATAAGAACAGGAAAGTATACGTGATCAGATGATTCTTCAAAATATCGAACATCATCTGCGGTGTTAACGCAACGGCAAACGCGTCGTCGTATCGCGCGGAGGTCTCATTTATAAAACGGTCGGTAATAGAATTATCAGCTGTTAGCCGTCACACGTAATCTGTTTCTGCTTTCTCTATTATTACAGAATCAGGATGAATGTGCAAACGCGGCTTCGCGGTGGAAGTAAATTGATGTGATTCAAGGAGAAAATCGTCAGGTTAATTTAACGGGCGCAGCAGCGTGCCAGACGTTGTAGCACTAACTCGAAGTGGTTTATTTTTATAATTCGTTTATCGTTATGTTATGTGCCGAGGCAAGAATCAGACAGAGATATAAATGCGAATGTAGCTGTTTATAATCGTGCCCCATGGAGCCAGAGCATCGTTTGATATTTTGAGCACGAGATGTTTGCCGCCAAGAATATATTTTTGATAGAAGAAACGTTACTTTTTTAGAACACCGGAACCGGCAGTTGTACGCACCAGGAGTTGCTTAAATTCGTTCCGTTCCGTTAGGTCATAGAATTGTGCGCACGGTAGTACTTCCTTTGCAACTTCGTGTGTATAGTCGGCTGGTCGGGTGTACAACTTTTAAATTAGCACGATCTAATTGTGAAAAATAGGCGCCGATTAACATTTCTCGGCAAAGGTTTCCTCACACTTTTTAATTTCCTTGCTTTCTTTTACACGAAGAGAAATTTCAGTTTGTGCAGCAAAATGGGGCTCAAACGAAAACCGAACGACGAAGAACGATATCTCTGATATCGAAGAGAGAAGGATGCGTTAAAATCTCGATCGAGATAACTGAGAAATTTAGCTTCGTAGAAATCTCTTACAGAAATCTGGTTTCTCCTACAATCGAGATTTTATCTGGCCTCTAGACGAAAGAAAATCGTCGTTAATCAAACTGGATCTCTTTTCGCGTAAAGGTCGCCGCGGCAAGAGGAGCAAGTTACGTTGCAATTTAATGAGTCATCTTTCAGTTGACGAAAAATTCGAAATTTTATGAAATCATATCACAACGCTATTCTCCTTGTAACTAAATGTAAAAAAATCAGGAAATATTAATAATACTTGTCCAAATTGTTCATGGAGTTTCAGCTGAAAACGAAAGCAGAAGTGATCATCGGAAGATCACTGGTAATCACGCGTTGAAGCTTGCGAGGTTTATATAGCGGTGGCGTTAGTATATCGATAAACAGTTATATCACTTGATATCATAATGATTCCAATTGGACAGGAGAAAAAAACTTGCCGTTGTATTTCAACAATGACTCTGTAACAATGACTGCAAGTAATTTGGTAACGATCAAAGGGAATAAATAAAATTGCTTTTGACCGAATATTAATAACAAAGCGATTGAAGATGCATCAATAAATAAATAAGTCACAATAGCGACACACGCTTCGATTAAAACAACACAGTTATACTAATTTCGCGTGCTAATTGCTTGGTTAATATTATGGTTTCCTTGTCGAGAAGCTGTTCTAATTTCTTCGTCTTGTAATCGTCACTTGTAATATTAATTAAGATATTAATGAGATAGAAGCGTGGATTATATGTCAAAATGCTTTCTGCTTCTCTGTTATATTCCTGAGCAACATTGTGCAGAACTTGGGGTTATTGGCCCTTGCTATCGATGGCTAAGCAATTATCTGCTTAAACATACTCAAACTTAAGATACAGCGCTATCGTCGTCGTCGACGCTGTTTTTTGATTCGACGCCCACTCTTATCATCGTTAGTAGGAACTGCTGTCGGTGTGTGATACGTGTTATCTCTAGAGCTTTGTTCAAATTTGTCGTGCAGATAAATACCCAACTCTAGAGATCATTCATTAAATTGTGCAATTTGAGAGAAAGTGTAATACCAATAATGATGGTTTTGTCTCTTGACGGAACTGCCAAAATAATCAAATAATCGAAAATAATAATATAAGATAACATTATAAGAGGAAAAGGAGTTCTGATACGCTATTTATTTGCTATGATTAATATAGTAATTTCCTGGGAATTAACGATAAAACGAAGAGTCGTGAAATCACTTGGCGATAAAATAAACGACTGTTAATCCCTATTAAGGAAGTCACTTCCATAATACACACACACACACACACATACACACTGAAAAAAAGTGACGGGCATTTACATTGACTACTCACGTTGACCAGAGAGTTTCGTTTTCCGAAGAACGTTTTATCGTGCTAGAGAGCTCACGAACTTGCGCACGAAGTCAATATAGCGCGCTCGTCTGATAAGCGGCGCACGTTACTGCTCGCGGTATGCGAAAAGCCGTCAGACGCTAATTAATATCTATCTGATTGGATTTGTATATGTATGTACAGATATAGTAATACCCAATTGCTTGCAGTCTTCACGTCGAACCGCTTAACCGTTAAAGCCGTTTCCGGCCTCGGTAATAATAAAAGAAAAGACCATTTTCTGTTCTAACAATTAGTGACGCTCAACAATTAAGATACGGTGGTTTAAGATATGACGTTGCGACCTAAATGTTGTTGTCGGCGGTTGCGGAGGTCCGATCGGTAATATTATCACCTCTCTCACAGGAACTACTGTCAGTACTGATATCTCGAGTACTTTGCTCCTTTTGTCGGTCACCCGTACGACACGTGTTCTCATACGTTGGGTCACGTGTAGGTCTCTCGAGTTTCGTCTTGCTCACAAGTCGTTCTGGGCTTTCTTCCTTGTAGACGGTGAACCTCTCCAGATTGATTGTGGACGAGGCCGGTATTATCTCCTTTTTCTCGTACTTGCTGCTGATTGTGTGCGCGTCTTTCTCTGACTTGCAGCTGCTCTCCTCGAGGAAGTTCTCGCGGGAGCAGCACTGCGAGGAACTGCAGTGCTCGCCGTGGCAACGAATCAAACAATCAGTCCTGTCCATATGCGGTTTCATCTGCGGAAGTGTTACAACGTGCAGAATGATGTTAACGTTCGACAAATTGTAATTGAACAGATACACGGAGAGAAAAGTCTCACTTTGTGCAACAGAATCGTTCACCGGACGGTCTCTCAATGATGAAAATTCCGTAACAACAGACGATAATCTCTGTTATCGCGAGCAAAAATAATTGTCTGAATATTCAGCCGACTTAAAAGTCGATTAAGATAACTGACAAAGTTTACATTGTTTGCATGAGGGCAGTGAATAATCGAGGAAGAGAGAGAGAGAGAGAAAGAGAGAGAGAGAGAGAGAGAGAGAGAGAGAGAGAGAGAGAGAGAGAATGATTAAAAATATCCTATAGAAATTTCTTGGTCTCCTTACAATCAAGTTCTTCTAATCTTCAGAGAAAATTAATTTTATGAACAGAGTTTCTATTTTTATTGTTAGCGTCTCGCGTACCTTGTGAAACTCCGGCTGTACGGTCACCTGAGTAATGCCCATCTCGAAGAAGAAGGCAGTGACTTGATCTTTGATACTGGCGTAAACCTATAAAAGAACGGAGACGCTTCAATTTTAATAGATATCGAGTGCAATTCATATATAATACTTGCAAATGTATATTTTTTCAAATGTAGGAGCAAAGAAGCCTCTCGTTTCTTTATTTACACACAGTGAATATTTTTCATTAAATACTCTAAGTAAATTCACATACACACACACACATAGCAAAATATCAATGTAACTAATAAATACCTTTGGATTTAAAAATATTATATGTGCTGTGGAGATTATTTTGTCACCTGCTAATTGCCAAACATGAAGATCATGAACGTTGACTATACCCGGAAAAGCTTTCAACAATTCTCTCTTAAGAGAATCGATATTGATATGATTAGGAATTGTCTGCAGCAGTATCAAGCCCGACTCTTTCACTGCGGGGAAAAATAATAAAATAGGTCGATTAATATATCGTCACAATAATTTGCAAGAATTAAAATATCTCTTTCTCTCGCTAGTAACAAATAAAAAATTAATGTTAGATTAGTATTTTAGTTTATATGCTATCGTATCATAAATTTGTGTTAAAGAAAATACTTGCTGTATGGGTAACACAGAACAAACAAAGAGATCGACGAAATAATGGCAAAGACTGGGTCAATATACTTGGCCACTCCGGAGTCGGTGAAGTAGACCAAGATTGACACCAGTACGACAAAGACGCAGCCGAAAATATCGCGACACGTTTCTCGAAAGCCTTGGCTTTTCGGTAACGCCAAGGGACTTCGCCTAGTCTGCGCTGACAGTTGCTGCTCGCCGTCCTTCACCTCTTGTGAACTCACATTTCTGCAACATCAAATGTACCACGTCTTCTATCAACTTCGATCTCGTGCGAAAGATATCGTAGAGAAAGGAACATATTTTTTCAGCATCGAGATTAGAGTACAACTATGAGACTCGCCTGCAGAGTATCACATCTCCGCTCTTCGTGACGTGCAGGAAGATGCCCTGGTTGAACGTGAACCCGCCGATCAGGATGTAACAGACGGCGTTGAGGAGAATCCCGGAAGCGCCGATGCACAGCACCGGCAACGGGTGGTGCATCTCGTCCAGGTGATCGATGTGCACCAACGTCTGCAAGGCCTCCATCAGTATGGAGAAGCAAAAAGAGGCGAGGAAAACGAAGCAGACGAGCATAGTGACGATGTCGATTCTGGCCCATCCGAAAGTATTCTTCATCCGCCTATCCGACCATGATTCCTGCGGAAAGGAGTTTCCGCAGATTCATCAATCGATTCGACTCTAAATCGAATAGATCCGAGAATATCTCACCCGAGCGAGCTCTCTCGATATCGATCGTACCTTCGTCTTCGTCGACAACGACGTGGCGGAACCTTGCTCCTCGCCATTGATGCAGATCGCCGAGTTCCTCAGCGAACTGCAGCCGCTGCTACTGCTGTACTTCTCCCGGTAGGTGTACTGCAAGTAACACGATAGTTCGCGTTACAATTGCGGATTATTAGTCGTGGGGAAAGCGCGTCGCGGAGAAAATGCACTCGAGGATTTTGCGCGTTGCAACGCGCGAGGGCACTCGTACCAAGTACCACGGGCCTGTCGTACGTCTTCATCAATTACTTGCGGTAATATCGCGTGCGCCTCGCGTTTCACCAAATTCGACACGGATACACGACACGGTGTGTCATTGCGAACTTGGCCGAGTTATCGAGGCGATACACTTCGTGTGTGCGCGCCGGTGCCTTAATGCGAGCCTTCTCGAGCCTGGATTTTCCCTGAGATTTTTATCAAATAACACAGAATGCGCGCATTGTTCTCAACAATGTTATCGAGTGATCGAGCGAGTTATCGAGCAAAAATCATTTCAACAAGGAATAAATAGACGAGTAATTTCACAAGCAGTCCTTTGAGTTCCCGCTCGATCATTCATCATTCTCCAAGCAAAATCAGACTTTACACTTCGCCTGTCGACGATGAAGAACTGTCGGCAATTCGCACAGAGAGTCAAGAATCCGAGTCCTTCGTGTCACACTCGCGGAGGAGGCGAATTAGCGCGAAAAGAACACTTGGAATCGTTCGCACGGCGCGCGCGCGCGCGCGCGATATGAATGAAGTGGGTTAAAAGATTAATGTCGCCGCGCCGTCATGGACGCGCTCGCGTGAGTGTCGATTTCGTAAGCGAGAGTGACGGCTTCACGTGCTCACCTTGATCGAAGCGATGCAGCCGACTAGCGCCACGATGTTGCAGAGCATGTGATACGCGTTGAGGAGCAGAGTCAGCGAGTGGGTCACGTGACTGGCGACAATCTCGACCAAGAAGAAAGTCGTGGTGAAGAACAGCACCAGGTACAGCTGGACCGGCTGCAGCCTCCTGAACCACTCTTTCACAGCCATGATCCTGCGGAGACACGTGGTGAACGTCTGTCTACCCGTTCTTTCGACGACACGTCGTCGACACGCGGAGGAGGATCAACCGCTACGTCTGGCTGTTATTCTAAGCGGCTGCATGTCTCTCGCATTTTTCGCACAAGCGCGGTCTCGATTCGAGACCGGAATTTACTCCCGTCTCCCCGAAGAAGTCGCGCGCGACACGCGGGGACTCGGGAGAGAACCCGGCACGCTTCGAAGTCTTCACGGGAGTTCGGGTTCACGCGAGATTCTCACATGACGACGGGACTTTCTTCGGAACTCCAGGAGTTCGCAGGCTGTGTTTACTCAAATATACGACTGTGCCGTGAATGGCGAGAGCGATCTCACCTTCCTCCTCCTCCTCCTCCGCGAAGGAAGCAGACGTAACTCGGATCAGACATTCGTTTCGACCGCGAGGGGAGCTAAAATAGTTGTGAAGCGCGCCTTCATTGTAATGACACACATATACGCGGCGGAAAAACGTGCTTGCAGCGAGGGGAGATTACGCGGCAGCTTGTTTATTGCGAGATCCTCTGCGCGCAGGCAGGATCATAACAAGACAATCGCGACGTGGGCTCTTTATACGCTCTTTCAGCGGGTAAAAAGGAACCAGAAAAAAAGGAAGACCCGGCCTATCGCATTCTGAGGAAGATAAAATGACTCGACTCGGCATTGTGAGTGAACGCGGTCAATGCGTTCCAATCAGTCAATTTGCGACACGTCGCGAGGAAAGGTTCAGTCGCGTTTTCGCGGAGAAGTGCGACAAGTGCATCTCATCGAGTCTGCGCTGTTCGTTCAGCAAAACGTGCGCACACACGTTTCTCTCTAAATCATTAAAAAGTATCTTGCATCTTGGAAATTGTTCAATACATATGTCGGCGCCTGTGATATTCACGGACGGAGAAATCGTGTGTGAGAGAGAGAGAGAGAGAGAGAGAGAACCCTTTCTTATCTTACTAAAAGAGAACCACATAAGTTTCATTCGACACGAAAGCGCGTCGTCGCCTCCGCTGCATCCGACGCTCTTTTCCGAGGCTTCATCAACAATACTTACGCGACGCGACCGTCAAACGATCGAAGACGCTCGACCATACGTACCCTGCGCTGGCTTTGGCAACCGGAAGCGATCCGCGGAGTCCTCGAGACGGAGACCGGTGACCGCGCGCGAGCGGCGATCGCACAACGGGATGCACCGCCTGAGGTAAGGAAGAGGAACGACGCGCCGTTTCTGAGCGAGTGATGTCGCGTTCTTTACCGTTCAAGCGACGTTCCCCGGGGATGGACGTGGAAAGACGCGGGGGATCGCTGAAGAAGCGGACACCCGACTGAACGAGACGGTCGAGCGTGCAAAACGATATTGGAGCGGCGACGGCGGCGACGGCGGCTGCAGAGATGCCCCGCGGTGTTTGAACTCCTGCGGAGCGCGATCGGCCTCTTCGTCCCGCTGGAAATCGCGGTATCCCACGCGACTCGTCAGCCCGGACTGACGAATCGCCCCGGGGGCGATTAATCTCCATAGTCGCGCTTATTATTTATTCACCGTCGCATCGCCAGACAATCTGCGTGTCTCGCGCGCGCGCTGCACCTCGGGATATAGTTTCTTCCTCGAAAGCCGGATCCGGATGCCGATGCGAGCGATCGGCACCGTTAAGCCGATGATGAATCATTTGTTGTTGTCTGCGAAAATCGTGAGCCTCGCCTCGCGGCGAGATTGGCGACGTCGCGCGGCTTTCCGACAATTTCGGCAACGATTTCGAGCAGGTCGGCCATGTATACGTTTACTCGCGACGAATCCGACGAGTCGAGAGAAATTCACGACGGAAAGCATCAGGGGGCGTCTTCCTCATTCACCGGGCAAGCCCGTGCTCGGTGCTGATCCGCGTCTCTCGCCGTCCAAATCGGCAATCGCGACCAATCGTTATAAATTCAGGTATCTGTTCTAAAGAAGTTGAAATTCGAAAGCTCTTACGATTTCGTCAACGGTTTCGGTTTCCGTAATGAGACTCGAGTGCTGCAAAATACAACTTTTTTCTTTTTCCTTCCTTCGATTTCCCGCCATTTGACAGTCTCGACGACGGATTCTTTCCGGTCTGCAACGTTCGCTCAGGTGCGACAAAATTGCGCTTCTCTTTCTTTCTCTTTCGTTTTACAGTCGCGCGACGTTCGTTCACGAGCGCAGCGAACGCCGTCATCGTCATCGTCACGACGACACGCGTATGCACACACACACACACACACACACACACACGCACACACACATGGACGTGAACGGCACAATTCACAGCGAGTTACACGAGCATATCCGACGTCTCTGTGTTGAATCGAGGGTGGAGGGGAGGGGGGGGAGTCCATCAAAGCGTTAGTTGCGAACATCCGGGCACGGTAAATGGGCTTTGAACAACGAAATACCCGCTTCTCCGATCATTAGCGTCGGCGTCATCTTGGACGGTCATACTGAACGCGCGACGCATTGCGCGACATAAAAATGCAATGAAACCGAGCAGCAGTTATTATTACGCGCGATTCGAGAGCGACCCGAGAGCAACCCATCGGCTCTCATCGCGGACGCGCGGAGACGGAAAAAAATATTCCGCCACTAGATTGCTCCTATCTTATCGGAAGCGCTCATAATCGGCCGAATAATAACGACAATAACGACAATAAAATGCAGAAAGGACGATGAAACGACGAGACGGTCAGGCAAAAAGGTCGCGCGCTCTCGAATTTCGCTGCGGAGGCGTCACCCCGCCTGAAAAGATCGATCGCGAGCTGTATCGCGAGTAAATACGCGGGGGAGATCCCCCGCGAAAGACCGCGCGCAAGTGTCTAAAACACACGGAGACGAAAGTTTGCACGAGCTAACGCGACAATGAACGAGCGCCAAACGCGTGTTTTGACCGAGGTGGGATTACTTGAGGAGCAATTTTGCTTGTGCGAGCGAGAGAAATTCTCCCTTCCTCGGCCAAAACGCATCTGGCTTCGTTTGCTTCGTCGCGTCGATTCTTCTGCGTGCGCTCCGTCTGAGAGACGTCTGAAACAAGCGGGCTTTCTTTCAGACGTCTGAGAGACATTTCTCGTAGACATTTTTAGGAGCCGTCTCGATCGAGAAAATAGCTAAACTGCCTACGTGTACTTTCGATACACAGTTCTCGCTCCTTCTCCTCTGTCTGTTCCTCTTACAAGAAGCGACGATTTGTCGCTGTGCGATGCCGACGAGAAACTGCTACTGACCTCCGAACTCCGCCGGATCGCCGGGCGATGTGTGCTCGCGTGCAAACGATCGGTGCTCGGGAACGCGAGTACGCGGTAAATTAATCTCGCCGGTTACATTGACTTTCAATGATCCAGTCGCTCCAGTTACGAGCGATCGAGGCGCGAATTCGCGACGGAGATTTTCTGCCGACGGCCGACGGGAATCGTGCAACTCGCGCATATCGCGCGGTCGAACTGACGTTTCCCTCTGTCCGCGCGTAGATTATATCGGCTGGCTGTTGTGATCGAAAGTAGTCGGAGAGTAGCCGATAACGCGGCGATTATCAGTCTCGAGGATTATCGGCTGGTCAAATGAAATGCTGAAGCGCAGTACATCACGAAAGAATGATGTCCTTAATATCCAAAATAAAGGAGAATTCGCTCCGGCCGGGCCGTATCTTCGCGCCTTCGCGCGTCTCTCCGCTCGGCGAGGCTCTCGGCTGGCTTTCGACGAAGCCTCAAAACTCATTAGGCCTCTCTGACGAAGGGCAAAGTGCGGCGGCGACTCGCGCCTCTGCGATCGTCCTTCGACGGTAGGCCGCCAGCCGAGGTGCGGGAGAGGCGCGTCGCGCTTTAATCTTGTTGATATCATCATTAACCGTCGAGCCGTTGGCTTCCTCTTTTTACGCGCTCTCTCTCTCTCTCTCTCTCTCTCTCTCTCTCTCTTTCCGGGAGCGCAATTATCGCACGACGCTGTGATATAACGCTGTAAGAGAAGCGACGAAAGTGTCGTTACGAGAGCATCTCGGCCGTCTTATGGGCGGCGGTTTATGGTTCTTCAGCAGCTTAGTGCTTTCGTCATTCATGCCGCTCCGATCGCCGCTCCGATCGCCGCTCGATCGCGATTTCCGGCTTGATTTGCTCGACGACCGTTGCTATCGTTGTGTTTGTCAACGTGTAAGTATGAAACGAGGACGTGAACAATGCGGAGATGAGTCTCAGGGAAGAGAGAAAATTCAAAGCTTCCGAATTCGTGGACCTTGCGCGAGTCGAAGCCCAATGTAGTCAGCATCGCGCTTTCGTCTCCTTTCTTATCGCAAGTGACAAATCAGCAGCGACTTCTTCAACATTTCAATAGCTATCGGACTGATGACGACGCGTCTTCGCGCGTAGTAACAGATTCAATTGAGCGCGTTCGCACCTTTCGAAATAGTTGCGCTTCGAGCCGAAGCATCGGGAGATAAGTGGTGGCCCTTTGAAACGCAGCTCCTCCGATATCTCAAGATCCTTCTGCGATATCTCTTCAGTTTGTCGCTCGAATTCTTTTCAATCGAGCGATACACGAGAGATAAGCAGCGATCGAAGCGCGCTAACCGCTTCTTCATCCCGGTGCATTCGATAATCCAATTTCGCCGGGCGGACGAACGACCAGCGCGAGACATATGCACGTCCATTTCCTCATGAATAATTCCCGCAACGCGGGACGCGAAAGCCCACTGAGAAATACGCATAAAGTTAACGTTTCACAGTCAAGGACGAAAGCGCGACAGGTAAAATTCTTTCGCGAAACGCACAACCTGCCGGAGCGCAGGTTGCACGTGCGACTCGAGAAAACTCAACTGCGTGAAACTCACGTTTAAGATACAACGACGGCACGGCAATCACTGCAGTCGCTATAATCTTCCTTATTAATCGATGTTTCAATCTATATTTAGCGTTCCGCTTCTGAAGGTTTTCAACGATCGGTCACTTTCTAGCAAACAGCGAGAACCAGGAGAAACGTTAGGAAAACGTAATTAGAAGATATCATCGTACGAGTAACGACATTTCCGCCTTTTCGCCGTCTCGCCAGCTGTACGCTTAAAAAATATTGAAAACGCGCGATGAAATCCGACCAGGACGATCCGTCTGATTCACGCGATTCACACTTCGTCCAGGGGCTCTCCTCCAGCTTCTCTTCTCCGGAAAGTGATTTCCGCACGTCACGCGCGAACTTATACGTATCGCGCGGTACTTCTGGGATAAATTCGAGTGCCGCGCGGAGTTTTCCTCCTTTATTGGCAATCTTGCCCAACGTTTGTCATTGGCGTCGATCGACTGACACGCCACGAGCGCTCGCACTTGATCCCTTCGCACGTTCTTTCGGAAACGCGTACTCCGGTTGCAGCGACTCCGATAACGCTAATTGTACTTCCTCGGATACGATGGCATTGAACAAACGCTAACAATGTCCCAGTGCTAACACAGTGACACGATCCTCGGTGGACGAGTATTTACAGCCCAGAGCACACAGACACCTTGAGGATAATCGGCTTATTTTTCGTTATCACAGGTTAATTGTGCGTTACGACGTCGATGAAGTCGACACGCGGTGCCCGCCCAATTATCGCAATTGTGCGCGCCGCGTTGGTCATCAAGTTCCAGCGGTATACAACATCTTCTTCGGTATACAACATTTACATAACATCGTCGTCAGTGCAATATTCGAAAACAACACTTACGCGGTGCAACAGTTACCTCTGTGCAATGTCATTGCGTTGAAATTTCACCTGTTCTCCGAGATACGTAATTATAAGCGGTCTTTCTCATCTCGACACTGCAATTGCAGATTTGCCGACTCGGTGTTGGAACATCTTTAGAACATTTCTTTTTCTTCTTTCAGATATACGCTTATTTCGGGAGGAGTGGATGTTCAGTGAGAAAACCCAATCGCTGGGAACGAGTTCTCTCTCGTTGGACCATCGCTCCTGCGTTTCAAAGTGCCCCAAGGGGATCAGTGTGTTCGGCCGCTTTGAAATTCGATGTACACTCGCATATCTGCGGTGCAACCGACGAAATCACCGACTCGAACTTGGACCATCAGACACACGTCCGCTGGGTTCTCGCACCTTCGCACCCACGCGACGGCCGTTCAATCACGACCGGTGATCGTAAAGCCCGTATCGCGGCTGCCAGCGCGACCATGAAAAGAGCCGATCACGCTTGGCCTCGATCGGCTCACCTATCGTGACACGACTGGTTCAGGTGCGAACGAACGCTTGCCAGCCAGGAAAATCGACGCCGATCCAAACGCGCTTGTCCACGAGGACGAAGACGAGTCGACACTTCCGCTCACTGTCATCCTCGCGTCTCGGCGATATTATATGTATGTAATTATCCACCCTCCTTTCCAGTCCGCGCGTTTGTCGTCGAAAGCGAGAAGAAACGAACAAGTTGGACCATATATATATATATATATATATATATATATACTCATTAAATATCATTGCTGATTAAATATCATAGCGTCGGGCTTGTCCTCGAGCGTGTGCCGCGACAAGTCGCGCCAATGACCGATCCGCGCGGATTCGAGCGGCACTTTCTACGTGTGAGTGCGAAAGTGCCGTTTCCGGCTGCTTTGTTCGAAAACATCTCGCGGCCGTCGAAAGAATCCACCCGGCCGAATGAAGCCGATAACGAGCTGCCGTTCGCGGACGCCGTTCGCGAGATACCTCCGCGACGCGAGACGCAACGCGGACGCGAGGAATATTATCCTGCACTTTCTCCGAACAGGCGAAATATGCAGTTCAGAGGAACAACTTCAGCTCTCTTCTTCTTGCCTCATTTTTCGCGCCTCTACGGGCACTTTTGTACGTGACGGGACCTGAATTACATAAAACGGGGGAGATTGCCGCGCGAGCCACGCGCGAGCCGGAGCGACGCGCGATTTAATCCCGTCTCGCCTTGGACACCGTGAAAGCTAATTATGACGACGGGATCTCGTGCAAGAAGCGCATTGAAATATTAGCATAACACGACTGACGGCCGAGTGTTTCTTCGGCTTATTGTGATTACAATTTACATCGCTCGGGGAGATATCGCGGTCTGTATCCGCGTCGCTCTAATGGCATGCAAAACAGCCGGATTATCGTGGTATTACCTGATTTAATCAAGACGCTGGTCGTCTGGTCGGCCGAACGCGTCGATTTAAAATCGACGCGTAATCCGCGCGTTCTTACGACGAACTCGACGATAGAAAGTCGACTGCTACGATATTGTGAGTTTCGTAATAAAATCGAGGAATGCTCGTTACGATCGTGACATGCCCGCCGGTTTGACATAACGCTGTTATTACGATCGTTGCCGGTTCGTTCGCTTCGGGGACAAGAATGGATTATAACGGCGAACGGAAGCAGGAAACAGGACTGTTCCCCATTAGTCATCCTTTCTTTCTTTCTTTTTTTTCATTAGACGACGAATGTTTCGTGCATGACAACCGAGCGACAAGCGTGCGTATATATGATTCGAAATACGCGCGCGCACGTCTTTGTTGTGTGTTTCATCGTGTAATCTCTTACTTTAAGTGAATAAATTTAAAAAGAATCCGCGCGAAAGCGTGCGTCAGATGAGTAATGTTTTGTTGAAAAATTTTATCCTTATCTTGCATAATTTATAGACTAGAGAGAATATGGATCAGACGTAAGAAGCCTGAGGCACATCGCGATCATTTGTAGAATCTAAATAAGGGTTGAATCCTAGCACTCGTCGTTCCGTTACGGTAACGGTAACGGTAACGCTTGTTACGGTGATCGCGATGTATCACAAGAAAACAGACATTGCACGGTAATAATTTGTTGTACGATACTTTAGATAATGTACATATAACATATATACCAAATTACCTTTACACCCTAAGCAAATTAACTCCTCACATGATTGAATAATTCTGATAATAAACGATAATTCTTTCTTGCATGCAAGAAAACTGCTCGCATATTTTTCCTTCGAATGTAGCGGTAAAACTCTTATGGTAACACAACATCTTCTTTTCCCCGCATATAGATAATGAAGTTTCCTGAAGTACTGTCACCTTGAGTTCACGAAAATTTCTTGGTTTGGTCCAAAGTAAATTTTATGAAGATCGATAAATTTACCCGAGACTTGAAATTGTAATTTGAGTTATGACTAAAAATCAAATTTTAGCCGAGACTCAAACCACAATTTACCGGCTGCCATAAAGCCAAGATAACGAGATATTTTTTGTGAAAGTTACATTTAGTTTTGTGATAGTTTCGCTAAATTATGTAAGATGGCGTCACTTTCGAATCTTTTCCTCCGGCAGAATTGTCGGGAAACGAAGATACTGCTGTAAAACGGAAAAGAAATTGAGAGTGCTGTTCGAAGAAAGCTTGTTCGAGAGAGAAAATAACATAGTAAATTGTTATATAAAAGAAAAAAGATATTGCTAAAAGTTACACAATTTGAATAGATCTTAATAAATCATATTTTTTCCACGAATTTTGTATCTGAGGTTATTGTTTCTCTTCATTGCACATAAAATCTTTAAACGTTTCTTCACATTTGTACGCGAGATCACAGAATATTTACTGTACGGTAAGTTGAGACTGTTATGTCTTTGTTTGCACGTTTGTATGTATAATGTACTTTGTATGTATAATGAAAAAGTGATTCAGCATACATAATTGCATCATATGATTATTGGTCAATATAGCTTGTTTCAAATTTTAATCTTTCAATCATTTAACTTTGGTATATATATTAATGGTTTAATGATTATTCCTATTACAGATTATGGAAGAACCAAGTAGTGTGACTATATCCACTAAAGCTGTTGAGGAGAATGGAAACGTAAGTATCACTCATTTCTGTGGTATGTAAATTAAGGGTAAGGTAAGAGATAAAGTAACTAAATTCTTCTGTTCTGTCATTCATCAATGTGACAAAACTAATTTCTACCATGAATACTTATACCCTTATGCATTTGCTTTAAGTTTTATACTAATCGTGCAACTATCAGACTTAATTAATAAATCCACTTGCAATTTCACTGCGTACAGTGTGGTGAGAATGTCAACCTAGAACCTAGATTTGAGTGTCCCATTTGTCTAACATGGCTACGCGATCCAGTTTTAACATCCTGTGGACATAAGTTCTGTTCACAATGTATACATACTTGGCTTCAGTAAGTTTCATTTTGTGCAATTAACAATCCATTATCGTATAAACATTGAATCATTTATTTTAATATTATCAGGAAGGAAGGTGCTTGTTGCCCTGTTGATAGTCGCCCTTTAAAATCTGAAAATGATCTCTTTAGAGATCTTTATACCAGTAGAGAAATATCTCAGCAGCGTACAAATTGTCCTTATCAACAATTTGGCTGTCAAGTAGAATTATCACCTGTGGATATGGAGACTCATATTAGTCAATGTACTTATAAGAGAAACCTTTCAGAGTCACAAGGTATATTATTTTTTTATGTGATTAAAGATATGAATTACTTGTATTTTCTCTATACAATTGAGTTAATTGCAATTGCTATATTTATTAGCGGTACAAGGTACTACTAATGCTATGTCAGCAGAGTCAAAGTTATGGGATCCACCTCCAAAAAGAGAAACAGAAGTTTCAGAAAGGGAAGGACCTCCTCCTAATTGGGAACTATTGCTAAAGTATGTCAATTATATTAAATTATGCTAAAGTAGCTTGTTGCAGAACACTTGCAAAAATGGACAAAATTTTATTTTCAGAAACTTGTACGAAAGACTAGTAATTTTGGAACAGGAAAATCGCGAGCTCACCATAACTGTGTCTAATCAGAAAAAACAATTGACCACACTGCAAACATCAGTTTGCTTTAATCAGGAAGAGATGTACCTGCGAAATTGCAATGGGGTTTATGTGTGGAGGTTGAAATCTTTCCAAGAGAAACTCACAGCCATGATTAACGATCCTCTAAAGATGTTTTACAGTCCCGGATTTTACACGGGATCCAATGGATATAAAATCTGCGCTAGGATCAATGTGTCTTCTAGGGACTCGAATTATCTCTCCCTGCTCTTGCATATTATGAAGTCGGAAAACGACGACGCTCTCGACTGGCCGTTCTACGGCACGATGTGCTTCGTGTTGGTACATCCGCGCAATTCGGAGAACAATATACGCGAGATAACATCGTCGAGACCGGATCTCGAGGCATTTCGTAGGCCAACGTGCGAACTGAATAAACGTAGCTTCGGTTATACAGAATTCGTACGCTTAAACGATGTGATCGATTTTGTACAACATGACAGTCTAGTTTTTAGAATAGAAGTTCGTGCGTATGATAAATATAATATGCCATCGACGTGAGTCCGGCTCGACATACTGCATTCAAGTGCACTTACATAGAGAGAACGTAATGTTTTTATAATTTTTTTTTATAGTTTATAATTATTTTTTTTATAATTTATAATTTTTATAATTTATAATTACATGATTGTTAGCGGACGTCACCGATGTCTTCTCTCCATTTTTCCAAGTTGTAAACATGTTCACTCAATATTCGTATGACACGAATGCGATTCAGAAGAATAAAGAGATTAATTCCAATTTATTTTTTTAGTTGTGAAATTAATGATATATATATATATATATATGTGTGTGTCTGTGTGTGTGTGTGTGTGTGTGTGTGTGTGTGTGTATAATTTGTTATTTTTTTAATATTACATCAAACTGTTTGCATACACTATAGATATTTTTGAACAATATATTGACTGCGTTCCGATATTTATTGTCAGTACTGAAAATCTATAGTATATGTGACACAAACTATATATTTTCAGCACTGGCAGTGAATATCGGAACTCAGCCATTATCTTTACTGTCTGTAACACCTGCATTTTATATGATTTGATTCAATATAAGCCGATTATGTCCTTTCCAGTACCATGAAACTTGTTATAAAATTTTAAAAATATAATATATAACTAATATGTAACTTACTTTGTTAGTGTTTTAGAATTTATCTTTGAAGACATGGACCGAATTAAGACAAACATAAAAATCCCATACCGTTTTGCAACATTCGCAATAGTTATTGAGTTATTAATTACAGAAATCTGTGGCGAAATATAAAGATGCAGCGAGAAGCAACGAAATAATACACGTATAGCGGCGTGTTATCTTTTCCTTCGCTATGCACCAGCAACAGTTGCTAGATCGACAGGACCGAGAGGCCACAATGCTTCTCCAATCATTCATTTCGGTGTGCGCCCACTCCTCAGATGTCTTATTAATAAATTATTGCGAATATCGCAAAACAGTATAGGATTTTTTCTTTATCTTATCTTGTTGTTTATCTTATCTTATGTTGTTTATCTCCATGAGATTTCTCCACTCTATAAACTTGTTTTGAAATACCCTGTATTTGACTGTTACATCATTACTGGACACTTAGATAAGCTTTAGTTTGCTTTGAAGACTCGATAAGTTGGTACGTACACTGAAATAAAATTATATTGTAATTCAGCATTCAGCGAAACAAAGCAATCAGTAAATCAGTAAATTGTCAATAATTATCCAGACAGCACCGGACATCCAATGGATGTACGTTTCACGTCCAATTTATGTCCGTACGACATAAATTGGACAAGAATGTCCTTATTGGACATCGAACCTGTAGGACGTCCGATGTCTAAGGTGATCATATGTACTCTTTTAAGAGTATATGTACTCTTTTTAAGGTGGTAAAAAGAGTACTCTCTCTACTTTTTACGTATCGTATTCTTATATATACTCTTTTTTCCGTAATGTGAATTATATTTGTCGATATAATTGACCAGTGAGCAGACTTCGGTGATGTTTTTTGTCACTCACGGCATTTGATCGCCGCGAGCGCCAATATTAATTATGCGTAGAGATTCTGCGCAACTACCGAGCCTTGTTACAATGCAAACGTAGAAAGAGTTTTCATGTATGATGAACGCTCAATGGACTGATGAAAGAAATAGGTTTACTGTCGACTCTGTGAAAAATTTATTAATGGTTAAATATAATTATAAAGAATTTAATTGTTCTGAATTTTACGATTATTGTCTAAACAATAAGAAATTGTTAAACGATGTACGGAGTAGTGCAAAATATAATTATAAAATATCTTAATAATATAATAAAATATGTCTGACTATTTCTCGGTTTATTTAGTACCCACTATGTTTTATTTTAAATATTGTACCTAGTAATCTATTGATCATTGTCTCAGATAAAACACAAAATCATTTTGACGTCAAAATGACATAATTTTTATATTATTTGACGTCACCTTGACTTTTATATGATTTTGTGTTCTACTTACTGTACTCTTTTGGAACCGTAATTACTACTCTTTTATACACTTTTTTTTACCCGTCTTTTACTCTTTTTTTATGACTGGGATATGGTCACCCTACCTATGCTCGAAGTTGTGACAAACGCGCGCCCTTTTGTAAAAAAAATGAACATATAACGGACGTCCAATGGACATCCGTGTGCTGTTTGGGTATTGGTCTTTACTGTTAAGTCTCAATTTAAACCAATTGCATTATTGCAATTCTCAACTGTATTATGTTTGTTGAACGCATCCTATGTTTCAATTTTTCAAACGCAATATGTATTGTGAATAATGCATTGTGCATACATGCGTGATTTGTAAAAAATGAAGATTGACTTGAAAAATCATCAGGATGAGCTTAGTCTTGAACAATTCGTTGATGACTCGTCGCTTATTCGTTAATCGTTACAAACGTTAAAAGCTTATCAATTTTCACTTAGAAAATCAAATTGTAATAATTATTAGAGCTGTAATATAATAAATATCAGTGTTACTTTTCTATTATTGTACTACTACATCATTAAGTTATCAGTAAAGAATTAAGTTATCAGTAACGAACTAAATTGTTTCAAAAGATATATATATATATATATATATATATTGTTGCTGAAAGCACATATTTTACACTGTGCAATGGAGTGAATAAAAATAATTATAATATAAAAAAATATATTTTCTTGTGGTATCTCACATAATAATACGTATGAATGTCCATTGCAAGGAAAGTATCTACTGTTTCAGTGACCTAGATCACGGAGAAAGTTACATAGTGAAATTCATTTTATTTTCTACTCAAACGATCAGTCTGTCAGCGCACGTTACAAGAAAGATCGAGAAATGGAAACAAACATCATACGCTTTGTTTTCATTATCAATACAATTGCTCTGACAGGATGGGGATTATTAACGAATTATATGGAATCTCATTTGCCTGTATCGATAACGTATATTTATCGCTATGGCAAATTCAACGCAAACGTACGTCATACTTTAGCGAAGAAGGGTGACATTCCCAAAAGGTAAGTTTAAATTTAAAATGTGCATTTCTTCAAAAATGATGATAGTTTAGTGCTATGTATAGTACTAAAGATACTACATAAAAATCTTATAAGCGTAAAGACAACAGTTCGTTTTTCAATAATTAAACTGTAAATATATCAATTCTTAGGTGGTTTAAACATTTTTACATTTTTGCTGCGTCAGTATCGACGGTTATACTTTGTTTAATATCTTATAAGCATCTTTATGATGGAAAAATACCCGAAATTATATTCACATTATTAGATACATTATTTGGAGCATCCAGAAAACCTTTAGGTATATTATTCTTTTTAATATTTGAGTGCTGTTATATTAATTCTTTATGGAATTGAATATATGAATAATCGATTTTCTCGTTACTTTTTTAGTACCAGTGGAAAATTTAATTCTAGCTAGTATTTTACTATGTGTACACTGTTGGAAAAGACTGTATGAAACAACCTGTGTTAACATATTTAGCGACCAACATATAAGTATAATCCATTATGTGCTTGGATTTATACATTACGCTGGAACATGCCTATGCTTAATAGGCGAATCCGAAGGCTTTGTTAGAGGTATATTTTCGAAAATTTATAAACCTTTAAATATGCACTATCTTATTTTCTTGTCATATAATACATAACTTTTTTTTTCGTGCAGGACCTCAGACGAATAGGTCCTGGAATAAATTGACAACCACGACGATCGCTTGTGCGTTCATATTTCTATTGTCTACCTATATGCAACTTCATAGTAACTTTATTCTCGCAAGGCTGCGTAAGAATAAAGATGGTGTTGTTGTATCTCATGATTACAAAATACCATTTTATGGATTATTCGAATATGTATCAGGACCATTGCAATTTACAGAGATACTGATATATGTCATGTTATCTCTGATTCTCTGGCAAGCTTCTACTTTCCATTACGTTACTGTTTGGGTTATAGCAAATCAGGTAAATAGTTTTATATTTGTTTCTTCTTTTCGATAGATAAAAATACAAGTTATCTTTTTTTCAGATTGAGTGTGCATATTTGACTCATTGGTGGTTTCGTAAGAATTTTAAAAATTATCCCAAAAAAAGAAAAATGTTAATACCCTATGTTTGGTAGGATAACAGACAAAAATATAGCATATAAATTAGATAATACGATTAAATTTGTAATATGTTATAATTACAAAGGTAGTGAAGGTAATCAATATTAATCAACATTTATGCATACTGATATACATAAAAATAATAAATCGTCAATAAATGCCTAGACAATTATTATATCTCATTGACTCTTGATTTGTAGTTTGTGATATATTATCTTTTTATTGAAGAATAATAATTGCAAATATCCATTATTTTACATTACGTATACTGTAATAAAGACGAAAATAATGATACATTTGTAACAATATTAACATTTTATCCTTTGTAAAAAAATCTTTCTAGTTCAATTCATTCCATATTAAGCTGCAGAAATTTCCTGTTGTTTAATGGAGATCATGTAGAAATACTTTCCTATATGAATTAGTTATTTGAATAGTAAGCTGAAACATACAAATTATTCTTCCCTGGGATACGATTGTGATGATAATTCTTATAAAAATACGAACATGAAGCATGACGATATTATTGAAATCTTATCAGATTTTCAAAACATATCATCATGCTTCGAATAATAATGCTTGTTTGTACATTAATCTATTTTTGGTAAGATTTCAAACATATACCTATATGGGTAGCCTTGAGCTTTGTTCCTGAAAATTGACAGGAGAAGACTAAAGAAAATTGCAACTAACGCCAAGCCTATCACAGCAAATATCCTGCGCTTTTTAACATCGCCTTTACGAGCTGCAGACTCGGTCATTAAAATCATTCCTAACACCACTGCTCCATCTTTTAACATTAAATTAAGGACATATTGATATATAAAACATTATTCTGTTCTCTGTATATCCTTTTTTCCTATGTGAAACAACCTTCAAGTATAGCAAAAGGATACTTAAAATCATAACAATATAAGTCTCCAGTACAAACTGCCCTTGTGAGGATCCATGAATATAAGCTACATTTCCACTTGGTGATTTGTGGATGAAAGGTGGTCCCCTAATATGATTCCACATTTGTCCAGAAGTCATAGTTAACGCAAAGAACTATAAACAAGTGATTTAATCTCATTTGTTCAAAAAAATTATGATAAAAATATTTAGACAAAATGTACCAAAGCGCCAAGCCCCCAGATGGTTCTGTTGTAAATAAAGTCCAAGTTGTTACGTCTGAGATAAAGGAAACCTGCTATGAGAACCAGCAGCATTACTACTGCTATTGTGCCAGAATAATTTGGTGGTCTAAATACCCTGATCTATAATCAATGTTCAGATGTATCATGAAAATTATATAAAACATATGGTATTACGAAACTAATATTCATATAATTGTAATATAACCAGAGTGCTCCAAAATTCTACGAGCTTTATACCTGAATATCTGTTCGCTCACTGATCCATTTAGCTATCGCTTCTGCAGCAAATCCTACTCTCTGGATATCCATAGTATCAGCAGGCTTTGGTTTGCCCTTTGGTGGGAAATGCATATACACTGGTGCAGTATTTAACCTCATCTGCAACAATGTTTTTACAAGTCTGTTGGATATTGTTATCTAAGATTTTGATTTTGGCCTTTCTTTTTCTTTGGTCAGATAAACACCATTACAAGTTAAAAAATTTGATACTAAGGGTTAATGGAAAAAATATATAACAATCAGAAAAAATTAAACGGTGTATATCTACCAAGGCCTAGAAAAGGATAAAAAGCATATTAAATTTTGTAACAAAATGTTTCTACATTAACCGTATATATCCCAAATTCCTATGAATAATATTGTTCTCTCACCAACTGAAATACATCAGATCCTTCATCAAAATCAATAGAGACAAAGAACAACTTGTTGGAATATACTTGGGAATACCGAAATGAATTTGCTACTATTGTGAACTCATCATTGGCATGTCTGAAACAAACCATTGCATAAGCATATGCTTTCTCTAGTGTTCTTTATCGAAACATCGATATTTCTGCAGATTTACCTGCAAATCTGACATTGCCTCTGAGGTGCCATAGCAGTAAACATAACTATGACAGAGTAGTTCCTCGGAGTAGCTTTAATATACTGTTTAAATTTCGGCCCATTGAATTTCAGCACCGATCTCTTCACAGCCATTTCCATCAATTGTTGCACGCGCTCCGCCAAGGAGGAGCCTTGATTCTGCAAAAACGGATGACATTTGTTGAGAGAGACAAACAGACCGTCTGGTTGCTAAACGAGGGAGATATTGTGGAATCCTTACGTTTTTTGTCCTATATTGACAGGCGACATAGCTTAAGCATAAGACGGAAAGAAGCAGGAATGTAATGTAAAGCTTAGACTTCATCGCTGACAACTCCGAGGAAGGCTGATATGCTATAGAAAATTGATGCTATAGAAAATTTGGCAGGAGGAGAATATCTCTCCTACCGGCGACACATCAGCGGTCACTGGTATGATCGCGCGGACGATATCACACTAATCCCTATTGGCTTGCACGATACAACGTGGCATTTGACGTGCGCATTTATCCCGAGTGCGTATCCACGGCCGGATATATTTCAAATTTATATTCAAATTACGAAAAAAGTTCGTCTTGCGCGCATCGTACAGATCGAAAATAAAAGTTTTTTCGATTTATCATCGAATCGTGCTATTTGTAAGTGAAAAAGAAGAACGTGCGCTCCGCCGTTGAGTCGAGTCACACTATTCGAAAGTGGCCGTCGAGCCTGTCATTGAGTCGTACTACGTTTACGCCAAGGATGGTGGCGGCTCGTAGCGGGGATCTCGTGAAACAAAGATTGCGTATGAGAGACAGAGAGAACAAAAGCATCTCAGGAATTCACAGAAAAGACAGAGAAGGACAGATCAGACGGGAGTCGTTGAATCTCAACGGCTTACGCGATTGGTCCTTCACGCAATTTGCACACACGAATCGCCGCGCTTGAGTGTCGGATAACCGTCGTTTTAAATCGAAAGTAACCGATGTAGCGAGTCGCTCGAGACGAATCGTCCGTGCAAGCGTGCAGTGTTCAACGTACTCGTGTGGCTTTCGGTCCGACGGATTCTTCCGGCACAAGCGGGGTGCAGGTTGCGGAGGGTGGACGGCGGAGGAACGTAGAGGTGTCAACGTCGTCGTCGTCGTAATTCTCTCATCCTCGCGTCTTGTTGACGTTTCTCGATAGGCTAACCCCGTCCGAGTATTATTCTTGCGAGTGCAGAGACGCGAGGTACTCTGCGACATGTCCTTCTCCAAGGCGAGGATACAACGCTTCAACGAGATGGGAAGTAAGTCACCTTGTGTTAACGGCGAGACCTGTTGCTTGCACCGACTTTCTACTTGGTACTCTGGCCCGTTCGTCTGTCTCTTCGCACGTCTACAACGGGATCTGAGACAATCGATCTGACTCGTAATTGTCAATAGGCCGGATGGGTAACACGACATACATGTATCACGTGTTGGCGGGAAAATTTTCGACATGTCATGCTTTGACGCAGATTCGCCTTGGTCGTAAATTCGTCCTGTTTCTTTGCGATGTTTGCTACGACGATTTCAACGGCTTAAAATAAATCTATTTGTCAGCAATTTCGATATTGTTACAATTTTGCACATGTGTGTATATATATATATATATATATAAAGTTTTTGTGTCATGTTACTCGATTATGATGTATTTTGTATTTTGGTGAATAATCAAGAGTCTCATTTGTATACCTCGATCACGCGTGTAAGATACAACGTCCACGATTGCATCAGATAACGTATGCATATTCAAACGTATCAGCGAATATCTCGATAAACAAGCGTCTCGATGCGCTACGCGCGAATATGAAAAACCGATACTTGTGTTGATATTTCTTGGGTCTCGTATTTTAATTGATTTGAACGACGTTGATGCTATCTGCTACGATAACGTCCAACGTTATTCCCCCCCGCTATGCGACGTCCGTCGATCCGTTTATTCTTCGGTCGCGTATCTTCTTCCGATTGCACTTACCACCCACTCTCCCTCTCTACTTCTCGCCGTATCTTCGCCGTGTCGCATACAAAAATGTTCAAGGAGCTGGAGAGACGCGATGTCATATTTTATTCCTTATTTCTCGTATCTTATCCTTATGTATCGCCATGTCGCGCGGTCCGGGGCCCTTTAAATTTTATATATCGATCCCTTTAGCGGGGAGAGGAGACGCGCGACAATAAAAAGGAAAGGATGTTTTACCCGTGCGGACGACGACGACGACGGGATGGCCGAGGACATTGGCGACGGAACTACACCTGGTTATTCTACGACCCCATAGAGACGTGTCCGTTGCATTCAGAACAGCTGTCTCCCCATTTGCGCTCCCCGCTCCCCATATACGCTACGACGCGCGCCAAAAGGAAGTCCATTTAGCCGCGCCGTTCTTCCCTCCCCCTTGTCTCTTTTGTCTTCGTCCTCCCGCCCCCCGCCCCCTCCCCCCCTCTCATATCTTCGTTCTCGCGGAATCGATCGATATCGCGCGATATTAAGAACAAATAAAGATTCATTTCGACGATGGTCATTTCTTTCATCTCATAAACACACGCACGATTTTCATTTTATTTCATTTTGTTTGCCGCAGGCGAGGCACCTCCACCAGGAGCTTACGATCCGAAATTCGACAGTAAAGTGAAAGGACTCGTGATCGAAAAGTCCGATAGATTCCTGGACACCAGGAGCTTGCACAGCGCGGAAGGTAACGCATCGTTGTCCGCTAAGAGCGTCGGAGTCGTCCCAATCCCCGCTTTTCGTACGGTAAGAATCGCAACGAGTCTCGTCGTTTCGAGAGGGCTCTCGTATATGTATATTGTTTGCGATATAAATTATTATTCGCTTCTACTACATCTGTTTACATAATGTTTCGCGGCGTGATCGCTCGCGCGTAAGGATTCGCATTATTTTTCTCGTTGGGAAGCAATGAATTGAGAACAATGTTAGATGGGAACGATGCGAGAGATTCTCGAGGATGTAATTAAATCGGAGAGGAGATGCATCGTTATGAGTGAAATCGAATGTTAAATCACGTGATTGTACTTTTACTGCAGCCCCAGATGCCTCGAAAACGGTTGGTTAAGAAATCGGCGGGAGTAGAAATCGCTCGCAAGGCGAAAGACAAGCTCCCGCCTTCAGATGACAATCAGGACATGAAGTACGAATCCGCGCAGCATCTCGCGGATCTTCAAGTGGAATGCGTAAACAAGGATAAGACTATACAGGAGCAGGAGAAGTACATCGAGGAAATGAAAGAGGATGTGCAGAAATTACAGGCTGAACTGAAGGAGTTGAGCAAGAAGCAGATTGAAATGGAGGAGCAGCATACGAAAGATATAGAGACAATGGTCGACATATTTCTCTCTAAACAAAAAACTACTCGCTCGATATCGACTGAGCGCCGTCGCTCATTCTTTTGTTATGTATTTTTCATTTTCTTTCTTCCAACTTACAGGCCAAGTTGCAGCAGGAGGTATTGACCAATCACGACAAAAAACACGAGGTGGAAATGCAGATACTTCGCTCGCAACTATCGGAGGTGTCCGAAGAGAAAGAGAAGGAATTCTCGACGCGAAAGACAATCGAGTCGGAGCTTCAAACTCGCGCGGCCGAAATATTAGACAGAATAATAACGTTAGAAGCTGAATTGTGTGCCAAAAAGAAGGAAAACAAAATGAAGGTGGGTCGGGGATTTTCTTCGCGTTCTGAAATGTGTGCGACGTACATACGCTGTACGTTAAAATCGCGTTTGTTTTTCTTTCCAACAGATCGTTGCCCTCGAAACGCACATCGCAGAACTTACGAGCACACTAGAAACGGTGAGGCAGGATCGCGATACAGATATTGGGTTGTTGCAAAAGGAAAAATGTCAGCTCGATACGTGTGTCGCCGATTTAACGCAGGAGCGATCGCATCTCATAGCCGAACTGGAGGAGCGACAGAACGTTATCCTAAGACTTCAGAGCCAGTTGTCCACCTTGCAGTGTGAGTTGGACGAGCTCAAGGCCGAATACGAGAAGCTGGCCGACGATTCTATCAAACGCACTTCCGACCTCACCGATAAATACGAGAAAGAAATTCGACATATGAAAGACGAGCACGCGAGAGAGAAAAAAGGATTGCTCACTTTCAAGGATACGATTAAATTGAAAACGGAGGCGATGCTACACAAAGCGGAAGAAACAAACACTTTCCTTACGCAAGAATTAGAGGAGGTTCAAAGCCTTTACAAAGATGTGCGTATGGCCTACACGTACAATACGCCTGCTGCAAACGACTTTTATAATCGTGCGGTTTTTTCATGAAATTTTCTTCGTTCACGTTTTTTTAGGTGTCTCGGCGTTTGTGCGAGGCTCAAAGAGAACTGGAGCTCTCAAATGAAAAATATGCTTTTGTGGTGAAACAATATGAAAAAGATTTTGATGACATGAGGAATCGGCAGGCTGAAGAGAAGTTAAAATTGGACCAATTGTTGGTGAACATCGAAGAAGAGTACTTGGAAAAACTGGAAAATGTACGGTGATGCATAATTATCTCATTAACAGGACATGTATGCAATTTGCAATAATCGTGATCGTTAAATATACTAAGTTGCTTTATGCAGGTTACAATGGCACAAGATAAGGAGTTGCACGATTTGAAGCAAGCTTCGGAAGAGAAGATCGAGGAGGAGAAGAAACGGATAATGGAACATGCCCAGAAAATGATCGAGAACGCAGAGGCCGTTACGAGGGAAACGTTAGCGGCGTGTCGCGCCAAAAGCGAGGAACGGGTGAAGAGAGCAATCGTTGAATGCGACGCGAAAGTAAGCGGGTCACACGTGCGTAAAATGCCAAACATCACTGACTGATTGCTCGTTTTCCTCTAACACTTGCGTGAATATCTGGGGGACTCTTACGGGGACAGAGTGCTGCACTCTTCTTCTCTGTAGTGGACGTTGCTTTCTTTCGCTTCTTTTTGAACTCGTTTCCTGTGATGTTTGATAACATTTATCGCTTTTCGCTGCAACGGGAAAGAGTGTTTGCGAGCTACTAAAAAATTCGGGATTCGTGTGCTTTTAGGTTAACGCCATGATCATAGAGGCACGAAACGTTGTGGAGGAGGAGATGCAACTTGCTGCCGAAAGATACAAAGCGTGTTTGGCTCGTATGGAAATGGAGCGTGCTGCATTAGACGACAAACTTTCGCAGAGGGACGCCGAAATCACCAAGCTCTCCGCGACGCTCGAGGAGCTAAGATCGTCTGTGGAAACTCAGGTGACTATCGTGACGTCAAAATTGATGGCACTGCTTGTAACGCGATGTTGTCACGATGAATTGTGTGACTTTTAGGAAAGTTTTAGTCAAAGTTTGCAAGTTGAGTTAGATAAGGCGGAAACCGAATTAGCGGAGAAGAAGGAAGAATTGAGAGCTTTGAAAGATCACATCAGGGCGGAGGCAGCCGAGATGGTCGCTAGAAGGAAGAGGTTGGTATCGGCGAATTCTCGAGAGCGTGATCGACTTCTTATCTCGCCCGTATATTTATATTTTATCGGGCGATCGCCCGACCACCGGCAGATTATTTCGAGTGTCTGAAATGTTTAGGTTCGAAGTGATAATGGCCGAAAATCAAGCATCCGTCGCCGCGCTTACTAATCGCCTGGCACAGAGCAATGCCGAAGTAGAGAGACTGCAGCATGAACTTAAACGCGGTGAGGACTGTATACATGAGCACAAGGATCTGCTCAGTGCGATGCGCAATAATTCGCAATTAGTGCACGAACAAGTACATGCGCTCATGGAAGAACTGGACGAGCAAAGAGAAAAGGTGGATCAGCTGGAAATCAACAGTTTATCCGAATTCGAGGCGATCAAACCTATCTTCGAGGCGAAAATTGAAAATTTGAAGCAAATAGCGGCGAAGGAAATGGCAAAACTGCAAAACGACTGTGAGAAGAAGACTCTTCAAAATGACGAGGTAATTACACGTTCGAGGCATCAATGAGTTCAATTCGAGAATTGTAATCCGCGAGGATGTTAAGAATTCGTATTTTCTAAAAGCCAACTTGTGATAGAGTTGTTATATCTTAACCGTAGATGAAAAAACAACTCGGCGAAATGGCTAATAATCTCAGTGATGCGCAGAATCTATTACTCAAATTGGAAGAACGAAATGACGTTCAAGCGATTGATATTTCACGAATGGAGCTAGAGAATAGCAAGCTTACGGAACAATTGGAGCAAATGGATGAATTAAAGAATCTAAAAGAAATGTACGAAGAAAATCAAGTTCAAGCAACGCAATATAAGAAAGTCGTAGATGAGGTATGTATTTTTTAAATATGTAACGATAACTAAAACGATAAATCACGAAATGATGTGTACTAAACGCATAGACGGAATATTTATAGATAAATTCTCGGATGGATGAGTATTCTCAACGAATAAATACGCTTGAAAAAGATATAATGCTTTCGGAGGTATATACAATTTTTAATAAAATTACAATTTATGTGTATATCAATGCATAATTTTTTAAGTATCTATAGATATTAGATCTCGACATTAATATCTATTAAAATTTGTACATGAGCATTGTTGAAAAATGAAATATTTCATTGCAGGAGGTCACTCTGGTATTAAAGGAAGGTCAAACAAAATGGGAAACTGCGGAGAATGTACTTAAGCAGCAACTCCAAGAAGAAAGGGCGCGACGAGAAGAGGCTGAAGAGTGCGTTCTGATTAGCATGAAAAAGTCATTTTTGATCGTGACTTTGAAAAAAAAGAAGGATAATGTCTATTATTTTCTGCACAGGGAGTCCAAGAGAATTGCAGATCTCAATGGCCGTCTTAAGAAGGACTTTGAAGAAATCAGCGCGAAGTATGCGGAAATGATCGGTCATCAGAACCCTAAGCAAAAGATCAAGCACGTATCACAGCTAAAAGATAAAATCTACCAATTGGAACAGGTGCGTTGGTTCGTCGTTCTGCTTTTTGCAGTTTTCTTAATTTACGTATGTGATATTAAAGACATTTTACAGACATTACGTCTATGTTACTATTAAGAACAAGTAAAAATGCTTGTGTACGATTTGTTTGCAAGCACGAGTACAAATTATTATTCGATACAAATTATTGTTCGATACGAACATTTAAATAACATGTCGATCATTATTCAGTTTCGACGGGAATTACCTGTTGATTTACTGTTTAATTATTCTATGTACTATATGTAAAGAAATAATATATGCACTAATAATCAAAGCTATATATTATTTCTTTAAGCATTTATTTTAGTTTTATTGAGAAATAAATGTTTTTGTTTCGAAGCATATCCCACATTGTTTTTATTTGTCCAAATACAGCGCATGTTACTAACATTATTTTTATTATAAATAATTGTGTCTGTATATAATTGCATATTACGTAGATATTGTTTGTGTGTCTATCTTCGTATATCTGAAAGGCTAATACTTTCTTTTTAGGAATTGTCTACCAAAACTCGAATAATCGAACAGCAACAAAAGACTATAGAAAAGTTCAAAGCCGAGGAGAAGCGATCTCATTGGAAAGGCAAGGAGAACATTGGAATACATTCAACTCCCATTTCTTCGCCGCATAAGACACTGGCAACGCCGTTAAGGAGTAGAAATGATTAATCCTAACTAGTATCTAAGATGTATCGTTTAACTAACGGTTAAGGTTAATCGCTTCAACTTCTTATTGTGTCGATGTAGGCTATAAATATAAATCGATTCGCGATGCGTGCACGAATAATATGCCGAGGAAAAACCGGGAAATAATCGTCCGAGAATTTAATATTTTATTCACATCGTTAAAAAAGGGGATTATATGATGTCGAAAGATATATATTTCTTTTATAAGAATTATAAATATATTGTTAATAATTACTGTTAATTTTGCGCCATTATGTGTTTCAAACCTAGGTTAAATTGGTCACAACTCGTTTCCGTCGCGGCACGTTTTTAGGATTATGCAAAAACTTGTATGTTTAAGGGATTTTTTTTTATTATGACATCTAGTATTTTCTAGGAAAACATATTGTATGAAATATAATTAATAATAAAATATGTGCTACGACGCACTTTTCATATCACAGTGCTGTCTTTCAAGAGAAAAATTCTACTCGATGTGGACCGTTGATGAAAAATTTTCCCATAAATAACGGTCGGTGCCGAGTATGCGTGGAACCGTGTCGGGAACACGCCAAAGTACGTAAGATTAAATTATTCAAGCGAGACGCCGAATTCCTTCTCAACAAACTCATCTGAGCCGTAATGTGAGTGTAACGTCGACAAAACCGGCCGTTGGACGTGCGTGTGTAATGGCGAGCGTATTATTAATTACACACGCGCGTCTCGCACAGCGATGTCGTTTCGAAAGAGATTACAACAGTACCTGCTAGAATTATCGGCGACTCATTCACGTGATTAGACTTTATTATGCCAGGCCATGCGCCGGGATTCGCGGCTCGTATGCTCATATTATACATTCCACCCGTGGCAGGCTCTTGACACCAGTAATCACTGCTCCGTGAAGCTACTGCCTCTTTGAACCTCCTCTCTAAGGTCAATAGGCACATGAATTTTAAACATCGCCGACAACCACCACGATCTAATTAGTTTCCATCTTATCAACGTCTCGTCTATTTACCGTTAATAACGACCGTCCTGTCGCAGTAAAGCAGCGTTTCCGCGCATCCTCGCGACGTGCCAAGATGAACTTAAATAGCTCAATTTCTATGACAAAACCGGGCGCGGATGTAATTTGCGGCCGGGTGGGAGGGAAACTTTCGCCGAACGAATTCGCCGGTGTTATCGCGTATAATTTTGGATTTTATGCTTCGTGTGATCCTGTCGCACCGGATTAGCAGCGGCCCCGACGTGGTCGACATGTTAAGACGAATTTAAATGAACATCATAATATCATAATCTTTATTTTCAAATGCAAAGCATATCTGATGACTCGCATTCATTAACCCCTTTAAGTCCGCCCAGCTGACTTTTTGAATTTGGATACCGCAGTAACCATCTTCGCCCCCCTCCCTCTCCCCCCGCCGTTCTCTCTTTCTCTACGAAAAAGTGAGATTAAGGAGTGAGAACTTGATTAATGCTAATGGCATGTCGATGGAACACGAGAGCCGCGTTAATAATCGCTTTCTACAGTCATCGCTGAAATTAATGGAACGAATCGGCTGTATTGAACCGTAAATTACTGAATTCGATTTTTAAATACGGTTTGTCCATCTCGACGATCTCATTTGTTCACGACGCATAAAGAGTAGTTACGCATGTTGTAATTTGCCTTTTCTCGAAAAATAACCGATGCTTTTTGTGTAAAAAAATTTTGAGTTTCAATCTTCCGCGATTCTAAAATCTACGAATTTCATATTATATTAAAATAAAAAGAGAGAAAAAGACATGTCTCAGAACGTATGGGATTCTAGGAAAAGGCACGAGCGAAAAAGCGAAAGGAAGAGACGAAAGAAAAGCGAGATAAAATATTAGTGGAACAAGACAATCGAATAAAAAATTAAAATGTATGAATATTTTAACTTTTATCGGACAATTTGAAGCAATGGTAAAGTAGACGACACGTATCACATGAGGAGTACGAGACGGCTTCGTAAGAAGCCCTCAAGGGGACGCTAGTATTCATATATCGAGAGCTCGCGTGTACGACGCGCGTTACGCACTAATGCATCTCAAAATTAACATAACGAGACTCGTGCATTATTGATCGCGTTAATTTCGCCAATTCACAATCGTCGAACACTATAAAGTCTAATACGAGTTGTAATAAAGTTTAATTACGGGTATCATCGAAAATATATCGATATCAGTGCTGGCAGCGTATTTACGCGCGCATAATTTTGCGTGAGATTTTGCGCGTAAACATTCGTCGTTTCAATGTAAATTATAATTTATACAGAACGTCCCGAGATTATAACGCACGACATTTTAATAGCTCTGCGGTGTATTTAATTAGGGAACTGAAAATCCTAATACAAGAATATTGAGGTCACAAAATAGTTTCCGAATGATGGGAGGGACCAAAGTTGGTTGGTAATACCGCACAGACTTCGTAATTAACGAATCTGTAATTAACAAGTCATCTTCGAGGCTCGGTTCATACGGATTTTTATAACTAATTTTGCTTTCCGGCTTCCTACGTTTAAATACCGCGCACGCTCTAATAATTAGCTGAGACCAATTATGGATATTAGCAGGATTATCACGCAGCTACAGATCACATCAGACTACTTTTCATAGCCATAAGCCCTTGAATTTCAAATGACAAAAAATGATGAGTTTTCCCGCGGCAATCGAATATCTCAAAGCGCAAACGGCAAAATATCTTCCTCTCTGCTTCATTTCTTGACGCATATTTCTATTTCCGCACTCGAAGATTAGTCATATAAGACAGCATCGACGCGCCATCGAAGCCGAAAAACCGATGACGAAGGCCGTTGATTCTTCTCTTGACATGGTCACCAAGCAAGAAACAAAATCGTAAAGTTGCTCGGGAAATCCGCTCGCGAACCCCTCTTTATCCAGGATCCTTGCGAAAGAAAGGATGAAAGAAAGAAAGAAAGAAAGAAAGAAAGAAAGAAAGAAAGAACGAAAGAAAGGCAGAAGAAGAAAGAGGAAAGAAAAAATCGATCGCGCCGTGGAGTGAGAGCCCGCTTTCACAATTGACTCTATTTTGCGTCTCGCGTCTCTCCGAGCGTGCGCGCGTTCGTTCGCGAGAGAAGGGCTCGGTTTATACGTCGTCCTCGTCGAGCGACACGCACCCCTGTAGCGCGAAAGGGGCGAGGAGGAGGAGGCGAAGGGCAAGGGAAAGGAGTAGCGAGAGAGAGCCCCGGAGCTTCTCGATTGGTCGTCGCTGCAAGGATCTCGGCTGCAGAAAAATTACCGGTTATTGCTGCATGTACGCGGTACACGCGCTTACGACGCGACGGTATGCAGGGCTGACCTTTAAGGGGAGGTCGGGGATTGACGTGAGCGCGCGCGAGCGAGCGAGCGAGCGAGCCGCCGCTAGCCGGAAGGGATTTGAGCGTGAGAGAGCTTTCCCCGTGCTACCGATAATTACCCCCAATGGTCAGCAGCGGCGGGAAAGCGAGTCTCTCTCTCTCTCTCTCTCTCTCAGCGCCGCCTTTGGACCTACCGGGCTCCTGTATTCCCGCTCCTCCGCATTAAGCCGAACGGATTAACGGATACGTCGAATCTCCTGCTGTCGTGTTACTTCCGCCCTCCGTCCGCCGACAACGCGCGACGTTGTGTGTAAACGGAGCGCGTTCATTTCCACGACAGCGTCATTCTAATTCGCGCGCAGAGAGGAGAACAGAGGAGAGCAGAGAGGAGAGCCGGCGAGAGAGGCGGCGTGTCTCTCCGAGCCGATTCCGATCGGGAGGCTTGTCCTCTCAGGAGCAACGATACCCGAGTCCGCGTGTGTATTTGTGTCTATTGTCGGATAAGAGGTTTCCGGAAGCTGACGCATGATCCAAGTGCTCGGTCTCGCACGCGGAAAAAAGATTCCAGATTTACGAGCGCGCGTGTAACGGAACAAGGAGCGGACGGAAAGTCGCTGACACGAGAAGTGAGATATCTCTGTTATCACCGACCGAGCGGGGTGACGCTTGCTGTCATCTGGACATTCAGTCGCATTCAAACTCGCTTGCGAGATCGGTCAGACAGACGTGTCCTCCGGCGAGGATCTCCCTGCTCCTTCAGCAATGGCTTTTCCTCTGGCCTCGAGAGATCGGAGAACGGAAAATTCAGCTACATGCACCGGATGGCCAGAATGGTTTTCCCCGTGTACTTAAAATTCAGCGCTGTGTCCGTTATCGGCGCCGCGTATCGCGGCAAAACAATGGTCCGCTGACGCGACGGCGGCGAGTCACGACGTTTGCTGTCACTGTGCAGTGTGCACGCGCGGAGGAACCGAGCGAGTACGAGAGAGCACGATCCCCTCCCCCCGCTCTATGTTAAGCGTAGAGATTCGCGTCTTGCGAATGCAAAGGAGATCCGAGTAATCCCGCACGTGTGACGCTGTAATTAAATATTTGTGCGGCGCCATGAGGGACGCGGGGGGAGGGGGGGAGAGAGACGAGGTGGGAGTGGAGGTAGAGACGGCGGCGGCGGCGGCGGCGGCGGCGGCGGCGGCGGAGGTGGTGGTGGAGGAGGAGGCTCCCGGCATAAGTTTGTGTGCCGTCTAATTAAAGAGGCAATTAACTTAATCGCATTGCGCTCGTTCGTTACGGACGCATCCGCCGAGATTCGAGCACTCTTCCCATGGCGTTCGGAAGTTGCGCGAATTTCGCATGGGATCACACCGCGAGAAGCGCGCTCTCCGCGGATACTCCGCTGGATATTAATAAATGAACGCGCGCGCGGCGGACGGTGTATCGACCTGGCTGCATCCAGACTCGAGAGGAAACGGGGCCTCCTCGATTGTACCGAACGCGCCTCTCCTTCGTTACTTCAGCGACCCGATCGGTGTGTCCCGAGCGGAGTATCGATTACGCGCGACGACATACGAGGTTTGATCAAAAAGTAACGAGAATTTGGCAATTGCGCGCGCGCGCGCGCTGTCCATCTTGTCTATTTGATCAGTTGATTCTTTTCTTTTCTTGTGTGTTGGTAGCATTAGCAGTGACGTACGTGTCGATTTTCAGGCAGCTGCGAGCCGCTCAGTTGCCGTGTGCTTGGCGATTTTGTGCGCGACGAAATCAGTCGGATCAGAGAGTTTGT